TGGATCATGGATGAGGGCTCATTATACATACAAAGACAAATGCACGATCAGCTGATTAAAAAAGTTACAGAGGATGCATAAAGGAAATCTAACATCCTAATTTCTTTGTTGGCCATTTGTTGGGAGACACGCGAAACCAAGTCAATACGCTCATGCCCTTTGCCTTGGTAAATTCGTCCTCATAATGCCTAGGTCACATACACACCGGGCACCGTACGATTTACCCTACCCGGCGGCTTGCCGTGGATTTTAGAGACCGTGATGCCTGGATTACATTTGACCTACGATTAGTCTACGGAGCCCGTATCCTGCCCGTATCCCCTTTTCAGGCAGGAGGCGGCAAAGAGTTACTCGTACGGAATCACGGGCTCTGCGGCCTCTACGAAATTGTTTCGCGAGAAGTTATAACAATTTGAAAAATCGTAAGCCCGTAGCCCGTAGACATGTGGTAGGCGGCATTGCAAAATCCCCACGCGGGCTTCGCGCGGAGGCCTGGCGCTGATTGTGCAGCAAACGCACGATTTTTCGGTGAACATGAGAGCAAAAAAACGCTCAAAAACGGCACGGCGGCTACACGATCACCGCGCCTTCACCGCGCAACCTCTGCACGGAAGCTGCACGTGCTCCGTACGATTTCCGTGCGGAGGCTGCAGAGACTGCACGGCTACTGCACTGAAATTGCATGATTGCCGCACAATCTCCAAGCAGCCTCTGTACGGATATGCCCCGGTTTGCCCCCAAAGGCCAATACAAGAAATGGCACGATGCTCGTGGATAATGTAAACACAAACATCGTAGCCCGTATAGCCTCCTACGATGCCCACCGAATGTACAGTTTTATAATGAAGTTTATAACATTACTGATTTAAAAAAAAAAAAACACAGGTCAAAATATTACATAGAGCATAGAGTCAGTATTGAGTTGTGAGTGATGGTACCGTGCATCGTCTGTTGAGAGACAGAAGGGCGTAAACTCATTTTCATTGTATCTAATTGCCGTCCCCTTGTAAGAGGATAGTAACAACTATAACCCCGTCAATATAAGTCATGCTCTTCCTTCATGTTATATGTGCCCTGCAATAATTATTACCTATTTATGTTCAGAACTCCAATATGGAATATCGAATGATTTCAAAAAATTGATTTGTTTTATTCTGCCAAAACATACAAATCGAAATGCATTTTTCATCGATACGACATATACAAAATACAACAACTTTTTTTAACGTATACACAATACATTAATAATAGAAATGTTTATATTTAACAAAATGTAACTAGTAACACACTATCAAGAATTATTCATTAATAACTCTACAGAAGAAGGGCTATCACAATAAACGATCAAATATCTGGTCTTGGCAGTAGGATCAAGAAGGGGGTTAAATTTTTGTGAGAACAAAATGGAATGGAATATAATTAAAAGAAGAAAATACTATTTACCTGCTCCAAAAAGGGCAATGACGCACACTACACCGATCAAGAATCGCATCTTGACAGCTTCAAGGTTGCTTTCTAACTGGTTCCGAATACTTTTGAAGAGAAATGATGAAATGATGAGTGTTCTCCGAGCAGAATGGAGTTGCACCTGTAATTCTGGGACATTTATACACCCCTTGGTTGGCACGAAATCAATATTGGAAAATGTTCAAGTTTCGAAGGAAACGTTTTGTCTTCCTTCTGTATACCATGGATATAAGGTAACCTGTGCATATCCGGTTGTCCTGTATGTGTTACACTTATGGTTTTCCCCTTCTGTTCTGGTATCACTGTTCCTTATTCATGAGGAGTGCTAAAGTAAGCACATTGCCCCCCCCCCATCTTTTGTATATGATCATCTAGGGTAGCCGTGTTCCAGGTTGAGTTTTCCAGACATGGGTTTGTACATGCTAGTTATGCTCTTTAAAATACTCCTCCACTCAACATATACATCACAATCATATCTCAGTTGAATTTCTTGCTCACTTTGGACTATTACAAATTCTGAAGAATATCATTTCTTTTATTACAAGTGTTCACACTGCATGATGTGATTTTGTATGACATTTCTCACACAATCTTTGTTTTTATTTTATGTTCTCGACTAAAGAAAAATGAATGGAAACAGTTGATACCCTTAGATTTAAGTATAAAATAGACCCACGTTCACAAGTTAAAAATTATCGAAAACCTCTTCCATATCCAATTCAAAGATAATTACCTTTAAGATTCAAAACCAAATGATCTTTAATTATCGAAGATGCTCCGATAACAAAAACTTGAAGGGTGTCACAGCAATGTGACATTATATTAAAAACTGACTCGGATATCATAAAATCATAACCACACTACAGTAACAACAATATGAATTCAAAACAAAAATAATGAAATACCTGTGCACACAGTCTTAGGTTTTGAAATAAAAAATCAAGCCTTTTACAGTCAGTCCTCTGCGCATGCCTATAATTAACATTAACATACATGCATATGTAAAAGGTTCGTAACAAGAGACAATGTCTCGCAGGCCTTGGCCCCGTTTCAAACACTTGTTATCAATAACAAATAACTGTAACTGTTATAAGCTACTAAAATAACTTCATTTGATTGGTTGTGACAACAAACTTTGTTATAGAAGTAAAATACTTTTAATTGGCAATTTTGTATTGGCACATTATCAAATTCGGCTGTTCATGGGACTTTCAGGGGATTTTTAGAGAATATTGAAGAATATCCTGTTATTGAGTGTTCTTTTCTTTTCCAACCGTTCTTTCCGTTATATTTTGTTTTCATGTCTCACCTGGAAATGTAACCCGACATGTACATTCCCTGTTCATGGGACTTTCAGGGGATTTTTAGAGAATATTGAAGAATATCCTGTTATTGAGTGTTCTTTTCTTTTCCAACCGTTCTTTCCGTTATATTTTGTTTTCATGTCGCACCTGGAAATGTAACCCGAAATGTAATCATTCCGGTCTATGTTTTGACATTAATAGTTTTTCTTCTATATTCTCAATATGATACAAACAAAAAATTATTGTCGCGGGGCCCCATTACATGTACGTCCTTAATATTTTCAACACGCTTAAAGCCCCCCCCCCTTCCCCCCCCCCCCCCCATCCTGTTTTTAAAACCTACATCACTGGGAGGTGTTGTGGTCAAGTGGACTCTAAAACCCGGACTATTAAGAGCAAGGTGCGGGGGTTCGAGTCCCTGACACGGCTCTAATGTCCTTTAGCAAGACATTAATCTTCATTTGCCATTCTCCATTTAGGCATTGGGTACCCGGCAGAAAGAAACAATAGCCAATACTTGGTGTTTTGTTCTGTTGTATAGAAAGGTATGTCAGATTTGCTTTGGCAGGAGTAGAGAGGGAGAGGGGGGGGGGGTGGGCTCATGTTTAGCTGTCCCCAGCCCAGACCCTCTCCATTTCTTGATTTTCGTTCTTACAGAGCTAATGGAGAAACACTTTACTGCATACTACTTTGTTCGGTACTATTGATTTTGAAAATAATCGCAAATGATAAACAACTCAAGCGTAAGATAGAAACACATACTCCATAGTTCATACTTCATCATCATGATGTGCACCATAAACCTTTATTTCGTATTCACAGAATATTTATTTAATTCATTTTAGTTCAACCTTGATTTCATTCACACTTAAAAATATTGCAAGTTTTAAATATCAACATTTTCATTTTTTTTTAAACTAAAAACCATACCAGTCAGAAAATGTATATATCAAGCATTACACACATCAAGATTTGAAAAGTTGAATGTATTATGTTAACTTAAAACAAGAGTAAAACATAACAAATACAAAACTAGTTTTTAATCGAGATTGAGAAGCAGTATCTTGATGTTTTAAGATTATGTACAATGTCGGACATAGATGCTGAACAAACAAGGATGGATGGATTGACATGCCGTGAATTAACTGAAAAATAGTACACTAGATACTGTATGTATGTAATTAAACAACAACAAAATTGATAATGAACACGGTCGCAATACCGGCCCTCGGGTTATAAACTTAAGGGCAATTTTAATATACTGTATTGCCTATATTATACATGATAGAGATCCTGTTCTTATTACGCAATACGTTAATATAATGTTCGAACATGTCCTAAAGGTGTAGGACAGGGCTACTTAAAGGTAATACAAAGTTTTGGTATGGGGTCATGAATTTGGTTCAAATGAACATATTGGAAACATACGCGATCCCACTATATTCGGTGATCGTTGTCGCGGTTGAAATCGAGGTAAAGTGATGAAATTGTAAATAATAAACTCTTTCGATGTATAGCTCCCTCTCAAGGTCAGGATATTAATTTAGCCATAAAAAATGTTTCGTGACTAAAATCGACCGATTGGCTATTCCTATTTAGAAATTATATATCACAACTACATATTCTGAGATTTTGAAGGTCGCAGCTACCATTGTATGGCCGTTGGCGCTATTTGAAAATATCGAAATTTACCGGGAGCACCGGTAAATTTTCATATTCATTTTTTCTCGAAAGTAGAAGTGTTTTAGGGGTTAAATTTTCTAGTGCTTATAATACATCCACAGGGGCATCAAATTATTTCAAAATTGTAAAGAATCACTATCCAGCCAATTTTCAAAATTTCCCAAAACTTTGTATTACCTTTAATGTGCCTTTTAAAGAGAAGGTTGAGTTCTGGGAAGAGGTGAAAAATAATTTGTGAGCGTTATCATTCTTATTCTTATTATGCAAGTGTGGAAGAACATCAGACAAAGAATGGTTCCTGAAAAACATGGCTCTTCAAATGCTTTAATATTCTAAATATGTCATGTAACATCGTAAAACTCCAGGGTAGGATTTTTACGCCACGTGTTCGTGTAGTCATATACATCTTTCTGTCTACAGTGTTTGTAACTTTACCAAGACTTGGCCAAATTTCTTATCATTTTGATGATTCCAGAACCTTGCAATACACACAAATTCTTATATGCTAGATGATCAACCTTTTCTGGTCGATTTCACATTGTTTCTTTCACAATGCAATCTCATGACCAGTACTCAACTTCATCTTTAAAGGCAATTTTAATAATCTACTGTATTGCATATAGACATGATATAAATCGTCATGTTCTGATTACGCAATACGTCAGTATAATGTTCGCACATGTGGAAAGGTAATAGACAAACGTTGATGTCTATAAAGTAGTTGCAATGGTGTTAATTTTTGTTGTTGTTGAAATAAATCTTTTTCAGATACAAAATCACGGATAACATCATACATCAGTGGTGTTAATGAAATCATCGTTCAATTTGAGATGATGAAATGTGCATAATTATTTTAAGTGATGTGCAAAAGGACTCGGACTGAATTCAAAGTTGCTGGAATTGTTGTCCTCTATCACATCCAATCCGCATCTCGTTGATTGGCTTCTCCACGCTTTTATTTGGAAGGATGATGGGTGCAAACCAATTTGGTTAGTTTTGATTGCCAAATGGGTAGTATTTCAGCCTCTTTCCCCTGTTTTTAAGAAACAAAAGAAGAAAATCTAAAAACTTATTGTGTGCAAACAGCCAAACATAGTTATAAAAATATGGTATGAGAATCGGGCAAACGGAACACTACATTGTTATAACAATGTTGTGCAACAGGAAAATAGAATCTTTGGCGTCTGTAAAAATCTGTCCAGATAATTTCACAGAGAAACGTTACCCTTGCATAATTACTTATCTGATTAAAGAAAAGATATCTGTTCAAAACAATCATCACCGGACAGCTATTCCCTCGATCGAATGATAGGCGATCCTGTTGTCAATACAAAAGCCTTTACACGGTTCATCTTTAAATTTCATCTACACTGAAATTAAAGATTTAAAGGTAATACAAACTTTTAGTATGGGGTCATGAATTTAGTTCAGATGAACATATTGGAAGCATATGCGATCCTACAATATTCAGTGATCGTTGTCGCGGTTGGAATCAAGTCTAAAGTTATGAAATTGTAAATACTAAACTCTTTATGCTGTATAGCTCCCTCTCAAGGTCAATATATTAATTGAGCTACAAAACAATTTTTCTTTACTAAAATCGACCCATTAACTATTCCCGTTTGGAAATTATATATCACAACTACATATTCTGAAATTTTCATGGTCGCAGCTACCGATGTACGGCCGTAGGTGCTATTTGAAATTTATCAAAATTTACCGGGAGCACCGGTAAAGTTTTATATTCAACTTTTCTCGAAAGCAGAAGGGTGTTAGGGGTTAAGTTTACTAGTGCTTATAGCACATCCACAGGGGCATCCAAATATATCAAAACTTTAAATGAATAATAATATGACCAAATGGAAATAAAGAACGAACTTACATGGGAAAGTCGAGCAATCTGTGATCTCTGTTCAGGTCAATGAGTTCCTGCATCTCTTCCTTACTCAACTCAAAGTGTAAGGCCTGCATAAGATACAACATTAATGTTTGGAACAAAGAAACAAATCATAAAAAACAATATCTATGCATAAATGAAATAGTGATGAAAAAATGTGTTTCCTCGAATTCATGTTTGACATTTAATTTGGAAAAAAACAATTCGGACTTTTGTACATCATATAGCATGTGTAAAGAGTTTAATAAATTGAATGAGTCAACTTTCAACTGTTTTTTACAAAGGAATTGAGGAATATCTGGAACCAACTTTTGAAGAAAAATTTTAATGGCTCTATTCTGAAGCACCTGAATCTTACAGAACTCTCTATGTTTCTAAAGACCACAGTGTAATTATCTAGTTTAGTTTGTAATTTCGTTTTTTTTTAAATAAAAAAGATTGCAATATTCTGAGATATACGTATTCTTATCCTCTTAAGTAAATATATTTTTAAGATACCTTCCTTTCTTACAAAATTTGTATGGTCATGCCAGTCGAAACACAATTGAACACAATTGAACACATAATCTAACTGATAATTGTTTATGTCTGTATCGGAACCAGTTAACTTCAAAATATGATTAAACGTTATTATTATAAGTGTCATGTTGCAGTTCGGACATATTGGAAAACGTGTAAACTGATTGATTAACATGATTTATATACAGTGAAAATGATTGATTAAATGGAAGTCAACGGGAGCGAAGGGCCTACCTCAAAATTCTGCTGGATTCTTGATGGCGTCACACTCTTTGGAACAACGACCACGCCCCTCTGGAGCTGGTATCTGATTAGCACCTGGGCGGAGGACACGCCCCTCTTCTTAGCGATAGCACAGACAACAGGGTCTTCCATCAATACGGGTTCCGTGGATTTGTCTCTGTATTGAACAATAAGCCACAATAAAGATTTTAACTTGGAAAAAATAAGCTAAAGACGCCATAAGAACTGAAACTTCTTTAGTTACCGTAAACATATTAGAGATAGTTTTATTTGTTTATGTGTGTGAGACTTTTTTGAGGTCATCCCAACAACATTCGATGGATTGGTTCATACCTATATCTGAATCTCTGTCCGTCTGTATCTCTATCTTTCTTTCTATCTCTCTCACTTCAACTATATACCTACACATGTATCTCTCCCATGTTTTTATATCCCCCTCTATACATTTCTTTGTCTTCCCCCTTTTCGTTTAATCACTCTCTTATTTTGAAATAAATGCGTGCACCTGTATCACTATCGATCTCCTCTCTTTCTATCTCTTTGTTCCCCGTCTCTCCATTTTTCTACTAATTTCCTCCACCCCCTCTTTTTCTCCACACCTCTTCGGTACTGTTCCGTCCTCTTTGCCCTCTATACCTTCAAGTAACCATACTTTGATTCTTACCCTGGTCGCTCCGGTGAACCTAGTGGACTGTAGGCCGTCACAGTGATACCATGTTTCTTACATAACTCAATCAGCTCATTCTGTGCCAGCAACGGGTGACACTCGACCTGATAGAGCCAATCAAAGATGAAGATTTAATGAACCAAAACAAATTTTTTTTCAATGATATCTTGATCCAAAAGGTGTTCAATCGCTATTGTGATTGCTGCCCTCTCAGTCATGTTTATGTTTAACGGCGGCGGTTGTGATTCTCTAGCTGTTTTGCTTTAAAGTTTGCGTTTAAATGAAGGAACTGTTCAGTGGACATCAATTATCAGTATCAGTTCGAATTTGAATATCCAGGGCCCCGTGGCATAAAACTTAACATTGATGGTAACTTTGCCATTATTTATATTGATGGCAAATTAAAGTTACTTTCAACTGTAAATTTTATACAACGGTGCCCATAGTAAATATTCTGCTCAAAATACCAGGAATAATTTTCGTTAGATGTTTTTGTTGGGGGGTGGGGGTGGAGGGGTGGGTGGAGGGGGAGGGGGTGTGCTCTAAAGACACTGCAGCACCTTAATTGATTAAATATTTAAGTTTATATTGTACATTTTAGATCAGGATCGGTACATACCTGCAAATTGGCAACTGGGTGTTTGGGTGGAAGATCGAGGATGCGCTGCATCTGTGATGTGTTAAAATTACTCACTCCGATGGCGCGAACCAACCCCTTGTCGACTAAAGATTCCATGCCCTAAATCAGAGAGACAGCGATAGAAAGAGAGAGAGAGAGAGAGAGAGAGAGAAGGGTAAGGGTAGGGGAGGAGGGAAGGAGAGAGAAGGAGAAAGATATAAGGTGGGGAAAGAATAAAATAATCGTCCAGAATGAAATTACACGGTTCTTTAAATACTTCATTTGAGAAAGATTCATCTTTGTCATTGATAAAGGTGTCATGATCGAGTGGATACGTCACCGGACGGTGTATCACGAGGTCTGCGGTTCGAGTCCCGCCGCGGCACTAATGTCCTTTGACAATACATTGATCTACATTTGCCACACTCAAACCCAGGTGAGGTAGATGGGTACCTGACAGAATTTGATTCCTTAAAATGCTAAAGCGCCGTAATGGCAGCGACGCTAAAGCCAGTGTAATAGCCTGGAAGCGACAGGAGTGTAAAGTCTAAAAAATATGAGCGCTCTACAGGAACCTAATATTATAGATTAGATATAATACTAGATGTACCGAATGATATTCAAAGATGTATCAAAGCTTACTTGATAACGGGTAATTTTTTTCAATTTGTCAATGTTTATTGAAAACAAATATTGAATGCCAACCATGTCTGACAATTTAGAGATGAAAGACAAACAAACAAGCCAAACAACCTACATTAAGAATTGAAAATAACAATTGGTAGAGCCATCCCGAAACCTGTAATTTGTATAATGTTGTCAGCTACAGCATACAACATACAAATATTTTATTTAGGGCATGCATCAATCTGTTAAGGAGAGCAAAAGAGGAAAAGGAAATCTTGAATGCAATTTGTGAGAAGGAAAAAAATTGTTTTCTTACCTTCCACACATCAATATAATCAATAGAATCATCCCCGATCAACATTCCATCTTCACCTAAAGGAAAACTGCCTTTGTCATTCTAAAGAGGGGAAAAGAATAACATAAAATGTAGCAGCATCAATTGTACAACCTCCAAAATATTGAGAGTATTATCATCGTTACTGTGTTTTTTAAATTCTGTTTATTTGCGTGATTTTGCAAATAGTAGAATGTGCAATTTAAAATAAATATAGGATAAGTTTCCATACCAATCGTATGCATTGACCTTTATTACGTTTTCCAAAAAAAAAAAAAATGCTCAATACTTTGAACAAAATAATATAGACCTTCATCATGTATATTTTTGACCTCATGTCATACACACACACACACATATATATTCAGAAATATGCGTCTTATCCAAGCTATAAGTTTTGGATCGGGAACAACATACGACATTTATGACCATGTCAGTATCGGAACTCATCAATATCAAATTACGTTATATGTCAGGTAACCATGGTAACATGAAGATGATACACAATGAGTAAAAAGGACTTTGACTGGGATATTAGCGTCCTGAACTAGAAAACATTTTTGTTCTTTGAAATTAAATTTTAAAAACCAAAATCAATCAGCTTTCGAAGATTTGATGATTAAATCTACATAGTGATTACCACGAGAGACACCGGATAGTGAATAAGATAAAGATCAGCATAGTCGAGTCCAAGATTCTGAAGAGATTCGCGGCAACATGGCTCGATCCTACCAGGGTGAGTTTCTGTTATCCACAACTAAAGAGAGAAAAAGAGGAAAAAGAGGAAAAAGAAGACTTAAAGATAAAGTTGAGTTCTGGTCATGCGATTGCATTGTGAAAGAAACGGTGTGGAATCGACCAGAAAAGGTTGATCATCTAGTATAATATAAGAATTTGTGTGTATTGTAAGGTTCTTGAATCATCAAAATGATAAGAAATTTGACCAAGTCTTGGTAAAGTTACAAACACTGTACACAGACAGATGTATATGGGACTACACGAACACGTGGTGTAAAAATCCTACCCCGGATTATTACGGTGTTACATGACATATTTAGAATATGAAGGCATTTTAAGAGCCATACTTTACAGGGAACATGTCTTATCTGATGTTTTTTCCACACTTGCATAATAAGAATGATAACGCTCACAAATTATTTTTCACCTCTTCCCAGAACTCAACTTCATCTTTAATTTAGTTTATCGTCAACTTGCTTGTGATGGTCACTGTAAAATGCTTGCACATCTTTCACTGTTGCCCATAAATTTGAATAATGTTTTGGTTACCTCTTTTCATGAAATGATTATGACAATATGGATTATTCTTGATAGATGAAGTTTATATCCTCTCAGTGCTTTATTTTCAGCTAAAAGAGTCATAGAGATTGATCCATAAAGTTCTGAGATGATATAAATTTCAAAGATAAAAAATAAACCATATTGTCACAACCAGTTCATCGAAAGAATGAATTAATAATCAGTCCAACTCAGTTCTCTTTTTTAAAAATTCTAACTTTGTTTCATTACAGACCCCATCCTATGTTTTGGCGATCGTGTTCAATAGTGTTTTACTAAAGTCCATCATGTCCGCTGCACTTCTATTTATACGACATACACCTAGGGAAAGACTCTGAACCAGGTCAAAATCTAAACATTCAAAATCCAACTTTAAGAAGGCAGTACATCAAGACATGGCCTCATTAAAGGTGAAATTCAAAGAAAATCACAAATATGTCAACTAATGTATGACTAGAAACTGGTAATCTAGCAGATTTACATCCTACAAGTTATAAGTCAACTATATATCGGGTGATTTATAAAAAATACAAATACAACCACCTCCATAGCAGCTGGGATATACCAGAGATTCGCCGGAAAAATAACGATGTTTTAATGACGTCACTATATGGACCAACACTGCCCAAGCAGACGACATCCCATAGAGAATGAACATAATTGCAAAGCTATTATTTGTCAAATTATAATAAGTTTAGTGTATATAAATTTAATGGCATGTCAAACCATTCAAAAGGGGATATGACCTGATTCTGATAACTAAAATCTTTTGCTTGTAAATACACAGGATAGGAGTTAATTAACAATCAAAGAAACCAGACTTTCAAATCGAAAAACCCCGGGAATGATATTAAGGAGGGCATTTGTTCCCTCTTGAAACGCCGAACATACCCCGGTGTGTGCAGCTGAATATACAATGGCGTCTTATTTTGTTTACAAGCGACAGATTCCTTTATTTTTGTATCGCTGCATTTGTCATCAAAATAAAACCATGCGCGGGGTTAAGAGTGAGGCAATAGATTATACATTTAGCCTGACGGTAGTGAAGTAAGAGAAAGAACTAAAGAAAAGATGAAAACACAGGCACTAAAAATGTGTGAGATGTCATGGGGTATCGTCTGCTTGTGCAAGTCATGTCCATACTGTGATCTCACACATCTCAGCAGCGTTCGGAGAGCTCTTCCGGTGCTATGCCGGGGCTGTATTTAAGCGTTTTGTAATTTATAATAATCATTACTTCGAATGTTTCCAAGCATTGAATTTTGATAACCTTGTCGAATCAAAGTTTCAACTTTGCAATAATGAAAATAAATTTAGTTTTTAAAATCAATGAATATCAACTTTAAGAAAGGGCAGATGATTACTTATCCATCAACGAATTCGTTTAGCACCAATTTTGAGTTGCCTAATCTAAGGCACGGAATTATAAAATCTGTGATGTTTATACAGGGACATGCTATCACTATGAACATGACGGACAAAGAAAGCGGACAAAATATACAGTTCCTCATTCTACCCTCAACAATTGCTATGGTAGACAAAGGAACATCCCTTCACTGCTATTATGTAAAAATGTGTAGAACAGGTGTCACAGTCATATTCACCTTTTCTACACATTTTTACATAATAGCAGTGAAGGGATGTTCCTTTGTCTACCACAGCAATTGTTGAGGGTAGAATGAGGAACTGCAAATTTTGTCCGCTTTCTTTGTCCGTCATGTTCATAGTGTATCCCTCTTTGGGAAATATATTTTAGTCATTGGATATCTTTTTTTGCCTTCCAAAATGCAGAAGACAGAGGTGTCGTGATATAGTGGTTCAGTCATTGACTCTCACTCCAAGGGATGAGGGTTCAAGGCTCAGCCCGGCACTAACATTCTTTGGCAAGACATTAATCCACATGTGCCACTCTCCACCCAGGTGTTAGCTAGTGTACCTAGCGAATGCTGGGGTAGTAATAATTGCAGTGCCATCAGGAAGAAAGGCATTGTTGCTGATGAGGCTTCCCCAGGTAAAAAAAATAGTATTATAACCTTTGTGGTGACGAAGATATCTTCTCTCTTGATGGTCCCGTCGTCGATCTTGGCTTTGATTGCGTCACCGACCTCCTTCTCGTTGGCGTAGGCGTACGCTGCATCGATGTGACGGTATCCGCATGCGATGGCCGTCTCGACGGCGTGACGCACCTTCCCCGACTCCGACTACCATTACGACAGAGAACAGAACAGAAAAGAAAAATTGTTTACGCCTATTGCACTCGAGACGTCATTATGCCTGCACTGATCAACTGTGTAAAGAGGATTGGCTCGTACACTAGTAACTCAAAGCAGTGTTTGACTGCACTGTTGATGCTTGTGATCATTTTCTAAACGCTGTTAATCTCATATGACATGCACAAGACCGCGCCAGTACACTCTAAGAAAAAAGGGGTTCAAAAAAGGGTGCAAAATAAGAGTTTGCACCCTTTACATAAAAATGAACCCTATTGAAGGAAAAGGGGTTCAAAAAAGGGTGCAATATAAGATTTTGCATAGTGCATGCATATTTATGATTACTTTCCACGTGTTCACATAATAGCATACACATGCTTTAGCAGTTTCGCAAAACACACATTGGCAAGTTATTATTCAATAAAATCTGAGAATGTATACTATTATCTAGATCTATTATTTTTAAATTATTTTTAAAATAATTCCATAAATTGGCGTAAAACTAAAATATTCCACCTTTATGAGCGACAGTGTATAAAGAAATAAAAACATACGTAGACCAAAACCTCTCTCTCTCTCTCTCTCTCTCTCTCTCTCTCTCAATCTCTCTCCCCTCTCTCTATCTCTCTCTCTCTCCCTGTCTCTTCGTCTCTCTCTCTCTCTCTCTCTCTCTCTCAGGTAAAGTATGCAAATAAACTATATATCTTCCGTTACAAAGGTCAAGTTTGATAGCTCGGAATGAGCTTTATCATGAGTTCATGCTGTAGCCATTGAGATTTTGGTTGTGTGATGTCAATGGGATTCCGGCATGAGGGTCAATAACTATGAAACGATAGTCTAAAAGTGGGTGTTTTTACTTCTAAGACTTTTGTCACATATCTATATTTCTTGTTATTATAATGTACAATAACAATACGTACACATACGCACACACGCACGCACACGCACACGCACACACACACACACGCACACACACACACACACACACACGCGCGCACACACCACCATACTTTTTTTTTTTTTTTTTAACAATTTTGTTTTATTTCTCCAGATGTGTAATACAAACCATGACATACAATTGAATAAAATAAACGTGTTCAATATTGATGCTTTGACATAAACATAATTAAACACAAACTTATTTGCAGTATAATATAACTTAGCAACAAAGTAAACGTATAAGTACCTAAACATAATATGTCAATTGTAAATGTTATTTACTTATATATTACAAAAAAAAACAAATCTGGAGATAATTTTACTGAAACAATCCTGCCCCCTCCCTGCCCCCTCCATCACACAGACATACTCACCCTCTATCACACAAACATATACTCACCCACTCACACACATACTCACCCACCCACCCACCCACCCCCCACCCACACACACACAGTACTCACTCAGTGGATGTCTGCCAACATTCTCAACTTAAGAAAAATATACTAAATAAGTTATCCAGGCCGCAAAATCGAGTTACGCTTTTAACAAGCTCACGGTGGAGAAGAAAGCAAATCTTAATTAATCTTAAGCTGCTCCCACTTTAAGAAATGTGATCCTAGCTTAATTTCCCATTTTAATTGCTATTTTCTTTTCCTCATCCCTATACTTAAAAATGCTTTTTTTCATCTTTTCTAAAGTTAGTACTCGCCCCCCCCCCCGATCTTGACATAAATGTAACATACTTCACCATGAAAATGATAGTATTACTCATTTTTATTCTATATGAACTACCTACCAACCCAACAAATATATCTCGCCATTCTAAATCTTTAATTTCATCTAACTCAAAAAGTTATATTAAAGCCTGCCATAACCTTTGAACGCTCCCACAAGATAAAAATAAATGTTTGTATGTTTCTATTTCCTGCTTACAAAACGAACATAAATTATCACCAACAAAACCAAATCTATCCATACACACAGCGCACACATGCACGCACACACACACACAAACACACCCACCACAACACACCCACACACCACACGCCCTAACACAAACCCCACATGCATACGCACACGTATATTAAACAAACACACAACACCCTCATCCACCCCATTCTCATTACACTCACAGCCATCATCACACCCCACCCCCTCCCTCTTAATTTGATATTTAGAAAATAGTTGCGATCTTGTTCAATAACTTAGGCAAATCTGGGTTCATGTTCAACTGAGCCGTGATGGCTCGGTGGCAGAGCAGTTGTCTCGTAACTGGGAGGTCCCAGATTCGAAACCAAGTCGATGCGCTACTGCCCTTTGGAAATCCTCATTACCAAGTCCATCGGAGAGGTCTTAAAGCCGTCAGTCCCCTGGTTGTTCGTTTACAAGCACACGCAAGTTTTCTTAGCTGATAAAACCAACCATTCAACCAACCAATAATAACGTATTTTGGACTTACCTGCCATGTCCCGAGTCCAAGAAGAGGGTACTTCTTTCCACCCGGTAAAACTGTGAACAGATTGGAATCAGCCATTTTCTTTACTCATTAATTTCGGATATCTGGAGCAAATGTAAACCTGTCCGTAGAACTTTAATACAACACCACCAAAAGGTTTCCTTAGGTCTTATGACAGCCGGATTACTGCACAGCAAAACAAGATCGCTAACTGTCCCAGATGATTTAGTTAATTCTGCTGTTGACTAGAGCCTTGATCTTTTCAGATGTACATCGATATGGCCTATATATCTATAAAGGTGTCGGATTGAAAAGCAGTAGGCCCTACCGGTTTGTGCGACCTTTGTCATATCATGGACAATACCAATGCTAATACCGTGATTACCGTTCACTGTGCAAATACAGGCCACCGTCGGGTCACTCGGGTGTAAAAAGTTTGTTTGGATAGCTTTGCTGTTATTTGATGCAAGCAGGGCTCAAATTAATTTTTTGTCCACGGGGGCTCTTCCCCCCCAAAAAGAGCCCCCGTGAGCCTTATCATGGGGGCGCTTTTAGTGCTGACGGGGGCTCTTATTTTAATACAAATTTCAATTGAATTGGTACCCATGAAACTCCTAATTTTCTTTGGTATTTTATCATTATCATTTAGTTAAGCGGCATTTTCCCTCTTAAAAATGTACTTGTTACCTAGCTGTTATATATCCCCGTGATGACATTCTCTCCATTTCTTCCCGTTCTGCACATAATGTCCTCCTCATTATTCGGAGCAACCTTATTTACATTCTTTCTTTACTTTTAGTCTTTACCATATCCTTCCAAAACACAGAGGCGGATCTAGCTTTTGCTAAGGGTGGGGGGGGGGGTAACCTAAATACGATGTGGAGCATCGTCCACGAGCCGCGTAGCGGCGAGGCGATTTTTGTTGTTGCTATTTTGAACCCCCGCGTTAGTGATGTTTTCCTGACATCTACTGACATCTAATACTGTGTAGGTCTGGACACATGATAGCATTTTTCTATGCACATCACATTTTCACTTGACAGCCCAAGGGGGAGGGGGGTTCATTGCAACCTCCTAAACTAGATCCGCCCCTGCAACATCTTTGGTGATCTTCTTCTCAATATTGATTTACTGGTCGAGTTACATTATTTGCTGGTCTTTTAGAATAACCAGATTTCAGAGGATTCACACTTTTCACAACAAAAAACTTCTCCATGTTTCAGTCCTTGCGCGATCGTCTCCAGCTCCAGCAGATATTGGGCGTCAGCATGCACACCAGTACTACCGGCGCAGTATAGCCACTGCTGACGGCCGCATTATTAGCTGCACGGCGAGCTTCCCACTATGAACATGACTGACAATGAGAGCGGACAAAATATACAGTTCCTCAGGTAGACAAAGGAACATCCCTTACTGCTATTATGTAAAAATGTGTAGAACAGGTGTCACATGCATATTCACCTTTTTACATAACAGCTGTGAAGGGATGTTCCTTTGTCTACCTGAGGAACTGTATATTTTGTCCGCTCTCATTGTCAGTCATGTTCATAGTGTCCGTTGTTTGTATCGGTAGGGATGGGAGGGACAGCGCCATATTAGTTCCATTTCATCGGTTTTAAATTAAATACGCAATATTGTGTTAAAGTTATATCAGAAAAGATAATCTTTATTTTATAATTCCACGGGGGCGATTTTTAATTTTGCAATCGCCCCCGTGAGCAACCTGACGGGGGCGATTATGGAGCTCACGGGGGCGAATCGCCCACCGCCCCCGTGTATTTTGAGCGCTCAAGCAAGATATTAACAATTATAATCAACTGTCATTTTCTTTTCTCCTGAGTTTAACAAGTTCAAGGGCATATTTATCCGCCCACCTTTGAATACAAAAAAAAATACAGAAGAAAATGGACGAAAGATTATGTACCGAGATGTTGTCACCCCCGTTTCACGAGTAAATCTCTTCTTTAATTAATGCTTGTTTGATTGCTGGGTGCCTTGTCTGCTCAAATCATTGGCGATCAATGCTTTACTACTTCTATCTCTCGTTTTGAGTCCAGTTTTGTTGTCCAGTGAACTTTCCCTCAACTTTATTCTGTCAGTATCCTGTTTTCGGTGCCTTTTCTTCTCATAATATGGCCAACAAACTGAAGTTGTCTCTTCCTTATGACGTTAAGATTTAAAACAGCGCTCAAAATACACGGGGGCGGTGGGCGATTCGCCCCCGTGAGCTACAAAATCGCCCCCGTCAGGTTGCTCACGGGGGCGATTGCAAAATTAAAAATCGCCCCGGTGGAATTATAAAATAAAGATAATCTTTTCTGTTATAACTTTAACACAATATTGAGTTTCAATTTTCAAACCTTAAACCAATGAAATGGAACTAAGATTAGCGTGCAAGATTTCTCGTTTTATGAGTAGGCCTATTATTACCGATTCAGCTCGCAGTGCAGTGCCGCCGTCAGCAGTGGTTATAGGCCTATACTGCGCCGTTAGTAGCGGTTCGTGTGCACGCTGCCGCGCCATGTCTGCTGGAGCTGGAGGCGATCGGGCAAGGGCAGAAACATGGTCATGGCCTGGAGAAGTTTTTCGTTGTCAGCAAATAATGAACCTCGACCAGTAAATCAATATTAGGGACTTTTAGATTTGCACGATGAGAACGTGGACTGCAACGTGTGACCTCCTTTTAAGGCACTGCCAGTGCTTAAAAGGACGTCACATGTGATTGCCAGTGCCTTAAAAGGACGTAACACGTCCAAGTCCACGTCCACGCAAATCTAAAAGTCCCTTTTGAGGAGAAGAGGAAGACCAAAATGTCGTGGAATCAGGGGCGGCGATTTCTGTTAATGACCGGGGGGGGGGACGAAATGCGAATTTTTTTTTTACGAGGATGTTATGCGAGGGAGCGTAGCGACCGAGCGAGATTTTTTTTGCAATTTTATTAGTCTAAACGCTGCACTCTTAGGCCTTCCAGAGCCTAAAAGTGTGTTGCAGTCATTATTCAGTATATGCTATACAATTTGTTTTGCACTTTTTCAAATTTCCAGGGGGGGACGATCCCCCCTAAAAAAATGAGGGGGGGGGGGGGGACGTGTCAGAAGAAATGTCCCACTTTTTAAAAGTTGTATTGTCTGAAGTATGAATATTTAATCATGGGTTTCATGATATATCTTGATAGAGTTATCCTCCCAGTACATTTAGGTACCATTTTCATTTGAATCCCTGCATGCATCACTGAATATCAGACACTGCCAGATCTCACTTGCGCCAAGTTACTTGGTGAGGAATAAAACAATGCATTGGACAAAGACAGTCAGGCACGTGCACACACCAACACGCACACACACAACACACACGGTGACAATTATTTCATAATTGCCCCTTTTCTGATTGAGCATTGATTTTTATCAAGATCGCTGAATGTTTAAGTGGCATAACCCTAAAGTAAAAATCTTTCCCTTTTAAACACATTCACTACCACGATCATGTCATCATTGTCATCATCTTAATCTTCATCATCATCATCATCATCATCATCACCATCATCATCATCTAGCACAACATCCGCCAATACGCACCAAGAGGACAGCGGCCACTCAACTTTTCGTACGATAAGAAGAATTCCCGACAAAAAGTAACAGTTTTGGTAGGCCTTGTCGGGAATGGAATGCTCATTTGTGGACGTGTGCCTGTGCATGATCGTATATATATATATATATATATATATATATATATGTGTGTGTGTGTGGGGGGGTGCGTGTATTTGTGTGTTTTTGTCTGTCTGGCTGATTGGATAATTGAACAAAATGGCTGTCTTTGTTCAAAACATTATTTTGTTCCTCACCTAGCAACTTGGCACAAGTGAGATCTGTCAGTCTTGTAAAGATTGTCTGATGTTCAGTCATGCATGCAGAAATTCAAATGAAAATGGTACCTAAATGTACTGGGAGGATAACTCTATCAAGACATATATCATAAAACTCATCATTAAATATTCATACTTCAAACAATACAACTTTTAAAAAGTGGGACATTTTTTCTGACTCACTCTGTATGTGTCCTCTGGTATCCGTACCTCCTGTATTTAAATCTGCGTTGTACATTTCGAGATGCCGCCGTGAGGGACCCGCACGGGCAATATTCATTTTAAATGGCCCCCGGACGGCAGACGCCTGTTGTTGTGCATATCACCCGGGGCTCTTGAGGGGCCCGTGAGGGCGCCGTAGGGTACACGTACGGAACCCTTGAGCACCGCAAGGCGCCCGTAAATATTTTTTATTAAAATTGAAGAAAAATTCGTAAGGGGCCCGTCCGGGCACTGTCCGGAGCCCGCACGGGACCCGTAAGGTGCCTCACGGGCCCTTTACGGGTTTTCTACGGGCTTACGGTCAGTTAAAAACGCCGGGAGAATTGGGAGCAGCCAACTCAGCACCACGGGGCCCGTACGGCTTAGAAAACTGTCCCGGCGCCCGTAGGAACTTGTCGGCAGCCGGCCGGACACCGGCCGAAAATTCCCAAAATGTCTGTTTTTACTCGCCGTACGGGCCCCTTAGTGTATATGTGAAAGCCCCATAAGCATGGCTGAGATTTGTAAAAGTTGTTTTTACAAAAATGATTCGGGTGAATAATAATGCTTATTCAAACAAATATTCGCATCAATTTGAATCACAATCATTATTTGTCGCTTAATCCCTTTTAATGTCCATGTTTTCTTTTTCGTTTGCAAGGGGAGAAGAAGATATGTCACGTTAAAGACATCATAAAGATCAGTGTTGTATGCGTATATACAGGGGCGTACGCAGGGGGGGGGTTTTGGGGGTTCAAACCCCCCCTTTGGTATTTTTATGTGTGTAAACCCCCCTAAAAAAAACCAAACCCCCCCCCCTTTGGTTATTAAAAAAAAAAAAAAAAAAAAAAATTATACCCACGGTTAACCTAAAAAAGGTGACCTTACCCCCCCCCCCCCCCCAACGAAGAAAAATGTCAAATTTTGAAATTTCGAGACCAAAAAAAAAAAAAAGTGTCCGCTTGTGTAGTCCCATATACGGGGGAAGAGCCCCCGTGGACAAAAATTAATTTGAGCCCTGGTTAAAAAGCTTCAGTCAATAATGAGTTAAACGAACTCCGAAACTGTGAATAGTATCGTCAATATATATCCCTGACTAACTAAATTGATCATTAAATTGTCTTCCCTGTTGCCAATAGGAGTTCTACTTCTTTTTTTGTCACCTCAGTATAAATATGGCGACAGAGGATTTCTCGCCAGAGAACGTCGCTAGACTCCTCCTGACCTTGTAGGGTTGTCGTCAAAATATCGTCGACTGTCGTCGTTGCTGACTGTGGTGAATTTCATTGTTGCGAATTAGCATAACGATTGCAAACCAACTTTCTGTAACATTTTCAGAGAAACCAATGCTTCATCGGTCGTCTCCAGGCCTTGTCCACGTACCAAATGCGGTTGTAGTTCTGGGGGTGTTTCATAAAGACTAAGATTGACTTTAAGTTTGACTTAACTATGGTAGGCTGTTCATGCCACTGTTTGCTCTCACCATTTACTGGCACTGGTCTCTCAAGAGACGTACAAATCATGGTCACAAATCTACAGAATTTACATTTTTTGATAATTCATTACTGAAGAAAAAAATGTTATGAAAAGATCATAATTGAGAGACCAATGGTGAGAGCAACCAGTGGCATGAATGGCCTGCCATGGTAGAGTCCAACTTTAAGTCGATCTTAGTCTTTCTGAAAAACCCACTTGGTGAACAACTTAGTTGCAATAATTCTTAGAAATGTCAAGAGGCATTACATGACAGGAAACACGAGGACGACAATCCTCTTTCTATGTTTAATTTCATTCGGTTGTACATGCTTCAATGTTTAAGATATGGATAAATATTGAAATAAAAATATATATTTCGATGCATACTAACAACGTCTACTCATGCAAAGAAGTTATAATCTAGCCATAATGGTGGGCGGGCATTGTCACGCCAATATCACTATTAAAGACACCTGTGGAAATCTAGTGGTGACCCATATTTGCTGTACAAAAGAAAAGGGGTGTCATCATCCATTTACAATAGATACATGGTCTAACGAACTGTGTGAACAGTACAAACAGCAATATATTGTTGTTTTTTGCTCTGGCATACTCAACTATCATGTTTAGTGTTCAAAGAGGGTGTGTACTAGCAGTACCTGTTTAGAGCTCTCCTGTAGATTTGTGTAAACTTCATTAAAAGTAAAGGGATAACATGGCTAGTTCGAATACCCACATCGTTCTACCTGGAGGGAGGAAGCTGCCCCTTCTAGGATTTGGGACGTGGCAGGTAAGACACACCCCCTCAAAGGGACATTATATTCGTGAAGATGACTTTTTATACCGGTCCCCATATATGTTATTTAAAGAAATCTATTATATTTTTTAAAATGTTTGCTCATCACTATTATCATTTGTTTAAATATATTTAATTTCATTGCAAGTAAACAAGGTAACAACAGCTTTAAGTCGTCTTCAAGAGACTTGGTGTTGAGGGTCAATGCCTAATCAAGAGGGATTTTCGCAGTTTCGAACCCGATATCTCTCGGTTTACAGGGCCACTAGCTGCTCTATCACTGGGCCATCGCACCTCTTGTCGACGTGAGCTATATAGCTCTCTTCTCTGTGGTTCACTATTACGATAGTACCCCTCAGTAACTTAACATTTTTCTTGGGGGGGGGGGGGGGGGGGGGGAGTCCCTTTCCAGATCTCTGAATATCTCGATGGCATTTCACACTACTTTGTGGTTATTTATTTCAATAATATATTATAGTACTTAGAGACTTCGGTGGTAAGCACTTTTATAAGCACCGTTTGTATTATTATTATTATTATTATTATTTGTTCTATTCAAGCTAATTTTTTAAATCACTGTCTGTTATTGTTAAATAATATGTTCAAACTTTGTGTCGCAGTTACTTGAAATGATAATCTTCTTTGTTGGTCTGGAGTGCATTATAATAATAATAATAATAATATTTAATTTTTATATAGCGCTTAATACAAATGTCTCTAAGCGCTTTACAAATATACTATTACCCCGGTTCGAACGTTATTCCATTTGAATCGCATTATTATTATGATTATTATTATTATTATTATTATTTATTAGGCCAATCATAAAGCACAATACAAATACATTTTGACAGATCATGCAATACATAAACAATACAAGAGGAAAAGGGAGGGAGCAACGTGTGGGCCAGGGCTCACAAAAGTGAAATTCAACACTATTACCCGGAGGCATGTGACCCCTCACATGTTGCTCCCAAATCAACTTATATATATTATAAACATAACATTGACTTACATACAATATTGCACATTGTTTGAAAAAAAATACATCTTAACTCCCCCCCCCCCCCCCTCCTTCCAAAAATTAAAACAAAAATGACAAATGTATTACATCGCATATTCCTACAAAGATGGATATCACTTAGATGTACCAAGGACATTATAATCAGCATGATATAAGTTGTATTTTTTTTAACATAATCAATCCTACATATCAGTTGTGTTTTGCAGCGACCCCGTTTCTCAATTCACTTGTATGAACAATTAATTGAATGAATGAATGAAAGAATGAATTATTGAATGAATGAATGAATGAATTATTGATTAAATGAATGTAATGAATGATCGAATATATTGATTCATGAATAAAAGGACTAAAAAGTTATCATTACATACAAAATTGTATAAAACATTGCCCTATCCATTTTCAGTTGTTAAGAACATTTTTTTAGATATTATATATATATATATATATATATATATATATATATATATATATATATATATATATCTTGCTCGTCAACTAATTAATTTTGTGATGTGTAAAGTATTGGTTAGCAAGCTTTACTAATACACGACATTCAACATACTTTTTTTTTTACTAATTCAATTAGTTATCTCAATTTCTGCGTCTAAATTTTGTGTGTTAAAATTATTATAGTTACTTCACAGTTTTTGTAATCAAGATTTGCAATTCAAGTGTTATCGTCAACAGTTGTCTGTAAAGGAGACAAATCGGTCAGAAAGTTTATAATGCATTACAATTTAGGAGGCATTAACAACGGCCTATACAGTTTTGTCGAGAAAGCGTAACCACAAAATAATGAAAAACAGCCTTCCAAAATCATGCAGATAAATAGGCAGTCATCTGCATCCTGATCCCCTGGAGCGATTCTAGAGCGGGGCCGGGGGGGGGGGGGGGGGGGGTAGAGTCACCTTCAAGAGAATTCTTGAGACCTCCCCATGATTATTGATTATATATGAATCAATGCGAGGCACATGTAGAAAATGGATGCAGGAACCCCTAAGCCCACTCCCCAAAACAAAAAATCACAAGGACCCCCCACCAAAATCTCCCCAACGAAATTCTTCGTCTAGAAGCGCGCCTACTTGATGCACTATTCAAACGGACAACATCGACACCAGACGAACAAAAGATCGAGACAAATATTTACATGACCTTTAAGGATACGAATCGGTAGGTTTGGAGTCGTTCCGGGTCCTGTTTCATAAAACTTGTCATCAATAGCTAATGCTTAAACCAATCAGATGCCGCGATTTTAGTAGCTCATAATAGTTATTGTAACCTGTTAATTGATTCAACAATGGCCTTGCAGTCAGCTTGGCGCTGTGGCTGAGGAATAATTATTCATATGATACAGGTCAATTATCAAGGACAAAATTCCATACAGATTTGTTTGTAGAGTGTGTCCACATATCTGTAAACTTTGTTAGACAAATAAACACGACAGCCGAATGACCTTTGTTTACAGATTCGTTCAGGGCTAATAAAAATAGACAATGCTATAATTTGTTTGATATATATCTTAGCCATCTAATATACAGATAATTTATAGGTGTGTATTTTTTTACAAATAGTATTCTGCAAATTTAGTTATACAAATATTATTGAGATATGTCATTTAAAACTCAATACATACTTAAATCTCGCCTTTCTGCAAAATTAATCTGGAAATTATCGTTCTGCAATTTTGTATCATTTTTAGATCGCAATGAGATACATATGGTGGCCCTGAAGGGACATCGCGAATAGACTAAATCGTGAAAAATATGCGATAAAATTCACGATATCGTCAATTTTATCGCATATTTTTCACGAAGAAATTCACGAAATTGACGATATCGTGAACTTTATCGTGAACTTTTCACGATGAAATTGACGATATCGTGAATTTTATCGTGAAAAGTTCACGATATAAAGTTCACGATATCGTCAATTTTATCGTGTACTCTATCGTGTACTCTATCGTGTACTCTATCGTGTACTCTCCTGACGGGCGCTTCGTAAACAAAACCAGCCCTAGCTGGGGGAGACAGAGAGAAGGAAAAAAGGGAAAGGGAAAGAGAAGATAAAAGGAAAGAAAGAATAATAAGAAGAAAAGAGGGAAACGGGGGGGGGGGGCGAAGGGCTCTTGCCTCCTCCTCACTCCCCCCCCCCCCCGCCAAAAAATAAATAAGGAGAGAGAGAAGGGAAAGGGAAAGGGAAAGAAAATATAAAAGGAAAGAAAGAAGAGGAAGAAGGAAAGATGGAAACGGGGGAAGGGCGAAAGGCTCTTACCTCCCCCCCTCCGCCAAAAAATAAATAAGAGAGAGAGAGAGAGAGAGAGAGAGAAGGGAAAGGGAAAGAAAGAAGAGGAATAAGAGGGAAACAGGGGAAGGGCGAAGGGCTCTTGCCTCCTCTCCCCCCCCCCCGCCAAAAATAAATAAGAGAGAGAAGGGAAAGGGAAAGAAAATATAAAAGGAAAGAAAGAAGAGGAATGAGAAGGAAAGAGGGAAACGGCGGAAGGGCGAAGGGCTCTTGCCTCCTCCCTCCCCACCCCCCGCCAAAAAAAAAAAATAAGAGATAGAGAGAGAAGGGAAAGGGAAAGGGAAAGAGAAGATAAAAGGAAAGAAAGAAGAGGAAGAAGAAGAAGAAAAGAGGGAAACGGGGGCGAAGGGCTCTTGCATCCCCCCGCCCAAAAAATAAATAAGAGAGAGAGAGAGAGAAGCGAAAGGGAAAGAGAATAAAAAAGGAAAGGAAGAAGAATAAGAAGAAAAGAGGGGCTCTTGCCTCCTCCCCCCCCCCTCCCGCGCCAACAAATAAATAGGAGAGAGAGAGAGAGATAGAGAGAGAAGGGAAAGGGAAAGGGAAAGAAAATATAAAAGGAAAGAAAGAAGAAGAAGACGGAAAGAGGGAAACGGGGAAGGGCGAAAGGCTCTTACCTCCCCCTCCCCCCTCCCGCCATAAAGGGAAAGAGAAGGGAGAGGGAAAGAAAATATAAAAGGAAAGAAAGAAGAGGAAAAAGAATAAGAAAAGAGGGAAACAGGGGCGAAGGGCTCTTGCCTCCGTTCTTTTCTTTCTTTTCCTTTCTTTCCTATTCTCCCTCTTTTTCGTTTTTCTCTTTCTTTCTTCTCTTTCCTTTTCCTTCTCTCTCTCTCTCTCTGATTTATTTTTTGGCGGGGGGTGGGGGAGGGGGGGGGGCAAGAGTCCTTCGCCCTTCCCCCGTTTTCCTCTTTTCTTCTTCTTCCTCTTCTTTCTTTCCTTTTATCTTCTCTTTCCCTTTCCCTTTCCCTTCTCTCTCTCTCTCTGATTTATTTTTTGGCGGGGAGGGGGGGGGGGGGGAGTGAGGAGGAGGCAAGAGCCCTTCGCCCCCCCCCCGTTTCCCTCTTTTCTTCTTATTATTCTTTCTTTCCTTTTATCTTCTCTTTCCCTTTCCCTTTTTTCCTTCTCTCTGTCTCCCCCAGCTAGGGCTGGTTTTGTTTACGAAGCGCCCGTCAGGAGAGTACACGATAGAGTACACGATAGAGTACACGATAGAGTACACGATAAAATTGACGATATCGTGAACTTTATATCGTGAACTTTTCACGATAAAATTCACGATATCGTCAATTTCATCGTGAAAAGTTCACGATAAAGTTCACGATATCGTCAATTTCGTGAATTTCTTCGTGAAAAATATGCGATAAAATTGACGATATCGTGAATTTTATCGCATATTTTTCACGATTTAGTCTATTCGCGATGTCCCTTCAGGGCCACCATAGATACATGCACTATGAATGTAATGATATTGACTTTAATCATGAGACAATCAGAAGCGTTGATTTCGATTCGTCAAAAAATACACGAATACTGATGAATGACTGTGACCAGAGGGTAGGGGCGGACTATTAACCAAGGGAACTTTGCGGAGTTTTATCCAAGGGCCGCCCAATATTTTAGCTCGAGTTTTGATCTATTGTGGAGTGAGGGTTAGTTTATAATGTATCTTCTATGTGAGTTTGGTGATCGCATCAATATTCCCAAACCGACAGAGACAAAGTCGTTTTCCTGTAAATTGACAGTACCCTGCATGTCCGAAGCTGCCACACGAGTCAAGCTGTAAAATAATTTCCCCCTCCCCTTCCTCAGGGTTCCTTTATTAAATGATATCGTTCACATAATGTATACAAGAAGAGATATAAAAAAGGACAATTTCAAAATGATATTCTTGGCATGATAAGAACATACATTTATAGATATCAGTTTAAAATTGCAGTCAGTTACAAATCAGTTACAAATTACAAGTTGTAAAATATTTGATGATGAATAGGAAAATATAAATTACTTGGATTATTCAATCGATATAATTGCTATCATTTGTAAAATTTCAATGATAGATAAAACCGGAAGAAGTGGGTCGCGTCATCGAAACGGCCATCGACTGTGGATATCGTCACATCGACGAAGCTTCCTTATACGGCAACGAGAAGGGCGTCGGTGACGGGATCAAAGCCAAGATCGACGACGGGACAATCAAAAGAGAGGATCTTTTCGTCACTTCAAAAGTAAGCAAATTGAGGGGCAAAATAAAGGCCCAGTGGTTATCAATTTCAAAGATGGAGCTTAGTTTAGTCCATGGTTCAACATTTATGCTGAAAATGCGTTTTTTTTTTTGTTTTTTTTTTTGTTTTTTTTTTGTTTTTTTTTTTAATATAATTTTTTTTAAATATTAAAAAAAAAATCATTTTAAAACCTGTATATCCGGATTTTTTATATCCGGGAATATTTCAATATAAATTAATCAAACAAACTTGTTTTGCATGATTATCAGATCTGATAATAATAACAATTATTTACATCTATATAAAGTTTATTTTACATATTGTTTCTATAAAGCGCTTTACATAATTAACTTACACGAATTAAATGGAGAAAAAAAACCATTGAGATTGTATATATTCATATCATGAACCTGTGTAAGCAATGCTTTCGAAATAAAAAGTAATAGTTTATGTATGTTTCGGCAAAGATACACGATTTCTTTATTCATGAAAAAATTAGTCTGCCTTTTTTTTTTTTTTTTTGAATGAGCATATACGACAACCGTGGCGCAAAGCAACTTACGGACAGTTATTTTCTGAGAACAGTTAGAATCATGGAAGAATTTGGAGATCAATTGAAAAAATAAAAAAGATTCGATAAGAAGGAAAGAGCATAAAGATCATTTATATAACTATTGTTCGCACGCAAGGAAAAATAATTTTCACAAAAATGATAAATATGGATGATATAAATGACGTTTAATTGAATCGAATTGGCTTGAATATATTCACTCAGTTTTACGGGGTACTACATTTTTAATTTAGGTGTTTTCCTCACTCTCTCTCAACCTTTGTCTTTCTGTCTCTGCCTATCTCTGTCTGTCTGTCTGCCTCTCTGTATCTCTGTATGTCTGTATGTCACTCTCTCTTTCTCTGTCTCTGTGCATGTCTCTCTTTCTCTGTCTGTCTGTCTGTCTCTATCTCTTTCTCCGCCTCTGTCTCTGTCTCTCTCTGTCTGTCTGTCTGTCTGTTCGTCACTCTCTCTCTCTCTCTCTCTTTATATATATATATATATATATATATATCTCGCTCTCTCTCTCTCTCTCTCTCACTGTCTCTCACCCTCTCTCTCTCTCTGTATCTATGTCTGTCTGTCGGTCACTCTCTCTCTCTCTCTCTCTCTCTCTCTCTCTCTCTCTCTCTCTCTCTCTCTCTCTCTCTAGTTATGGGTCACAGACAGTCATCCCAGCAGAGTGGAACCGAGCTGCCGTCAATCTCTGTCGGATCTTGGGCTTGCCTATCTCGATCTGTTCCTCATTCACTGCCCAACGTCAGCTGTGGTGCGTATTGTTTCTGAAAAAAACAAATACAAACCAGTCAAACCTGTCTATAGCGACCACCCAAGGGAAATACAAAAAGTGGTCTTTATAGACAGGTGGTCTTTGCAGACAGGTTCCTTTAGTACATGTATCAATGAGAAAGCATTTTCAAGGGAAACAAAAAATGTGGTCTTTGTAGACAGGTGGTCACTAAAGCAGGTTTGACTGTAACACTAAAAATAAATAGAGACATAAATGAAAAAGTAGATAGATGGATATATGGATAGATTTAGAGATATTTACATCGATAGATAATCAAATTAGTGAATGACTAAATGAATGATCAAATAGAAAGGTAAATAGAAACATAGAAAGATAGATAGAAAAAAGGAAAGAATGTAATAATATATAACGAACTAAATATATGAATGAATAAATAAAAGAAGACAACCATGGAAATGAATGACCCTTGGACCCGTAATCTTGAAGAAGAACAATTTAACGTGAGATTTTAATTTTAGCTTGATTGCCTACATACATGTATAATCAATAGCTCATTAAAAATGAAATCATGCTTTCTGTGTTGTTCTTACAAAATGGTTACTTCGGAATATTTTTCATTTGTTACTGGTACATAATATATTCAAACGTATCGTATCATATATTGTCACAAAAATATGATTGTTGAAATGGTTACAATTTGAGAATACTTTTTTCTTTTTAAACGGTTAGGGAAAGAATACCATAAACAACGAAAAGAAAATAGGCCATTTCAACATGATATCGGTCTATCATTCAAGATTATGGGAACCTTTTTTTTTTAAATTTCATTTTCGTTTTTTTTTCTTTGTAATTTCCTATTTATTTTGTCCCGATTCAGGGTGGCAAAGGACCATTTCCCATGGACGACAATGGTTTGTTCATCGGAGACGATACAATCGACTACGTTGATACTTGGAGGGTAAATAACCAATTATGAAGCATTGTTCACTATAACAGTTATACGTTCATATGAAATGTGAATATTATTTTTTTGGAACGCACCTGTAAATATATATATCCTTGAAATATGAAGATCAGGACTCAAATTAATTGTTTGTCCACGGGGGCTCTTCCCCCCCCCCCAAAAAAAAGAGCCCCCGTGAGCCTTCTCACGGGGGCTCTTTTATTACTGACGGCGGCTCTTTTTTATACAAATATCCATTGAATTGGTACCTATGATACTCCTCAATTATTTGCTATTTCATCAGTATCATTTCAATCAGCATTTTCCCTCTTACAAATTTACAAGCTACATAGCTGTTACTGGCCTGTGTATATAATATATACGCATACAACAGTGATCTTTATGATGTCTTTAACGTGACATATCTTCTTCTCCCCTTGCGAACGACAAAGAAAACAAGGTCATTAAAAGGGATTAAGCGACAAATAATGCGTCGCTGTTTTCACGAAGTGACGGTAGTGAAAAAAAATTGCATTTACTTTGCGTTACGATTTTCCTCACTACCGTCACTTCGTGAAAACAAGGACGAATGATTGTGATTCAAATTGATGCGAATATTTGTTTGAATAAGCACTGCTATTCACCCGAATCATTTTTGTAAAAACAACTTTTACAAATCTCAGCCATGCTTACTGAGTTGAGACGTTCCATTCAATTTAAAATACCCATTACATAATACACTTCTCCTAATCTCAAAGAATTGCATGGCTGAGATTTGTAAAAGTCGTTTTTACAAAGAAGATTCAGGTGAAAAGCATTGCTTATTCAAAAAAAATCCTTGCATCAATTTGAATCACGATGATTATTTGTCGCATGGTCCTTTTATTAAATAACCTTGTTTTCTGTTTTGTTTGCAGAGGGAGAAGAAGCTATGTCACGTTAAGAAATCATAAAGATCAGTTGTATTATGCGTATATACATATGATACCAGAACAAATGTTGATTATCAGAATGTCATTTTGGAATACCTCTATACAAATACCACATTGTCTTTAGCCCGTATCAGTATTAGTATGATCCAATATAAAGCTATTATTCTTTATTTAATTCAGTATAATGCTTTTCCTCAAAAATAGTTTTGCTATTTTTTTAGGGTTGAGACGCTAAGAAATGGTTTCAAATGTACATTACACGAACCCTGAACCATTGCAAAATGATGGTGGTTCTTTCTCTCTCTCTCTCTCTCTCTCTCTCTCTCTCTCTCTCTATTTTAATCATGCATTATCAACTACATATGAAGCAGCAACCAAAAACTTAGGGTTATCTGAGATAGGTGAAAGTAAGAGTTAAAAAGAAAGTCATGCTAAAACGGCGCTTCGCCCCCTGAAAAAAATAAAATAGATTAGTAGTCCTCCTCTCCAGCATCCCCCCCCCCCCCGCTTTAATATCACATTTTCACTTGGCAGCCCAAGGGGGCCGGGGGTGGGAGGAGGGGGTTAAACCCCCTAACCCGCCCCCCCCCCCCCCCGTAGATCTGCCCATGTTACCATATCATTCCACGACATTTTGGTCTTCCTCTTCTCCTCAAAAGGGACTTTTAGATTTGCGTGGATGTGGACGTGTTACGTCCTTTTAAGGCACTGGCAGTCACATGTGACGTCCTTTTAAGCACTGGCAGTGCCTTAAAAGGAGGTCACACGTTGCAGTCCACGTTCTCATCGTGCAAATCTAAAAGTCCCTAATATTGATTTACTGGTCGAGGTTCATTATTTGCTGACAACGAAAAACTTCTCCAGGCCATGACCATGTTTCTGCCCTTGCGCGATCGCCTCCAGCTCCAGCAGACATGGCGCGGCAGCGTGCACACGCACCGCTACTAACTGCGCAGTAGGCCTATAACCACTGCTGACGGCGGCACTACACTGCGAGCTGAACCGGTAATAATAGGCCTACTCATAAAACGAGAAATCTTGCACGCTAATCTTAGTTCCATTTCATTGGTTTAAGGTTTGAAAATTGAAACTCAATATTGTGTTAAAGTTATAACAGAAAAGATTATCTTTATTTTATAATTCCACCGGGGCGATTTTTAATCTTGCAATCGCCCCCGTGAGCAACCTGACGGGGGCGATTATGTAGCTCACGGGGGCGAATCGCCCACCGCCCCCGTGTATTTTGAGCGCTGGATATTGAATAATCATTGTCATCATCGTCATCATCATTATCATCACCATCATCATCATCATCACCATCATCATCATCACTAAAGTCATCATGTTTTTTTTAAACATTTTGTTTATAAACGCTATCATTACACCCCTGAAACTTTAAAAGCTACCACCACCATCTAGCACCAACCTTTTTAATACCAGCCTTATTGTGCTTAGTACTTTACATAATGATGATCTCCAATTCCACCCTCTCCCAATCTCCTTCCTCTCTCTCTCTCTCTCGCTCTCTCTCTCTCTCTCTCTCCCTCTCTCCCTCTCTCTCTCTCTCTCTCTCTCTCTCTCATCTCTCCCCCTCTCTCTCCTCTCTCTCTCTCTCTCTTTCTCTCTCTCTCTTTCTCTCTTAGATCATGGAATCTCTTGTCGACAAGGGGTTGGTTCGCGCCATCGGAGTTTCCAACTTCACCGTGGCTCAGATTCAGCGCGTGCTCGATCTCCCGCCCAAGTACCCGATCGCCAATGTCCAGGTAGGCCAAGAAAGATACCCTTTTTTTGCCTAGAATCAGCGTTTTTTTTTAAAAAATTTCCAGGCAAATTTTCATAGTGATAAACGCAAGCCTGTTTTCAAACGTCTTTAAAATGGGTATATTGAAACGCCGAAAAAGTGCGTTTTTAATGTAACATAATATAGTCACCCCATTTCATCCATAAAATTTGATTTAAAAAAATGTCAGCCCGCCTAACCATAGCTGTCGGGTTTAGCCCCAAGAGCCCCTTAAATAATCCTGGTCTGGTCTGGTCTGGTCGACTTCACCCCATCTAGCCCATGCACCAAACTTTGTCAATTGAAGTAATATGGCAGGACATTACATCACATAAAACGTGACCAAAAAACGGTGTGAGACAGCCCCATTAATATTGGGATTAATTCCCCCTTAAGCCCTACGAACCAGAAGGAAAGGCTATGGCTGTACATTATAACAACAGCATGTCTTACAAATTACATATTTGTACTTTGGGAAGAGGTGTAAGTACTCCTCTAAAAAAAAAAAAGACACCGGAGTTTCCTTAAAGGTAATACAGCCGTACAATGGTAGTTGTGACCATGAACATCTCAGAATATGTATTCCTGATATATAATTTCCAAACGGGAATAACTAATCGGTCGATTTTAGTCAAGAAACATTTTTTCATAGCTTGATTAATATCTTGACCTTGAGAGGGAGCTATACAACATAGAGAGTGTATTACTTACAATTTCATCAGTTTAGGCTCGATTTCAACCGCGACAACGATCAGTGCATATTGTAGGATCGCATATGATTCCAATTTGCTCAATTGAACCGAATTCATGACCCCGTACCAAAACTTTGTATTACCTATAAACCAAGCTTACGTGCCCCAAAAGGTCTAGACGTAAATAAAAGATTTCTTTTTTGTGTGGGCATTCTGACCTTCAAAACTCAAATAATTAATCTAGTTCGATTCACTTGGTATCGTTGTTGTTATTTTTGTCATAATTTTCATTACCATTATCAACATTATGATACTTTTTGTTAATATAATCAGGTCGAGTGTCACCCGTTCCTGGCACAGAATGAGCTGATTGAGTTCTGCAAGAAACAGGGAATCACTGTGACGGCCTACAGTCCACTAGGTTCCCCGGAGCGAGTATTGCAAAAAAGGTATTCGTTGCTAATATTGTATTTAAATATTAAAGAAAGATGATGTCGGACTCCTGATTATCGTGTATTTTTTCCAAATCGAGAGAGAGAGAAAGAGAGAGAGAGAGAGAGAGAGATAGAAAGAGAGGGGGAGGGAGAGTCACAGGGAGAGAGACAGAGTCGCACGGAGAGAGAGATATACACATATAGATAGTTCGTATGTTTAAACCAAGGACTTAACCAATAGAGAGAGAGAGAGAGAGAGAGAGAGGGGGGGGGGTGGCAGGGAGAGTCACATATTATAGAGATAGATAGAGAGAGATGGTTCATTATGTTTAAACCATGGTCCATGTTTAAAGGAAATTACTACTTTCGCTTTCTTTCTCTCTCTCATTTAATGTCTCCCCTCTTTTTCTTCCTTCCTTCCTCCCTCTCTTTTCTACGCTCCCTTCCTCGGTTTTCTTCTCCTTACCTCCCCCTTTTGTCTCACTTCCTCTCTGTCTAGCCTTCTCCAACTTTCTATCTCTCTTTTTCGGGTTATATTTCTATTGCTTCCATTATGAAAGTGCCATTTTCTTGATTTTTAATTCAAACCTTAAGTACTTGTCTACTTGTATCAATGCTTTCTCAGAGCTACCACCGACCCATTGTTAATGGAAGACCCCGTTGTCTGTGCCATCGCCAAGAAAAGGGGCGTGTCCCCCGCTCTGGTGTTAATCAGATACCAGCTTCAGAGGGGCGTGGCCGTCCTCCCAAAGAGCGTGAAGCCATCTAGAATCCAACAGAACTTCGAGGTAAGTCGTTCGCCGACATTCTAGATTTCTCAAAAATAAATGAATAATTTACTTGAATTGCTCCAGGGTTCGGTAAGCGGGGTTCCAACCCCAACGCCCCCCCCCCCCCAACAGAAAGTTGCCCTAAATTGTAATGTCTGAAAGAACATCGATATATATTTCTGTGACATAACCATAATTATTATAACCAAACCGGGCCTTTTCACTCTTATTTGGTATCTCTTGCATGAAACATGTGAGATTATTAGTGGATCTAACTAATGAATTATCTATGTGTTTTAAGCCTATTTCGACAACCTTCCCGTATATCCCTAAATTCTAAAATCTTAAGACCCTCATTTAATAGTGCAAAATTGTTTTCTTTGAAACACAACATCTTGTCACGATAGCTGCAATAGGCCTATACATTTTGTACATACAAATAAATTCCTTTTGTTAAAATATTTTAAAACATACGTATATATATATATATATATATATATATATATATATATATATATATATATTTCTTTTTCTCATTTCTTCCTCTTCTCCTTTCTTTCATTCTCTTACTCCACATTGTTTTGTTGAGCTAATAGTTTTCGACTTCGAATCCCATTCTAAAATACAGGCACTAAACTTCGAGTTGAGCAAGGAAGAATTTCAGACGCTTGTAAATCTGAACAAGAACTACAGACTGTTGAATTTCGCCCCGTAAGTTTCTTTAATTTGGTTAAAGTGCAATTTGGATTTAAACACAGGAGGAAGAGAAGATTCCTTTTGTCCTGAATCAATAGTTTTTTGTTGCCCAAAACATAATGACATTGGCCAATGGTTAGAATATACGAGGAGCCATGAATTTCCTCACCATTGTTATCGCAAAAATATAAACTGACCCAATTTAAGTTTTGTTTAAAGGTTTCAGTATGCCGTGAAATCTGGTGTAACTGTTCACAACCTTAGCATCGAGTTTGCTAATATGTTAGGTTGTGTTTATCTCGGGCTGTTTTGTTGTAGTTTTTGTTGTCTTTCATGTGTTTGTTTCCTTGTTTTGCTTGCCACAATCATGTAGATGCATACAAGAAAAGAAATAAATTCTTGCTATTTTCTTGGAATTGCAGGATGAAGAACATGAAGTACTACCCTTTCAACGATAACAACTAAAGTTTACCGAGGCATTACCTGACGAGATACTCATCCTACTTAAAGTGACTCGTTAACATTCTGAACAAAACTCTTGATTTAGCTCATGCCTGCAATGATAATTACAAACCTTTAGGTCAATCAGGTATCCCATGACTTTTACAAGCCGATCGCCTGTCTGATTATCAAGATAGTTATGATTGGAAATCGAAATCTCATTTTTCGTTTCCTAACTGTTTTCCTAACACTAAAGTCTATTGGGGTAAAATGAGTATGGTAAAACCGGTCACTCAAAGATTTTTAAAATACTTTTTTGAGGCACTTCATGATCATTTTGAAGCGCAATTTGGTTAGGGCTTCAATATTACACCATATCACAGACACTGATAACACGTAGGGCCATGCATCTCAGATTTGGCATTGTTAAATGCCCACTGCACTACTTGTAGCTACTTGCGCCCTCTATATAACAAACAATGCCTAATCGGTGACCATTGGTTCCCCATGATCCTCTTTTTCTTATGTTAACTGAGAGCTGATGGCAGATAAGCTTTAAATGATGCCTTGAATACCCCAGTCACACCGCAAAGTTCACTTAACGCCAATCTAAAACCGACCCATTTGGGGGGCATTCGATGTAATGTAATTTTCAATTCGGTCTATGGTTGGTCTGGGCCCTGTTACATAAAACTCGTTATCGATAACAAGTTTACAATAACTGTTATAAGCTACTGAAATAGTGGCACTTGATTGGTTGAGAGCAGATTCGTCATAGATATTTAACATTTGTTATCGATAACAAGTTTTATGAAACAGGGCTGTCTGTTTTATTGTTTTGACTTGGGTGTTACCACGAGAACGAAAGAGAAAGGAAGAAGAACTGAATGCGACTGAAATATCATCATGTATGTCATCTGCTGTTCTATACGCTGTGTTTGTTACTGTATGATTTACTGCTTAGAACTTCGATCTTGATGAGCTCTACCAATAGATAGATTTGATAAGGATGGGTATCTAAAAACTAGAATATATATATATTTTATTTGCCTGAAATTAGACTGAATAGTTTTCGAAGATTTGTTCAGAGAACAGACACTTTGATCTAGTCTATGACCCTTTTCTACTAAAATTTTAACCAAGTGTTGGGTTTAGGTGTTTCGAAAAATTGGGTTTAACGAGGGAAGTTTGTCTAACATCGAAATACATCTTCTAAAATATTACCTTAATTGTGTAAGCGTTATTAATGTCTTATTAATCACTGTTACCTGTAATTATTTTATCAATCCTGCTTTCTCTCAAGGAATAGAGGAATTTGTAAGAATGTGCCGCTGAAATCGTGATTGTTTTTTGAATTGTTTTTATAGACAGGAGAAATTTATATTTAATTTCATTTTTTTTCGTTTCATTTATTTCCATATTACTCATGTTACATACATATTTCAAAATAAAGCTCAAAATAGGTTTTTTTGGTAATAAAATAACAATCAATAATACATAATAAATAACATAGAGATAAGTGGTCAATATAGAGTACTGATTTAACTGAGAGAAATACGATGGGACCTATATGTAATAGATATATTTTTCATTTAAAGGAACATATAGAGGACGATGGTAGAGTGGGAAGGAAAAAACAAACCTGTAAGTTTTTGGTAAAAGTACAAAATTAATTGTTAAGTTTGTGTTTGTTTTGTATATTTTGTTGTAGCTTCATATTGATAAATGCTAACGAACACTAATGAATCTATTAGAAAATAAAATTGTTGAGCATTTGGGGAATAGTTCATGTGTTGACTCGTTTTTTTTCACGTACTCCACTTTTTGAAAATGTATTCCTGGACCCCGTCTTACAAAGAGTTGCGATTGATCCCAAATTAATCGCAAGTCCTCCAATCAATCGCAAGTTTGCATCTCCTATCTTTCATGTATATACTTGCGATTGTTTTTGCAATTAATATCAACTCTGTGTAATACGGGACCCTGTTTAGACTTTAAAAGGACTAAGGACAATAACATTTAGTGTCAAAAGAATTCGAATGAAAAAGCCATTTTCAAAAATCAAAAGGTAAACATGTCTCTCATTAATTGCTAAAACAGTTTTTTTGTGGTCCACAGTTTCTCCGTATATAATACCATCGGTGGATGTGGATAATTCAGGATTCTTTAAACGGAAGAAGGGGGGGGGGGGTGGCACAACTAAAAAGGGGTTCATCACAATGTAGATTCATTTGTATCTATTTTAAAAGATAATTCAATTTTCAAGTGTCTCTAGAGGTCTGCAATTGCTGCCGGGGCCAGGAGTACATTTTGGCACTCGGGGTAGGCTAGATTGGGTTTTGCCGCCGGTACATTTTTTCAAATTTAGTGCTAAATATCTATGGTGTACCTATATATCATGATTCACTTCTTCACATTGCTGTGATACACGTTAGAAGAAAACCAATAACTTACGATAAAAACCTACAAAAGTTTAATTGAATACTCTAAATAATAATCAACCGTGGAATATAATCATGTTTAGATTGGAATGGGGTTAGTACACTATTGCCAGCCGTTTTCTTTAAACATTTTCTGCTATTTACAATCCAAAATTAGTTTGGACGAAAAATCATTAAAACTGGAATTCCGAGGGAGCTGGAAGTAGGGCTATAGTACCATTAACGTCATCTTTTAGACATGTCGTCAACTGTTTCCGTCACGTGTTCATCGCCTGTTTCGCTTTCTCCCCTTTCTTCACCACCATCATCAACGTCCTCATCGATATCATCATCGTCATCGTTTGTATAGTTCATTCTCACTTTTGTCCTTAAACCATCCCAATCAGCGCGTTCGTATTTTCTTGTAACTAAATAGACGTAGAGAATGTCAAGAATCAAAATGGCGACTAGGACGCAGTAGAAATATTCCAATTTTGCCTCGTTGAGGTCGTCCGTGTACCATTCCTGCCCAGCTGTAGGAACAATAACAATGAAATAAAATGTTGACTTCCAATAAAAATAAGAAATAAAGCTGGAATATACTTCAGTCTTATTCTGTAACATTTGAATACGAAGTTTTGCAACACGATTGGGCACGAGATAATTATTATGTATCTTAACATTTTAAAGAGGAGAGATTAATTAATGAACTAGTGATGTGAGACTTGTTATCATGATTATATATATCGTTAACATTTTACAAACAAAAATTATAAATATGTTCGGAAAGAATGATATTTTTCCCTAATTGCTACAACACAAAGAGAGTATAGAGTGAACCTCTACTATGGACAATGCTCTTCCATGCAATAGCCACACAACACTATTAAGGGCGATAGTGGAATAGCAACATTTTTCCTGTTTGATTTATACCTGCACCGGAGATTCCGTTGACGACGGCGATGATGAGCTGAGCTAGGATGTAGCTACCAACACCGGACATGAGCAGGAAGAGACCGACCGTAAACCCCTTCATGTTATAGGGTGCCTCAACGTAGGATATTTCTACCCCTGCAAGTGTGAAGGTTTGGAAAAAGAACGATATATGTTATTGTCGGAAGGTTGTCAACTTCTACTGTCTTCCTCTTCTCCTTCTTCTTCATCTTCTTCTTCTTCTTCTCCTTCTTCTTCTTCTTCTTCTTCTTCTTCTTCTTCTCCTCCTTCTTCTTCTTCTTCTCCTTCTTTTCTTCTTCCCCTTCTCCTTCTCCTTCTTCTTCTTCTTCATCTCATCTCCTTCTTCTTCTTAATCTCATTCTCCTTCTTCTTCTTCGTCTTCTTCTTCTTCTTCTTCCTCTTCCTCTGCTCCTTCCTCTTCTTCTCCTTCTTTTCTTCTCCTCCTCCTCCTTCTTCTTCTTCTTCTTCTTCTTCTTCATCTCCTTCTCCTTCTTCTCCTTCTCCTTCTTCTCCTTCTTCTTCTTCTTCTTCTTCTTCTTCTTCTTCTTCCTCATCATCTTCCTCTTCTCCTTCTTCCTTTTCCTCTTCTTCTTCTCCCCCCCCCCTCCCTCTTATTTTCCCAAAATTCTACCGCTGCTGCTACTATTGAAAATACAACAAAAATATCAAATAATCCAATAATATCAGTATAAACCTGCTGTGAGTACGAGAGCTTCTCCGATCCCTGCACACGTGTACTGCGGTATCTGAGACGTGACACTCAAGGAGGAGGCGTTGTAAGTGACGTTATTCACCATGGTTACCATGATGCCATCCTCTCCCGCCATCATCTGCTTGCGTCCTGTCTCCACGATGGCGGCGAAGATGACGGAGAGGATTCCAAAGAGTATTCCAATACCTGTTAATAGGAGAAATGCGATGGAGAGACGATTAAAATATTCTTTTTTTAACGGGCCGTAAAAAGAGGGGGAGGTGGTATGTGAAAGTGATTTGAAGAGAAACGGTAAAGATAGCAACAAACTTTGATGATGTATAGATCGAGAGAAATTACTTAAATTAATTGCTGCAAAGAGACAGGAGAATATATGAGAGAGAGAGAGAGAGAGAGAGATAGAGATAGAGAGAGAGAGAGATAGAGAGAGAGAGAGAGATAGAGAGAGATAGTTAGAGAGAGAGAGAGAGGGAGAAAGAGAGGATTAAAAGAAAGTGACCACATCAGCACTGATAATATCTTGGCACAAATTTACAATTTTGTGAAAGAATCAGTTTCTCTTATATATATATATATATCAACAAAATTATATCAAATTGATATTATCTATTGAATTGCATATTTCAAGGATTACACAATTTTGAACAAAATAATGCCTTCATACCTATTCGAATGAAAGGAGAGACACACCGCCCCCAGCGGCTGGTACACGGGTAGAGGACACACAATACGACGACGTTTGTAACAACTGATATGATTGGTTGATAAAGTTTGTAAACGAACTCTGATATTGTGATGTCATCATCGAGTGCTGGATTCAACAAAAGTGTCTGCTGAGGGTAGGTAATATCAATCTGTAATTTTAAGAAATTAGGGAGAGAAGTTTAAAAATACACCATAACAAAAATTATGCGTTTTAAACAGATCGGATTAAAAAATATTTAAAAAATGATAGTAAAGTAACAAAATATCTTTCGTAAGGACGTGTAAGGCGAAGGAATTTCATGACTATTATGCAAACATGAGATAGAAGGATAGACCATGGCCCGACTTTTATTTCATAGACCATATTAAACTCAAGTCACCGACTCTTTATTTACCGGGCAATGGCGTATCCAGAAATTTGTTTACAAGGGGGAGGGGGGGGGGGGGGGGGGGGGTCATCCCCAAACCAGGGGACGGGGAAGAATGTCTGTATATATATTTGAGGAGACATAGTTTTTGCAGAACCACTGCAAGGATTGATTTATTTCTATTTGTGTTCAAATGGGAGGAGGAGGCCTGGAAGGGGAGGCATATTGCTCCGATTGTCTCATTTTTGCTCGCTGGAACATTGCCAGCACAAACCACTGACCTCTACCTCCTGGACGGATCATCGCCCATTCCCATTCACTATACGTTACGTACTAAAAGGCTGTATTGTCTGACCGTTCATGAATATTCATGTTTTTGCTTACCTCGGCAAAATGTTTGCTCTTACTAAATGGAAATATTACGATGGGGGGGGGGGGGGGGGGTTGGATGAAATGGAAATAATGAACCAAGCAGAAGTTATCTATGATAATTCATGCTTCTTATCATTCGTGTGCTTGACCTATAATCTTAAAATCGCTTGGCAAACTGAGTCCAAAGTTCGACTTGTTTCACATGTGTATTATAGGCAATGAAGAGCTTGCAACCTATTTTGATCAAATTACAATAATAATAATAGTAATCTTTTAGTCCACTCAAATTTTATTAAGCCGAAATGAAAATTCTTTTTGCCTAATTGATCGTGAGCCCAGGAGCCACTGAGCAGCGCCAGATCGACGTTGCTCTATCCCTTATTGTTGAGCGCCAAACAAGGTAGCAGCAACTTTCATCTTTTAACGTCTTTTGGTATGACGCGGCCGGGTATCGAACCCACGACCTCCCGGTTATGAGGCGGACGCTCTACTGACTGAGCCAACAATTCCGGTCGCCAATTCCGGTCGTGAACTTTCAAAAGTCAATGGGACATGAGGGTTCCAATGAAAGAGCTAGGGATAACGTAAGTCGGGGTGGATGTGCTTTTCGTTTAAACAAAAAATGAATTTTTAACGATTTTTTTTTTTTTTTTTTTTTTTTTTGGGGGGGGGGGTACAATTCCATAGGCTAACATGTATGGCTGCTGACTCTGACGATAGGGGGCGTTGTGAAATGAGACTAAACGGAGCTATATGTGGAGGGACGATTTACCCTAAGTTGGATACGCCCTTGGGGGTGTTTCATCATCTAAAATTGATTTTGCTATAAATAAAAAAGGCTTGATGACCCTAAAACTTACGAAGTAGTTGACGATGACGAAGATGGTGACGGTGTGGAAGATGGGTATAGTCCTCAGAAGATGACTCGTTTCGTATACCTCCTCCTCCGAGAAGGTGCCGCCATGATGGATTGAGGCTCGGTCAATCCATTTCGGAACGTCGGGGGCTTCCTTTCTGCGACTCACCCCCTCCCAGATGATACGAAACTGGTTCCACAGGACATGCCCTGTAGACAATGACAGAGTCATTAGAAACCTAAATGGAAAGACCAACTGCTAATAAAGACCTCTTTTCTCATCTCCTTTGAATCATCTTTATAATTATACAGATTGCACTTTATTAATGTCTATTCTTCAATTTCATTTATTTTCCTTTATTTATGTCATCACAGTGGCTCGCTTCAGCTTAGACGGCTGTTTTTTCAGAGGGCCTTAAAGAGTGGAATGCCCAAACTCTTTCCCCAATCAAATGGCAAAATTGAAGAGAGAAAGGGGAGAGAGTGGGAGAGAGAGATAGAGAGAGAGAGAGAGAGAGAGAGAGAGAGAGAGAGAGTAATGGGAGAGGGGAAATAGGAACGTCAATATACAAAACTACAACCCCTCCCACACCCTTTGTTAATTTACCTTCTATCCATCGAGTGGGACCGGTGCCCCCTCCAAATGATGACGATGTCCCCTGAACCCTCTGCCTGTGTCTACATTATTACTACAGAGTTATTTTCGCTAAGTTGATCCATAGTTTGAAATCTATTTATTTTCAATTTCTATTCAATATTTTGATTAATGAACGAATTGCGATTAATGCAAACCATTCCAATCACAAGCTCACAACAAATTAACTTTTTTAAACATCGATTTCATAACAGTTGTAATAAATGACATCACACATTTAACTTGTTTATAAATAACTGAGCTACATTGCTTTACAAGTACATAGATTAATAATTGGCAAAAAAGGTTGCTTGCCATAACGTCGAAGGTTAACTAAATTTAAAGTGATTGATTTAGTGTAACATAGATTTTCTGATGCTACATGTATGTAGCTGTAGTTTATGGTTCATTACTAGAGTGTGGGCCTTGACAAATTATTTCGGTCTAGAAATCAATTTCGGTCTAGAATTCCCAATTTAAATACGGAGAGGCTATTAAGGCACAGCTATCCGAAGTTCAATAAAAAAAAATTGTTTATGGTCCTATAAAGCAGTTAGGATGGTGGAGATTCAAATTTGCATCCTAACCCGGTATAATAGCAAAGCCCCCCCCCCCCTTCCCAAGGGAGCAATAATCGAACTCTTACATCCTGTTCTCCTTAAAGGTGTACATTTGCACCTATTGAATTTCAATGGTGCATCTTTCTTAACCAGGTATCTCAAAAGGTGCCCTTTAGTGGGGGAGGGGGGGGGGGGGGAATAGTCTGCTTTCACGCCGTTCGGGTACACACTGTAAATTTTTCTCATCAGACTAATTAGTGCAAGACAAAGAGCTTGTAATTGTTATGGCTTTATTCACAACTTTATTTCGCTGTGAGGCCATTCCAAGATATTGGTAATACGATGTCCCGTGCGTCACAAACTGTTGTAGAGTTCTGACACGAGTTTACATCAAATGGTTATTTATTTAACTTCATATATAATCTGATAAAAGCTATAATAGGGCTATTAACTTAATGAAATGATCAAATATGCTTGGGACTAAATTGGACCCTAACCTTTTGTAGTTAACACCACCTCTTAAAACTTGAATTATATTTTCTTAGTGTGTCATATTAGAAAATATGTATGGTATATTTACGTTTTCGCTGCTCTTCGGTGTAAATTTTTTGCCCAAGCAACATTGCGGTGATGGAAAGCACAACCGAAGCAGCTAAGAGTAAATATACGAAGAAAAACGAAGTAGCGTCGACCAATCGGAACAAGAGCTCGGACGAGGTGACTGCAGAAAAGTATACTATGTAAAAACTGGGAGTGGGGGAGAGAGAGAGAGAGAGAGAGAGAGAGAGAGAGAGAGAGAGGGGGGGGAGAGAGAAAGAAAGAGAGGGGGAAGGGGAGCGAGAGGGGAGAAGAAGTAGACAGAGAGAGAGAGAGAGAGAGATTGTAGGGAGAGACAGAGAGAGAGACAGAGAGAGAGACAGACAGACAGAGAGAGAGAGAAAGAGAGGGAGGGAGAGGGAGAGAGAGAGATTGAAAGAGGGGTGGTGAAAAGGAAAGCGTTGATTTTATTATATTTACTTTGTGTGAATCATAGAAAAGATCATGGTTATCCGCGGTGCTATAAACGAAATTAAAATTAAAATTTGAATAGCTGTCCAGATGGGGGTGGGGGGGGGGGGGGGTAACATCAGGGTGTAAATCTGAAAAGGGGCCTTGAAGTGTTTATTCGCAGTGAGAGGGAGGGGGGGGGGGGTGGCTCTCCTTTATTCTAAGAAGAAAACAGCTAAGACCTGTTTGATCAGCTGCCCGTAAGGACCATATAGAATCCCGCGTGAGAGGAAGATATTGATGAAAATAATTGCGGATGAATAAAAAAGACTAAACATTTTAATATGTAAAAATAGTAATGGAAATATTGAATGTACGATTGTTTATCGACGAAAGAGACGGAACACCTTTTAGTAGGACATGGAATAACTCAATTTCCCATTAGTCAGGGTTAATAATTAAACAAAACTATCATGTCCTTTCGAAAACTAACAACATAATTAAGGGCTCAATGCGTGAAATAATTTTTTAATTCTAAATTTAAAAACAAATTAATGGCGACATCCTTTAAATTACTCCATTAGTTATCAGTTTAATCACTTAAATTCCTTTTTATGAACCATATCAACCACTCAAACAAACACTGAAAAGGACATAGTGTCCGTCCTTAACCCATATAAATGTAGATATAAATAAGATAAGAACATAACATATTTAAGGAACTAGTTATGCCAACTTTGGCTAGTTCTCTTATTACCCGATATATGCCAAATTTTCAAATGTTGATAGTCCATAAATTATTATCAAGGTCAAACCGGAAATATATTCATATCAATTTCACATGAAAATGTGAGGTCCGTCCGAGAATGTGACAGCCCGATATGTTAGAGGAAGCAACATAAATATGGTTGCCATGGTTACCATGGATTTTGATCCAATTTTGAGGCCAAGTCGCACTCTTGATTGGGGAGTAGTTCAATTCATTCTGGGAGGTGGCCACTCCTTTCTCCCTTACTCCGCGGAAAATGTGCCATAAATCGGTGCCTAGCAACGTTTATGTTGTTATTACATTTGGAAATGTGTTCATGAAATAGAGAGAGAGAGAGAGAGAGAGAAATGGAAAAAGAGAGAGAAATGAAAAAAGAGAGTGAAGGGAGAGAGAGAGAGAGAGAAGAGGAGAGAGAGAGAAAGAAAGAAAGTGAGGGGGTTGGAGAGAGACAAACAAATAGAGAGAGAAAGAAACAAATAGAGAGAGACTGGGACTGGCAGATATCAAAGGCGGGACAGAGATAGGAAGGGGAACAGAAGCGAAGGGAAGAGAAACTGAAACAGAGGAAGAGAGATAAGAGAGGAAGAGATGAGAGAGGGAAAAGGAAGAAGTGATGAATACAGTTGAAAGATAGGGGAAAGAAGGAAGGAGGGAGGATAAAGAGAGAAAAATACAGTTTGGAGGGGAAAGTGAAAGAGGAGGGGAGGATATAATTATAGAGAGCTGGATATAGACCGAGAGGGGAATAGAACGAGTAAATGGGACAGAGAGAGAGGGGGGAGGGAGGAGGAGGAAGAGGAGGAGGAGGAGAGAAAGAGAGAGAGAAAAAAAGAGAGAGAGAGAGAGAGAGAGAGAGAAAGAAAGAGAGACAGAGACAGGATGAAGGATACTACAGATATAAGTAAAAAGACTATATATATGCATTTTACTTACACGCAAAACATGTTCCTGATTCTATTGTCGTTTGGCTCCCTCTCCCTTTCGATCTCCCTCGCCGCTATGACGTAATCGTTTGCGTCATACAAGGCAAGCCCGACGAATATCAACGTGAAGCCGACGACGAAGAGAGCTCGTTTTGCCGTCATCGAAAAGTTTTCCTCGGCCTCGTATGAATAAGGTGCGACATTGATGGTCAGGAGAAGAATACCTGTGTTTTGAGGTGAATGAAAATGAAAGTATGAACAAGAAAATCGCCAAGGGTATTTGATCTCATTGACAAGTGTTGTATTATTACTATTATTAGAAAAAATGATGTACTGCAAAAATGAAATGTTGATAGAATGATATTTGTGTATTATTCTATCGATTTTGTAAATTTACCCCTTTGTAATAATCTCATATTTTCAGGTGCATCATTGCGACTTTTTAGGGAATGTCAAACCGCGAAGTTCTTCAATTTAACAATTGAAATAGATTGAGGATGAAAAGGGGGAGGGGGTGGCGGGTCTCGTCATTGATACGTGAATATGAAATATGATCTACATATGACGTGTTGTGACATGATAAAAAGGCGTGTATAAAGATTATTCGTGGTCAAGAAGATCCTTCGATAACAACAACTAAATCTTATGCTTGTATTTGTTTTTGAAGTAGTTCCTTACTTTCCATACTCTATTCGAGCATTCTAAAGTTCAAAACTGAAAAAACAGTAGACCCATTAAGATAACTTCACGCCTGTCGGTGTTGTCATGTGTGTTTATTGGTTTTATTTTTTTACAGATGTGTGTCATTCAGATATGATCATTTACGTCTGGGTACTGTCCTTTAAACGTCACCATCCGAAAAACGTGACTCAGTTTCGAACCTGCGTCCTCGGCTGAATCAGTTTGTAACTTCCACTGTTAGCTGGATTACAGGCGCACACCCACAACGCCTAGTTGGTGTTGTCATGGTAAACGGTTTGCATTATAATGAAGCTAAATTCCTATCAATATCTTTAGGTTATATTGAAGTCCCTTCCACACATTCTGGGTTTGATGTAATGGTTTTACTTTATTTATTTTATTTATTTATTTATTTCTGATCTTTTGACAGGGTAGCCCATTCACCAGCAAGTAGTGGTCTTCCATGGGGCCCTGAATGAACATATTTACATCGTTTATAACATTTATACAGAACAGTTACAAAAATAATACTCGTTTGCAAAATTAACATATATCATTAACCTAGTAAGCAGTAATGTCAATAGGAAAATATTAATTAAGTCGCAATTATGTGAATAAGACATGTAAATATTACAGAACATGCACGTAGTGTATGTACGGCTGAGCTATTCACAAATTACAACTTTGTTTAAACAATCTCTTAAATGAAATGTGGTTGACTTCAAGTAGATTGACATTTGTTTGCATTAGCGAGGACTTATTCATTAATAAGTAAATGTTCTAAGAAAAGTTATAAGATTTATTTCTATAAAATATTTATGAAGATTAGAACACTTGTGCGAGGGAAACGTAAAATTGTGTTTCAGGAGAAACCCCTTTAATAAGTTCCACAATATGTACATTTTTAATGATATCGTGAGAAAATAATTACGATCGGTGTAAAAGAAGGGGCCTAAAATTAGAGTTAATCAAAAATCATGTATTCTGAATTTCAGAAATGTAATGATAAAAATGGATTAAGAGATAACTTTTTGATAGATAAGAGCAGCCGATAAATTCAATCTGACCTGTGAATGTGACAAAGGCCCCTGTGACAGTGACCTTTGACCTTGTAAACCACGAGTCCCCCAGCCATCCACCAATCAACGGCAAGCAGGGAGCGATGGCGTCGAAGGCTGCTATCAGGACGGGCGAATTATCTTTCGTGGATTCCAGCACCTTCTCCGTGTAGAGCACGACGTTGACGCGGACGCCGTGCTCGACCACGGTGATGAAGAACACGAAGGCGAAGACGAACGATATGGGGAACCATACCGAGTCTCGTATCCGCTGCTTCAAGGTTGCGGGTGGCGGTGGTTCGTTGACGGTGGATTGCGAGGCGGAAGCCACGAGCTCGAACTCCGCCCCGTATGTCATGCGCGTTGTCGAGTTCGTGGAACCCGAAAATAAGCGATCTTTTTCGGATGAAGCCATTTTAAACTCGGAAGAAAGTATGATAAAAACTAAACAGATGTGAAGGTTGGATGGAATTTAGTAATAAAGTAACCTAAATAAAAGAAGTGCATTTTCTTTCGGTTTTAATCGTTACTCATCTGTTTGAGCATTTAGCGCTTAATTCATCAAGACTCATTTTCCATTTATTCAAAGAAAGTTTCCGTTATGTCAATGCTCAACACTAAATTTCCCTGTCTGTGCTTGCTTTGAAGTCGTCGTCGAAATATCTGTGGAACAAGAGGAAAGACATGATAATCGTATTTATGGATTTCTGTTGATTAAACCGTGTAATATGATTCATAGAGGTAAACAAATTCATTTAAGATACGTTGAAGAAACAAACAGAAGTAGATGCAGAGAGATGGGAGAGAAAAAAAGAGGGAGGGATAGAGAGAGAGAGAGAGAGAGAGAGAGAGAGAGAGAGAGAGAGAGAGAAAGAGAGAGAGAGAGAGAGAGAGAAGGGGGAGAGAGAAGATAAGAGAAGCTAAAATAGTATATGATTTATAATAATTTATTAAAGAAGAGAAACAGTTTTGATAACAGAGGAAGGGCTTAAGAAGAGGAAAAAATATATAACACCAGATACTGAATTAATGAAAATATCCTGTAATTTGTCTGTTTTTTCTTATTTTTTATTTGAAGTATTTTGAATTTTGGCAGGTGTGAAGCAGCAGAGGAAAGGGGCGCGTCGACGCAATACAAACAATTACTGGCAGTTTTCGAACGTCCTGTTTCTCTAAGATATCGATGTGTTATACTATCGTGCCAACATTTTAAAGAAAAATAGCAGTCCTTTTCATTTTCCTCGCATACTCACCCTTTAGAGAGGCAAAATTTTAGTATTAAAACAAAGGTTTGAATAAACATACCCAACAAGAACAAAAGCGATAACATAACTTTCTGAAGAAGTTCATACGTTTTTGTGTTCGTGTTTACTTGAAACACACAGATAGATCTTATTGCAGCTGATCATTTTAATCTTTTAAAGTCGAAAGGCCTAATTTTGTCTTTGTCAGCAGACCGTTTACGTTCTAAACTTTTTCATTTTGTTTAGTTGGTTCTGAGTTTATATACAGGGTGTCCGTGAAGAAGGGTAACCAAAATTTATGGGTGAATTAATTATTCGATAATTCCAAATGTTAATGTGCCTTACCGATTACAAATTGTACCTGCTCAGTAATGCTTTATCCTTCCATTATCATGATGATAGTACCATATAAAATATAGGATATGGGCTTTTAAATGATGTGTACTTCCCCAAAAAATATCATCCCAAATAGTTTCATTTTCTGTAAATAACCTAATGACCTTAATGAAACAGCAATTCGCTTATATTGAACGATAGAGTTTCTGACACCGCAACTTCAGAAATCTGAAGTCTGAAATCGGTCAAACAATAATTATTGATCATAGCTTTGATGTCATAGGAAAGAAGGGAAATCAAGCCTTAACATGATATAAATATATTTTTACATGACTAAAAACGTAATTATGGATTATTCAGTAATTTACCATGAAACATTCTTGCATGCTTTTCCATCTGAAATATATTTTTAAAGAGAATTGCTTTGCTTTATTACATTTTGTTATGATATTCATTCTCATTATCTGGTTTCATAATCCTTATTTTTCTATATTCTTTCAATAAAAACGAATTCATGCCTAACGCGTTACCATAGAAACACCTTGCAGTCGACGTCACAGTGCTCTACGTGACTCGCACTTGGATGGCTGTGCCTAATTTCTTTCGAGCGTGGTTCTCACAAACTTTGACTTCTGCCCAAATTTACCATTCATTTATACCCGATAAGAATTCGTTTAATTTTCTTGAGCACGTTCCATAGATCATAAAGTGACAGTCATTACAAATTTCTACCATTTACAAGCAGTTCTGATCATTGAACATGTTTGAAAGGTGGATACAACCTTTGTTAAAGCAAGTGTTAGATTGTTTGTGACTGCTACTACTACTACTACTACTACTACTACTACTACTACTACTACTACTACTTCTACTACTACCATTGTTATTATTATTATTATTATTACTGTTAGTCTTCTCTCCCCCCCTCTCTCTCTCTCTCTCTCTCTCTCTCTCTCTCTCTCTCTCTCTCTCTCTCCTTTGCACTCGTACTCCCCCTCTTATTCCTGTTCTCCCTACCTTCTCATTTTGTTTATGTATATGCGGAAATGCATATTTGTATTGGCACACCCCCACATTCATGCAATCAAACATGGGGAAACATATTGCTCTAATGATGAAGGACTAACCACTTCCTGTACAGTCCACTCCTGGTTGCCTCCTGGGAAATTATAAACCCATTTCAATAACATCATGATTACAAATATCAACTTCCTTTTCTGGGGGAAACGGAGGTTTGAATTAATTCAATTCAATTCAATTCAATTCAATTCAATAAGGGTTTATTCGTATGATGTTCTGGCAGCCGAAGCTGAATTGCAGATCATTTGTACAAGGTAAAAACATCATGATATTTAAAATACACTGAGCATTATACATGTTGACATAAAATAAAATTAATGACATATAAAAGGATAAAAATACTGGACACATTTATACACATAATAGGCAACATCATTAAACATAAACATATACACAAATATATGAAGCTTACTTTTTTGAATAATAATCGTTTAAGATACGAACAAAATATGGAATAGAGCTGTTATTAAAAGACTGTCAATACAAGCCAATAGATTCAATGGATTGTATACTAACCTATGGTACTGCTAACATGGCTGTACATAGGCTTGTAAGTACTGGAGGCATAAGTCAAATCTAAAATGTTTCTTCAAATTACTCACAAACGGATGACCAAAATCTTCCGAAATTTGTCCAGCAGAACCCTTGTTATATCAAAATTCATATGATAACAACTTGGGGACTGGTCCACACAATACATGTTAGTATAATCAAACATTTTCCAAGCACAGAGTGGAGGTCGGCCTGTTAGGCGATCCATCACACAGGTAATTGATATTGATATTAATATATTATAACACACCGACAGCCCAACACATTAGCAAGAACCTGAAGAAGGCCTCACAAGCCGAAAGCTCGTAATAAACTTGTAAAGTACAGCTACGTCTCGCGTTCCCAGACCTTTTTATTCACGCCTATATATATATTAGTCTTGAAATTGCCTGCATATCTTTTAGGGGGGGGGGGGTATGCTTTTGTTTTCATTTGTGTTTGTTTGTTTACACTTCTAAATCTTTATCTGAAATTGTGCTTTGGAATCAATAAAAATAGAATAATATAAATGTCTGGTCTATCATGTTTGTATGGATCAATGCAATTTTAAAAAGATACCGAAAGCAGTAGGGTATCCAGAATTCTCCGGCCGGTGGAAGAGGCACTACAATACCCCCCCCCCCCCCCCCCACTCAGTGACCAGCAAAAACAAGAGAGTGAAAAGGAAAGGGAAAGAAACGAAGAAGAAAACAAACAAACAAACTGTAAAACAAAATAATAAAGGAAAACAAAACAAACAAACCAAAGGTTTCCACGTGACCTTTAGGAAATAAAACTGTTGGCCAAGACGGGGCACAATATGTTGGGGGGGGGGGGGCGTTTTTATGTGTACTTATTAAACATATCAACCACTCTCGATCCGCTAATCTACAAGAACACATGAATCTAAAAAACACTAGTACAAAACGACAAGATATATGATATAATGAATAATCCCATACTTGCTGTTTACCCACGAGCAACGCTCTCTTGATTTGCTCAAGTATTACTATGATTGATTTTTTTATTTCAACCTTCCTCTTCCAATTTTAAAAATACCTCATATATTAAAGTCTGTATATCACTCACCTGTGTTCATCCGGTGACGGAAAGCATTTAAACCTAACGTTTCCGCATGGAATTCATAAGGCATTCCCTCATTGACAAATACATGCAGATGACCGTATTTCGTATATCACATTATTTACCGATACATGGAATAACAGACAATTCCGTACACTGCGTTTGAAAGTACATTCCAAAAATAGCCATAATTTCCACAGATAGTTCGTGTACACATGCTACATGTTTGATTGGACTTTTACACCCCTTTCTCCCTGTAAATTTATTCCAAAATCCAGAGTGTATAACAATTCCAGCACTCAATATTACGAGCTGAGCAGATTTTTAATAAACCACACATACCAGCAACCGGTTTTTATTTTGTATGCTAAAAAGTAAATGGCGAATCGTACTATTCAGTCTGCCTAGTCACTGAATCTCAGCAATACAATTATTGACACGCTCGACAGATTTATGCTACTACTAGTACTAGTATTATGTTATACTGGGGAGGAGAGGTATTTGCGTGTGTGTGTGTGCTATGGATTTATGTTTTATTTTTGTATTTACCAAGTTCTCACAGCCGGTCGTTTGAAACTGAGGAATGATGCCCCTTGATATCATGATATCATTTATTAGCTGCTATTAACCACGTTATATTGCCCCTTTATATAAACATAATTGTTTATGTAGCGGGCAAGGGGGTTCGAATAGGGCGGGGCAGGGTGAGGGGAGGAAGGAGGGGGGGGGGTAGGTTAGGGCGGGGCAGGGTGCGGGGAAGGAGGGGGGTAGGTTTTGAAGTGGACCTTGTATTTTTGATAATATTTTTAACATTTCTGACTGCATCAGATCAGATGTCTAGTCTTGATTTTTTTTAAGAATTTAATTCCTGCGAGTTCTAACATCAAGTAAGACCATAAAAGGATTTTTTAGACAGTAAAATATAAAAAAAGTCTAGGCAGCCAGTAAGAAGGGGGTGGGGGGGGGGGGGAGCTTGGGAAGACCAGAGAGCGAGGAGAACGGAAGGAATAAGAGAAGCAGGGAAAAGCTGTGGAACAGGAGAAAGTGGAAGGTAAAGAATAGTAATCATAGTAAGAGGAAAGAACGAATGAAAGAGGGACGGATTTAGGGTGAATTTAGATTTTTTTTAAGCTACCTTAGCAGGATTCTATGATGTAATTACGTGTTTCTCTTTTCATGTTACCCAATATTTTACTACTGTTGAGCGCTATTTACCTTGAGAAAATAAATTTTACCTCAAGAATGAAAAGTGTTTTTTTCTAAGCAACAATGAAAACTCAATCTCCTGTACATTTCAGTATGTTGTATATCGAAGTCATTGATAGATGTAATAATGTATCGATAGGTGTCAAGAATAAAGACAAGCGCCCAAACTTGAGAAACACCTTTGCCTAAAGAGTAAAGAGAAGGTTGAATTTTTGTTCACCTAGCCAGGAATTTACCTCCGAAAATGTCAAGTTTATGAAGCGGTTTGGAAACTAATCTGTAGAACCTTAATCAAACATGACGGAAAGCTTAAACCACAAACTTTTATTTTCCATCCGAATCATGATTATTGCGAAGAGAAGAGAACAACGCCAATATTGTAGTGGAAGGGAGTAAGGGACCACCAGTGGTGTACAGTGTTGCCAGCAATTAAGGGCATTTTGGTGTCATGAGAGCGAGAGAGAGAAAGAGAGAGAGAGAGAGAGAGAAATATGATATTGAAAAGAAAAGTGACGAGGAAGAGAAGGAGAGAGAAGGAAATACTGATATCAAAGAGATAGAGAGAGAGAGAGAGAGAGAGAGAGAAGAAGAAAGAGAGAGAGAGAGGGGGTGAAGGGGTGGGGAGGGGGAATATAAAATAAGGAGCGAATGAGAGGAAGGGGAAAAAATTAAAGAGAGAGAGAGAGAGAGAGGGGGAGGAGTGGGGAGGGGAATATAAAATAAGGAGCGAATGAGAGGTTGAGAGAATGTACATCAGAAAGGGAGATTCAGGAAAATAAAAGTATATATATATATATATATATATATATATATATATTATATATATCATCATTGAAGAGTTTTTCTTTCGGTGTTTTCGCTTTAAAGAATCAGATTGTGTTGACCTAGGAATATGGGTTTGGGATATACAAAATTGCATTCACTTTGCGTTACGATTTTCCTCACTACCGTCACTTCGTGAAAACAAGGACGAATATTAGCCCATCACACGTCAACCCTTCTATTTAAATCAAATCTTGAAAGATGTCGGATTTCAATAAGCCGATGAAATTACCTGTTATTATTTGCTTTTGCGAGAAACCATCCAGAAACTTGGATTTCAGAGTCAGTGAACGAGGGTGTGAATAAGGGGGCGATCACACCTGTTTAGAGTGTCGTAGAAACGGGGCATGGGAGGGCATATGTGCTCCTCCCCTCCCAAATAGTAGGAAAGAGGAAGAGGGGGATAGGGGGAGAAAGAGGGTAGAGAGAGAGAGAGAGAGAGAGAACAAAACAGAGAAAGAAAAGAAAGAGAGAGAGATAGAGAAAGAGAGAGAGAAAGAGAAAGAAAGAGAAGGGTAAAGAGAGAGAGAGAGAGAGAGTGGGAGAGGGATACATATATATATAGAGAGAGAGAGAGAGGGGCGAAAGGGAGGGAGGAGTACCACGAGAAGAAAACAACCCCTACCACACCTTTCCACTCGGACCCTTTCCTTCCTCGTTAGTGATCAGCCTATACGCAGCCCCCCCCCCCCCCCCCACCTCCATGTTTTAACACTATACGCGAATGCCTGTGTCCGGAAATCTCTCAATATTTAGTAATATTGGAAATTTCCAATCGTTATCTTATTTTCTTAGGCTTTATTTGTTTGTTGTTGTTTGTTTTTCGTACACCGAAGTCGGCGACTGCAGGTTGACGACGGATATGCCGATACGCTCGACCCTCCTGAGCTTGATTCGGTCTGATATTTTTGGCAAAGATTTGCAAAATTGCTTACCTTATGACGTTAATAAACACCACGCAATTAAAACGAAGGTAGAGCTGATACCCATGAACGTGGTCTGGAAGCATAAGATCTGGCAAGATCCCCCATCCATCCCGAGCTCAAAAAGAAAGTATAAAACACCTTCGTCGCAGGTATATGCTTCATTCAGAGAAGGCAGTGGTTTTGGAAGAAGTTGCCTTTTGATCCCGAGGATTTCTAAGCTTAAAGAACTTGTTAAGTATTTGAGAGTCAGAGGTTCGAAGTAGGATCGTGTCAAGATGCGGCTTTCTCTCGGGTTTGCGACCGTATTGGTCTTGTTTGCAGCAGGTAAGCCTGACTTCATCCCTTTTTTTAAAAATAAATTCTTCGTCGATTATCTGTACTTATTCTCAAAATATTATTTTGTGTAAGATATTCCAAACTCTTCCCAGCGAAAACTCAGTTTCAAAGTTGATATATTTGTTTTATTTCATTCCATTCAAAATATTGTACCGTGTTCTAATATATACCATGTATTTGTTTACTGCGTTATCATATGTATTACGTCATCATTTCAATACTGAATCTTTTTGTGTTCTTCAAATCATCGATTTAAATTTTCAATTCATGATGTGATTTGAAACGGATTTAAAGAGCGTTTTCAATATTCGTGTGTTGTTTGATAGTTATATTTTTTTCAATATCTAGTTTCATAACTTTTAATTTGTACAATTGAATTTACAATTAGTTATACTGTACTTGTCGATAATTATACGTATTTTTTCATATCTGATTTTGCATTTTACAATCAATTTAAAGCTGTATAAGAGAAAAGAAGCGATGATAAAGTAGGGGGGAGTGGGACTTCGTGGAGTTATATATTCGGATTAAGTGTTAGTCAAGCCCATAGTGGTCTGAGGGCCGGATGTTCAACAAAATAAATGAGGGAAGAAAAATTGAAACTTTGCTGAGGGAAAAAAGAAAAAAATTCAGCAGGAAACGAAACCTTTCTTCGACATAAGTTTCTGCAATTTACCTATGTTTATACAAGCCCGTAGAATCAAATTAGTGTGTTCCTGTAGGAGGTATAAATTACTTTTGTACACTAATTTAATGGGAAAGATGTAAGAATAAAAAAAAAGAGAAAAAAAAATCTATCGTAAAATGATTGGGCTACCAACCCACGTTTTCTGGTGTATCATCAATCATGCTAATAGGTCTTTCATTAATTGCATCAGGAAGAAACCGATTCATTATTTTTAGAATTTAATTTAAATACCTCATTTTTCCTTCCGAAGGGCAAACAATTGTCTGCAGTACTTGTGCGCCTGGTGCATTTGATATACCATTTTCACAATGCAATCAATCTATGTTAAGTGCCTCGTTATAAATTATTTCATTCACCTGTTACGAATAATTGTATTTCAATGGTCAGAATTCGAATTACATACATTAATAGTTGGTAGGTAGAACGTTAGGACAAACATTATGGCTTGTCCTACATGACAACATGTAGTTTATGCGATTCATATTCTAATTATTGAAATACAATTAATTGTAACAGGCGAATGAAATAATGTATAAGTTTTGATTATATTACGAAAATGGCCTATGCTCATGCTTTCAAGGCTTTTACTGATGCACCAGTTTCCATTTGTTCTATGATTAATACTTTCATTTTCACATGTGATTTTTTTTATATTTCATCTGTGATGATATTTCATCTTTTATATTTGTATATATTGTGACGATGATGGAAATAAACGACTATTCATTTCAATTCAAGTCAATTCAACGCTCGAAGTTTTTAGATTTTCCCCAATGTTTGAGAAACTATAATGTTCTTGTCTCTAACGTAAACTCTAAGGCCTTAACAAAAAATGGAGCTTCTGATGGTACATAAATTATTATGAAGAGAGTCGAGATATTGATGATTACTTACAATTTTTTCTCTCTTTTTCTCTCTCTCTCTCTCTCTCTCTCTCCTCCCCCTCTCTCCCCTCCCCCCTTCTCTCCCCTCCCCCTCTCTCCCCCTCTCTCCCCCTCTCCCCCCTCTCTCCCCTCCCCTTCTCTCTATCTCTCTCTTGGAACAGGCAACGCCCAATATGGCGGAATGGGCGGCATGGGCGGCATGGGCATGGGCCAACCCGGTATGGGCCAGGGAATGCAGGGAATGGGACAACCAAGGCCCGGCATGGGACAACAAGGGATGAACCCCGGCATGGGACAACCGAGGCCCGGCATGGGGCAAGGCATGAACCCCAACATGGGACAACAAATGCCTGGCATGGGGCAAGGCATGAACCCCAACATGGGACAACCAAGGCCTGGCATGAACCCAATGCCAGGTCAGGGAGGAGGAGCGATGGAACAGCTTGGCGCATTCCTGTCTACAGCGGGTGGGAGCATCTTAAAGAAGTTGAACCTGGGCGTTGGGTGTAACCTGTGTACCTCATTCATCACCGGGGCACAGCAATCCGTCTTCCAACTCAGGAATCAGGTCAGTTCAAAGGAACTTCTAAAATGTCTTAGAGATATCTGGTAAAAGTGCCCAGAACGAACACTTATGATTATCCATCCAACGTACTTTACGTAGTTTTATGCCCATCTGTTCATGTACCGATCATCATTTACCCTAATGAGCTATACTCGCTTATTACTTGGCGCAAAATAGAATTGACTGGTACAGATCAAATATCCATCCAATATTCTGTAATCTGTTTTACAAGGAGCATTTCTGAAATCTCGTCCAGAATGGGCCATGATGGGTATTAATAATGTTCATATCTTTTGATGTACCATAATTAAAATTATTAATGAAGTGTGTTCATTTTGATGATCAGTTTCCTTGTACGAAGTTTTTAACAGTTGGAATTTTTTTATCAGGACACATTCACAAGGTACTACTACTAGTAATAATAATGATAATAGTCCGTTCTTGTATATCGCATAATACTTAGTCTCTATGACTATGCGCTTCCAAAGAGCTTCGGAAATTATTACCCTAGCTTTAGCTCCACAGGTGCAATACCACACAGGTGTTATTGACTGTGTTGTTTAAAGTTATGATAATAAAGGTGGTTGGAATTTCCATTGCAATAAAATACATAGTACTCAATATTCAGGCAGTAATACAAATACATTTTTTTTCTATCGATCTGCTATTCAAACAAAAATCCATATAATTGTTCCCCCATTCCCACCCAAACATTGATAACAGAATAAGCGTTATAAAGTCACAACAATTAGTTGCACCACATTGTTTGCAAATTCAATACCTTACCTTAATGTGGACCCCACCTGAGAAGGATCCAAACGAACATCCAGTTTGAAATTGGCAAAATTAGGAGTTTCCGTTTCGAATCGTCTTGGCAATTTAAATTGACAGACACAAATTCCCGAAGAGTACTGGAAATGAAGTAATGGAAAAATTACCAACAGCATATCCACCATTATTTATCTTCACTCATTTTCGAATGAAAACAAATGTATCCAGTCTTCAAATGTTTCTAAATGTAACGGCGAATCGGCATCAACGCCAAGCTAAGATTCTTAAGGTCGCTTCAACCGTCAAAAATGTACGTCTAATAGGCGTGATGATAATAAATTTGCACGTAAGATTACGAGATCATGAAGTATATATCATTGGACGCATCTTCAATGCTATTACGTAATCCGTTCCATATGGCGTGTACTCATAATGTAGTGCGTGTAAGAGATTATTGACAAACCTTAATGACTCAAGTGCCGTATCTATCAATCAATCAGCCATTCTCCTTCCCAAATAAGTCTGGAGTAGTCCAAATCATTGTGCATGAATAATATTTGATGGTAGTCGATGTGATCTTAATTTTGTATTTTTTAGTAAACCCAAACAAGTTCATGTATCTGTACAAAAGATGTCCGCAGGACTCGAAATCGGTTCTGGGTCTATCTATTAAAGAAGGAGGGGGAGAGATGGATGCTAGGGTGAAAAAAAGATAGAGAGGGGAGAGAAAGAGATAGAGAGGGAGTGAGAGAGAGAGAAATTTTCACGTGAATTTATCAAGTTCTTATAGCTCTCTTTGCCCTTTGTCTTTTTCTAGTGTTACTATTCCGTTTTCCCCTATGTGCCTCTCTTTCTCATTCTCCCCCCTCTCTCTCTCTCTCTTTCTCCCTGCCTCCCTCTTCCTGTTATATTTTCCCCTCTCTTAGCTCTTCTGTTTTTACCCCCTTTTCTTTACCCCGACACTTACCAAGGACTTATGGAATATTACCATGAAAACAAAAAAAACATTTGTATTGCCTATACATAAATTACTTTCATCTTAGAAACGAAATTAAAGACGCCATTTTGTAATTTTATGTTGTGTCTACAGGCAATAAACCAATCTCAGCAAGTCTGCAGCACTCTTCCCACTCCCAACTGGCAGCTTTCTAATCAATGCAACCAGCTGACGTCATTCGTCGTCAACCAGACCATGCAACTTTTCCAATCCACTGTGAGTAATAAAGGATAAATAAACAAATAATGTTATGCTTATATAGCGCTTAATACAATGTCTCTAAGCGCTTTACAGATGGCATACCAGTCAATTTAATTCAATATTCAACATTCAGTTTCAGTTTAGTTTTATGTCATATTTTAGATTCACATTAATTACATAATTCATAAGCGATAAAGGAGAAGAATAAGAAAGTATGTAGGTGTAAAAATACATACAATAATATCAAGCCATGAAAGCAATAATACGGTTGAAATATCATACGGAGTAGTTGTACAATTGTATGGTATTTAAACTGAAATTTCAGAAATAAATTTACAGTGAAATCTAGTAAAAAGCTAAGCTTGTAAATCGTTGATTTCCTTTTATAAATAAGAGCATGTAGATAATTTTCATGAATACATGTACATGCATTATGTAGTTTGATCAGCATTGAGAGGGTCTATACAATGGGTTTGATAGCTGGGATGCTCCCATGAAGTGGAGATGGTGCACATAGTGTCTGCTGGAAGCGAGCCTGAACCCCATAACGGGGGGGGGGGGGGGTAATGATAATTGTACGCTTAGAGATATCGTGGAGGTATCGAGCCCGCTATACATTCAGAACATCATAATCTTCCATCCATAAATAATATAATATTTAAAATTGTTTCAATTATACAGCATCGCAAAGGCTTTCGAAAAACCGACTCAAAGGCAATTTCAATACCCTATTGTATGTCCTTTAGAAATCATGTTTGGATTACATAATAATCATGTTACTGTAATTGTTCAGTAGGTGAAGGACAATGGCACAAGTTTATTAATACTAATAATAATAGTGAACATTTATAATGCGCCATGTCTGTCAAAAATGACACTAATAGAATTGCCTTAAAATAATTCTAGGCCTAGTCTATTCTAGATTTTTTTCTAGACAAGCTCCCGAAGTGAGGATATCCAAGCAAAATGAAACAAAACGGAACGAAACAAATTTAAGATGATATATTGTCAATGACTTTTGTTGTTGTCGATATCCACAGCCTGCCCAGGAGGTCTGCAAGGCCCTCACCTTCTGCAGCCAGCAACCCCAGCAACCCCAGCAACCCCAGCAACCGAACAACCCCTGGATGAACCAGAATCCCTATAACCAACAACCACAACAGCCACAACAGCCACAACAACCACAACAACAACCTTACAACCCCTTCATGAACCAGGCTCGTCCACAGACACCCAACCAGGGTTATGGCCAAGGATATGGACAGCAGCCGCAGGGGGGTGGATTCGGCCAAATGTTCGGACGCAGAAGGAGGTCCCTCAACTTGAGAGACCTCATCCCCAACTTCGTCAAACAAATGGGTGAGTAGTATGGTTGCGTCCAATGCAAGGCGTCATCTGTCTTGACGTAGGAGTGCATCAACGGCGGGCGCTGTCTTTGATGCGCCATCTGAGGGCGCCATGTGAGGGTGACATGGTCCAACAATGATTGCCAAAATGAATATTGGTAACCGTTGCGGTGAATTACTAACGTATGGCGTTATTGCGTTCGTAGGCTTGGTAAAGTAGTAACGAAATCAAAATTACGACTCGTGTGGCAACGAATGTAAAACATATTATTTTATTGGCGTTTCTCTGTATTTCACCATTTCACAATATGTTCATATTCTTCATATGTTCATATTTTCGACCAAGGAGTAGTAAACTAATTCCCTAAAATAATTTATCTGTTCGTTCTCTGTAGTCTCGAGTAATTTAAATAGATAAAATAAATTTCAACAAATATTGTGGAATAATAATAATGGATATCTTATGAATCAATACAATGTTGTATCTTGTATCGTTAATACCTGCACATGATATTGTCATCATTTGTATCATTATCACCAACATACAGCATTTGTTCAAGAACTTAATTGATACCCCCAAACACTATTATTTTATCAGATTCACTCATGGATAACTTGGAGAACACCATTTGCCAAAGCTGTGAGAACGTCGTTAATAGGATGCAGGGAGATGTAACGAATGAACAGACACTGGTAAGTTGATAATTTCTTTCATTCACTATTTTTGCAAATTTAATTTACTGTAAGAAAGTTAGATAGAGTGTCGATCATGTCCTGAAACGCATGGTCACAATCACTGTTATTGAATTGATAATAACTAAGGTTTATATGATCGAAAGACACTCGTAAAGTATAGACGCCTGTCAGTCCAGATGTTCCATTATATTTTAATGAAACAAATAACTGAATTACAAATTTCGAATATTTGTTTTCTTTAAGTATTCTAAACGTTTTCTTGATGAAAAAGTAAAGACTGTTTGAGGCACTGTGTTTTTAATAAGAGGCCTTAGAGAAATTGTAATGTGCACATGTCTTTTATATAATTTATATCTTTGATTTGTTAATCCTTATCAATAACATAGAGTCAAATTGGCAACCTTTTGAGGGAGTCTTGTGACGTCATGCCCTGCATCAACAAGACTGAATGCTACATCGTCGCTAAACACTACCCTGCCGCTCTAAAGGACTTCGCATCCAACATGTTTGTAAGTATATGGGACAAGGCTGATGATACCTTGGGAAGAACAGATAAGGAAGAGCTGAATAGAAATAGAGAGAGAGAGAGGGGAGAGAGCGAGAGAGAAGAGAGAAGAGAGAAGAGAGAAAGGTGTGGGATGTGTGATAGATAGAATGATAGATAGAAACATAAAGATATATATATAGAGAAGGGAAGGAAATATGGAAAGATGGAAGGACGATCTGCAAACGAAGATCTGTGGGCTATTGAAGAATTATCGAATATTCATGATTATCAAAGACATCTGCCAATATCGGCTACATCTACTAATTCGGAGTAGCCATCGAAGTTATGATGTATCATACTAATTTAAATTTACAAAGAATTTCCATGAACATAATGACCGGGGTAAGATTATTATAAGGTCCAGACAGTCAGGACATTATACATGTTATACCATGGAGTTACTAATTAACCTAGTAACTCCATGATGTAAAGCACTACTTGTAGCTACTTGCGTCCTCTATATAGCAAACAATTCCTAAGCGGAAACAATTGGTCCCCCATGATCGCCTTTTTCTTATGTTAAGTGAGAGCTGATTTGATGAGATAACCACCTGTCAGTGACCACACATTGGCCTTCCTGGCCAATCTTGTGCAGACAGGCTTTAAACGCAGCTTCTTTTGCAAGTAGCCCATGCAAATCAAATCCTAGCCGACGGATCGGCTTTCTAAAACTGTATTTGTTTTTGTTATCGCAGAACGCAAGAGATACGTGCGAAACCTTCCGCCTCTGTGGACCCAACAGCCGCGTCGGTATTTCCGGTGGGTCCGACTTCCCCGGTTTCGGCTTGGAAGCCTTCCTCCCCGTTCAGGAACCCGCAGAGGAGGAAAGCGTTACCTTCAATTTAAATGGACGTACCAAGAGACAGGTTCCAGGAATGGGCCAGCAGTCACCGTATGGTCAATTCCCAGGCATGCAAGGTCAAGGCATGCAAGGTCAGGGAATGCAGGGTCAGCAAGGTCAGGGTATGCAAGGAACCAATCTTCTGGATTTCGCCTCCATGTTGGACCGACTTCTCAGTAAGTTCCGTGGTCAGCTCATCGCTAACCACTTTCGTAAAAGAAACCGTTACAATACATTTAAAATCCCCACTGCACCCCGTTTAGCTACTTGCGCCTTCTATATAGCAAACAATGCCTAATCGGTGCCTATTGGTCCCCCATGATCCTCTTTTTCTTATGTTAACTGAGAGCTGAGTTGATGAGATAACCACCTGTCAGTGACCACGCTGGGCGGTCTAATCCCTCCTGGCCAAACTTGTGCAAACGGGCTTTAATAGAACGTAATCTTACAAACCTAGGAACCGAGCATCGTACTTGTACGCCTATCTTTAAAACTGCCTCTCACTACGAGCCAAATTGTATTTTTTTACAGGGAAAATTGTATCCACGAGGATGACGCATTACAAGATTATTTTATCGAATATCCCGGGATAACATAATTAGCAACAACATCATCTACAACACATTGACTTCCATCGGCAACAACAGTAGCAACATAACCTCAACCACCACCACCAACATCAATTAATTGAGTAATTTATTTGTACAAACTTTTCTGACAATGAAATTCTCCGTTTTTGTTTACTCAACAGCGAGTTTTGGTGTCCAGATTCCAGGCCTTGGCATGCTAGGTAGGAGGATGCAGATGTTGAAAACAGGTAAGAATGGTACTCTTTGGGGCCTCTCAAGGCATGCTCATAAAGTCTGACAAAATGCACTCGAACAGTAAAATGTAATATCAGAGGTTGGCTGTACTTGTTTTTTGTATTAATTGATTGGTCATAACATAACATTTTCTATAAGTAACTTTCTTTTTCATTAACGTATTTGGAACATACTTGGCTATACTTGTTATCACAGCCCGCATTAGCAAGATGGCTATAGTTTCCCAGAAGTTCATGCCTGTTCTTCTTCGTGCCATAGCTTGTACATCCGGTTTTACACCAAACCGTGACATACATCAATAATACTTCACTTTTTAAACAACACTGCTAGATTCGTTGAGTTTACCGCATGTGTTTATGTCTTCTTCGACGGGTCTTTAATCAACCTCTAAGCGAGGTTTAAGGGCATTGTTGACACTTCGGGAAAGTTTATGACTTCAACTTGATCTTTGGACCGACCGTAACGCCCCATCGATGGTTTCGGGGATATGGGGACGAATTTGGAATTTCAGATTGTGTTTTTAATGCAAATTTGCTTGACAAGGTCCTCTCATTTGGGGTCCAGTTTTATTCCGAAGCCCTCGGACTGGCACAAAAATATTGCAAATAAAACATTAAACATAAATAAGATAATATATCGTACAAAATGAAAGAATCTGACCTCTGGGGAGGGGGGGGGGGGCACAATATCCCTTACCTTTAACGGGTTTGTATCTAAATCTCATCCATGCTTTGTAACTGCAGGTCTACTATTATCTTGAACGCTGTAACTGTCCTTTCGTTGTGTTTCATGTTCTTGTTTTCTTTTTGTTTGAAGGAATGAGTGCCATGAGCGCCATGGGGGGCATGGGCGGTATGCCCAGGATGGGCGGCGGTATGCCAGGATTCGGACGCAAGAAGAGGGCTACTGAAGATTCAAGTAAGTCTGTTTTGAAAAGCACCTTTAGCAACTTGAGTATTAGTGTGCAGTTGTACAACATTTGTTAAATCAGATTAAGAGATTTTTGAAAGGCAATTAGGGTTTCGACTTTCGAATAAGGAGTACAGTACGTGAAAAGCATCTATCCATAAGTCGGATAATATGGAGTTTTGCCTTAAGGTTTAAGACAAATTTCGATCTTGAATAGTGAATACTCGAAAACTGATTCTGACAGAAGGCGCAATAGAAATGTATTTACCTTAAAATGGAAGGATAAATGCGAATTATGTTATGAGTTAATTTTTAAACAAACACTGAACAAACATATTTCATTTGTTATATGTTATCACTCTGGATTCTGAATGTTATCTAAAAGTAGGCTCATTAAATGGATTTAAAAATAGGACTGTAAATTGAAATGAAAACGATAAGATAAATTGAATTGGAAATTAGTTTAAAAATTATTTTTAAAACTTCATATGAAACTGAATTGATTCATGATTGATCAATACATTTAAGGAAATTTAATTCCAGTTTCATTTAAAAAAAAAAAAAATCAATGATAAATTTGATATCCAGAATTCAGAAAAAAAATACTTTAAATAAAAAAAAATGAATTGAAATTCATATTAAAACTTGAAATTTGAATTGAAACTTGAAATTCAAAAAATTATTTGAAACTGATCTTTCCCTCCTAACGTGCTCAGTGGACGAAGAGAGACAGGAAATGAGTTGAAATTTGCAATTATAATTGAACTTATGAATTCAATATTAGAACCTGAAATTTGAATTGAAATTTGAAATTCAAATTATTTGAAACTAATCATTCCCTCCTAACGTGTCCAGTGGACGAAGAGAGACAGCGTTTCACCCGACAGGTCCCTCAGTCGCAATTCAATCCTTTCCAAGGCCAACAGCAAAGACAGGGCATGCAGGGAGGACAATCATCTGTGCTCGATTTCATCCCCATGTTGGACCAGCTCCTCAGTAAGTTAACATAACACCTGTTGACGCAATGCCCCCTTGCACAGAAGGCGTCATTTACTGGCGCAAGATTGCGTCAGCGATTGGTGCGGTTTTTGCATGGTGAGAGTGATATCGAACGTAAAGAGAACGCCAGATAAACAATGCAAACATTGTGTTGAATTAGTTGCTTTCTTATGGATGTGAACTTATGCTTATGACGCTTCTGCGGAACGATTCCTTGGTCACTTGACAAACATGGGCGATGTACAATAAGCCATTATTAGTTTTATAAAATTCAAACAATTCATGTTTAATCTGAAGCTCCAACTGAGCCGTCAGTGCGTCTCATCTACGATTTCTTGTCTAATTGTTGAATCTGTTTTCTCTCTCAACAGAGAGTTTCGGCATCACCATTCCAGGCTTAGATATGCTCGGAAGAAGACAACAGCAGTTCAAAGGTAAGAAGTCTACATGTAGAGGTGTGGTAGTGAAGTGGTTTAAAGTGGCATGTTCCCCGTATTCCAGAGGGCGTTCAAAATACGTACCCGCTGGCGGACGGTGTTAGCCGCCTATTGACACCAACATTATACATCTCTTAAACAGATGGCATGTTCCGAATGCCCGCACAATGCCGATTATCGCATACATGTGCCGAAGTAATACCAATCGCAGTTCGGTTCTAAGATTCGGCTGCTGTTTCCGCCCACTTTCGTGACGTCAGGATCGGCAGCGATCAGCTGGCTTGACGAAGGCAGGCCAGGCCGCGCGTACTTTGATTGACAGCTGTATGCAAATTAGAAGTCGATCTTCGGAACCAAGATGGCGATGACTAGAGCAGTGATAACTACAATGGCGGGAACGTGCCCCTTTAAGCCCTTGAATTCAAATGCAAAGTTCTTGGGTTCGGTCCCGACACGGCACTAATGTCCTTTGGCAAGGTATTAATCTACATTTACCACTTCATATCCAGGAGATAAATGGGGACGGGGTAGGATGCGGAAATTCTTTGTGTTAGTAACTGCCATATGACCTCATGGCGACCGTATAGAAGGAATACTCCGCAGGGAGTGGAGATGGTGGATATTGTGCCAGAATGAATCCGAAAACAGGGGTAATATTATGTGAAGCGCTTAGAGATAGTATTTCGTATACAGCGCTCTAATGATAAATCCAGGTTATTGTTATTTTTTTTTTAATGATATTATTGTCGAAATATCTGATAAAGGGGAGGGAAGGGTGCGCCCCTGTGCATCGAGGGTCGTCCTTATTGTAGTTTGTTCCTGGGCCCCATTTCACAAAACTTGTCATCAGTGACAAATGACAGTTTTAAGTATAAGCTACTGAAATCCTTGCTCCTGATTGGTTATCGGCAGATTTGTCACTGATTTTTGTCATTTGTCATTGAAAAAAAAAAAGCTTTATGAAACGGGTTCCTGGTTAAACAGTTGCGGATAAATTCTACAGTGATATAAACATTTTCGTATTCCTTTCATTAAAATAAGTGTTTCTTCATGATGACCAAAATAATAGCTTGTTAAAAGGCCTCGTTTATTAAATTTGGAGAAAGGAATTGACCGAGATATATTTTCGGATATTGGTATCTCGTAGAGAAATGTGTCGTTTGACATTTTGAAGACAGATTCGCCATACTTATATGTAATGAAAGTGGTATTTTGCAATGACTCCATTTCAACTGATTCATGTTTCTCCTTTTTTCAGGAATGGGCCAGATGGGCCAGATGGGCCGTATGAACGGTATGCGCGGCGGTATGGGCCAGATGGGCGGTATGGGCGGCATGCCCGGATTCGGACGCAAGAGGAGAGACACAGGATGTGAGAAATATTTTTCAAAATTATTTTTCATATCAAATCAATGTCAAATCTAGGAAGAATGATACACTGGTGATGAGCATAACTATCTTGAAATGTCAAATTTTGTACATTTCTTTCCTTGACAAAATCTCACTGTCTATTATATGAACACACAAAGACGAATGGGACAGGGAATTGGGACTACATAATCTTTAATCTACAAAAGAATCCACACAACCGCTGATCCCCACTTTCGGGTAGCTGTGTTTTCTGTCTAACTTGTTGATATATCTATACTATATTTGACTAGTGGAGGCATTTTAAAATTTGAATCGTAATTCTCAGTTTGGTTTTCGCCTGATTGCCATTTATAAAAGTCGTCAATCGTCTTTTCAACTGAATCTGACCAAAAACCAAAATGAATTGAATTGAATTGATATATGAATTTAGACCAACTATTGTACGTCAACTGATTAAACAGCTTCAGCTGCCGTAGATTAGCCCCTCCCCCTAAAAATACAACAACAACAACATACAAACAAAGTTTGCAGTGCGGTCTATTCGCACGTGATTCCTACATGTACATGCAATGACGTAGAGTGTTGGGGTTGCCTTTGAGTTGATTATTATTGATTGCAATCATGTTAAATCACGCACTGAGAAAATACTGCTTTTTGACGGATACAGTTAATATGTTGCTTGGTCTAGTGAACGAGCAGAACCTGAACCACCAAAGCGACGAGCAGCAGAGACAGAAGAGACAGATGATGAATCCTCCTTACAACCCCTACCAGCAGTTCCCACAACAGCCTCAGCAACAGTTCCCTCAACGGCCACAACAGCCACAACAGCCACAGGAGAAACCATCTTGGTTTAACGTACCCGCCATGCTGGATAGCATCCTCAGTGAGTTCAGTTGATTTTAAAGCCCCACTGTACTACTGATAGCTACTTGCGCCCTCTATATAGCAAACAATGCCTAATCGGTGACCATTGATCCCCCATGGTCCCCTTTTTTCTTATGTTAATTGAGAGCTGATTTGATGAGGTAACTACCTGTCAGTGACCTTGCAGGGTGGTCTAATCCCACCTGTAAACTAGTACCGATAGGCTTTAAAGACAGTTTTTAGTAATGGTAGCCAGTGGCGTAGCTACGAGGAAAACGGGGGTACGCCCCCTTCAAATCGCGTAACAAGAAAAGTACATATAAAAAAGGAAGGAAGAAAAGCTAGATTATAGAACATCTTTCCTGATCCAAAGTGTTCCTCTGTCGTTAAAAAATTAGGATTGAAACAATTATTAGACATACATGAACATGTTCGTAGTCGACGCAAATCATATTAGTATATAAATCTTGTTTTTGGCTGATTCAAGCGGGTGTAAAACGAGCTTTTGCCTCTCCCTTTTAAAACCCAACGGGCAACTATAGTTAACCATGGTAACGTATTTTCTCTCTACTTTTACAGAGCGTTTCGGTATCAACATTCCAGGCCTCAAGAGTCTATTGGGAGGTAAACAACAACAACAACAACAGCAGCCGCAGCAACAATACCCTGGTAATTGGCATATATGATATATAATGTAATGTATAATTATTAAATATATAATTATATACCCTGTTGCCCATATAAAGGTTGGAATATAGTTTACCCTTATAGCTCTTTTCATGAAGTGATTGTGAGAAAATACATTATTCTTTATAGATAGAGTTTATGTCTGCTCAGAACTTCATTGATCAATCCAAAAATTCATAGGGATGAATGTTTTGGAATTTTGTTTCTGTCAATGTAGGGATTATTTCATATAATTATGTCGATACTAGTTAGTACTTGGCACATTTTCCTTGATGATTTGTTTGCGAGAATCGGGATGGGGATGTCTGGAATAGGTATGGGGTATGGGCATGAGAGTTCTTCGTATTCACGATTTGATTTCGAATGTTTTTCGCTGTTAATTAAGGCACGTACGGGCTGTTAATGTGTACAATTTATATCAAAATAAATTATTCAAGGGCATTACGTTCATCAAAACTTGTTGGCTTGATAATTTTCACCCTTTTCTTTTATTTTTTTTGCAGGTATGGGAGGTGGCATGGGTGGTATGCCTGGCATGGGAGGCATGGGATCATATGGCCGTAAGAAGAGGGCCACCACACCCTTCGATACCCAAGGTGAGTGTTGCCAATTTGATTCAGATTAACGATCAACATATTTATCTAAGCATTTTTACCTGCAATCCGATATTTTTCATGTATTTTTACGTATAAGTCCATTCGGGTATTGATAAAGATCGTGATGAAAAATACATAAAAGATCACTTTTGTTATCTTCTTCGTTGAAGTATTGGTTTGTCTATAATCTGAGATAACGATAAAAGCAACGCATGGTTTTAACAAAGAAATACTTTGCCCTCATAAGTATGCTCGTATTTCCTAAGGTGCGTATTGTGAACGACGGTTACTTAAATGCTCAGATAATTAAATTAATAGTAAATTCATATTAAGGCAGTAATACTTATTGCGAACCCCTTTTAGTATGTGATTTAGAAATAAACTAAAATAATTTAAGAAGTGATCTAACATTTGAATAAGTGCAATGCATACAGTATTTTTAATTGTTTTTCCGTCTTCTTCGTTTTCTTGTTTATTTCCATCAATTTAAACTAAATTAAATCTATGAAGATTGTGTGTGTATAATTAATAGGGTTTTTACAAACGTACATCAATCAGATATGATTATTTACGTCTGGGGACCAACCTTTAACGTCACCATCCGAAAGATGAAGAGTTTGCTTGATTTTCTTTTATGATCCTTTATATCTGTGGATATCTAAACTAAATTGTTATTGGAATTGAAGATACTTTTAAAATCCCAATTCTGGTGTCTAATAATTTATGTATAGAACCTTATTCTTATAATACCACTGAAGAACAAGTAATATGAATAATGATAGCTGTTTACATGTAGCAGTTATGATTGATAACTTGCTTTTTTTCATTTTCATTTTCAGTCGAGCCTGAACATAGTGAAGAGATGGCGAGGTGCATTGGAAGTGCTATGACAAATGTAAGAACTGTTTCAAAGCTAAGGCCTGGTTGTAATAACAATGAAGAAAAAATAAAGCAATTTTTATATAGGGCATGATGATGATGCGCTTTTCAGAGTATTGGTAGCAGAGCCATCTATACACAGAGTTTGGCCAACTTTGTTTCACTTGGTCACACCATTACGTAAAGTCTTTTGTAGCATGCTTGCCAAACATAGCAAAATAATAATTCAGTCATGAAATTAATAAATATAATTCATGTTAATATCATGTGTTGTCTATTCATTCACTTACAACTTTAGGGTGATTTAAAGGGGTGAAGGAATTAACACATATATAGCAATACAAAACCAAAAGAATAATACGCTTTGTCGGGGTTTAACTTGGACTAAATTTAGTGCATTTTCATGACTACGGGTATCCCCCCTCTAACCACAAAGAGTCAAATCTGAGAATGTTTTCATAAGTTCGGATACCTTTGCAAAGATTATTTTGTGTTACATACCGACCTACCGATATTTCAGTGTCAATGCACAGAACACGCCGAGTATTTTCGCAATTTATTTTTCTTGTTCATCATTCATGGATAACTCGATACGTATGCATGATGCGAATTGGCCAAAAGCTCGTGAGAACTTTTTATCGTTGTTTCATTTCTGATATGGTCCTCGAGATTTCGCTTACTATTTATCATTTTGCATACATTTTTTCTTTCTTCGCAGGAAACATGGAAGTGCCAACTTTGCAAGCGAGGAATGACCGCCATGTCCCACGTCCTCGATATCCAAATGGTATGTTTTTGTTTTTATTCACTTTCACGGTTATAAATAACGTTATTTTTGTACTCAAATGAATAGCAATGGTTTGTTATTGCTTTTTATTTACTTTCAAGTTTATAAATAACGTTATTTTTGTACTCAAATGAATAGCAATGGTTTGTTATTGCTTTTTATTTACTTTCAAGTTTATAAATAACGTTATTTTTGTACTCAAATGAATAGCAATGGTTTGTTATTGCTTTTTATTTACTTTCAAGTTTATAAATAACGTTATTTTTGCACTCGAATAGAAAGTAATGGTTTGCTACTGTTTTTGTTTTCCTTTCAAGTTTATAAATAATAATGGTATGTAACTGTTTCTGTTCTCTTTCAAGTTTATAAATAATGTTATTTTTTGTACTCGGATGGATAGTGAATATAAGTGCAGATCAATGTCGTTGGCTTTACAAAATTAAAATCATAATTTCTACCATTACTTGTCTGTCATAGTCTCACGAATCGTCTGGTTTGCAGAACATGTGCCGCCTTCTCCCAGGAAATCTTCGAACTATGGTAAGCGTTCACTTTTTTTAGTAAACAAATATGAATGCTTATAAATCTTTTATCTTTATATGAATTTCAATTAATTTGGTTCATTTATAGAACTTGAGATCTCAGCCATTTAAAAAAAAGGTGCTCTACAGATCAGAGAATTAATTGGTGAAGATGGTTCAGTAACTTGAAACACTGCACATTTTAATGACGTATTTATTTTGCATTGAACTCGTCATCCTCTCTCTCTCTCTCTTTCTGTCTCTCTCTCCCTCCCTCTCTAGCTTTCTCTTATACTCTCCCCTTCCGCTCTCTCACACTCTCTAGTGGACCCCTTCTTATTCTCTCTCTATCTCTCCCCCTCCCCTCACTCTTTCTATCTGCCCTCCCACCCCTCCTTCACTACTTCCCTCCCTGTCTGTCTGTCTCTCTCTCTCTCTCTCTCTCTCTCTCTCTCTCTCTCTGAGTACCTTAATCAACCATTTACAGGCTCATTACTCTACATCTTCATCAACACCATATCGAATCGTCCATCTCATTGAATCGATATCATGTAACAGTTCAAGTGCTTTAAATTGAAAACTAAACATGCCACACCCTTTTCTTTTCTTACCCCATGCAGTGTCAGTCCGAGCTGCTTCCCGTACGTCAACGTGGTGGTCAAGGAAGCCCATCAGCCATAGGTAACCCGGTCGAGGCCTGCCAAGGACTTGGATACTGCCTGAACGAGAGGCTCCCATAAGCTATGAGGCACAGTCAGAAGTAGCAAGCACCCCCGTTTCATCCCAATTTTACCAAGAATAGGTTGGTTAAGGGTGGGTTTGGCCACGCCCATCCCGTTGACCACGACCAAATGAAGGACAATGCTCTCTCCATTATCTCTCTTTCCTGATGTCAATTTCCAATACTTCCCAAAATCCTAACTTCCACCTTAGCACTAACCCTAATTTTAAACATAATCCAATTTTCAACCATGCCGATTCGTATAGTATAAGCCATCCAGACTTGTCATACAACTCGATGAAAGGGAATATGATTGTATCTAAACTTGTGAAACTGTATTACATAATAATGTTTTTATTTACATCCGGTGCAGTGTCTTAAACCGGTGGTCAAAATCTATAGTTTGATAAAAAACGATTTCCAGTTGACAGCGGATAATGAACATGATTTTTGGCGGCACAAAATTGATTATCCAATTAAGTTTTGATAAATCCACTAAAGTTTTGATAAATCACAACATTTACAATCCAACAAAATTAAGATTCCCCAATCTACGCAAATTATCTTACATAACATAACCAATTATTTATATATTTTCAAATGTCATAATTCGTACTAATTTAATTATGATCCATATTAAGTTCTGGAAATTTAGCATGTGGTACTTAAACACGAGCAAAAAACCTCCTAAATTATTCAAGGGCGTGCGTTGTGAATAATGTGATACAATTTAAATGATATCTGAATGAAATTCGTGCCACAAACAGCAAAATAGAGCTGTGCAATATTAATTTTCACCAGTCATCAACATATCATGCTAAAAAATTAAAATGTTACTTTACTTTTAAAACATGTCGTGTTAAAAGAGACTTGCTGCCAGTTATGCACACATTTTGTAAAATTTCCCCGTTTTACATCTTTTAAATTCAAGACAAAGGAATCTAGTTTTTGTGGAAATTTAGGGTGTCTTGCTATTCTATGACTATTGTCTTGTAAATATTTATAAATTTTTCTTTTCTTACTACTAATAATTGTATACTTCTATGTTTATTTCTTTATATGCATGCATTTTGTTTATAATACAAAATAAAATATAATTATTGTATATAAATCCTGTCTTCTGAGGTCTTTTTTGTTCAGATAATGCAACGGGTGTGCAATGAAATTATTATAATGCTAAATAAATTACTAATTGCGGATGTAGTATCGAAAATAATATCGCTAGTGATATTGGTTTGTCTCGCAATGTATGGTCAACAAGCGATCTAACGAAGTGTTGCAGCGGGGCACGAAACGTCGTGATCTCTAATATATCCCCTTTTGACCATAAATTGCGAGACAAACGAATATCACTAGCGATATTATATTCGAAATTATTATAGTTTCGACAATGATCCAGCATCGAATAGGCCATTTCCGTGATGTAATCTAATTTCATGTTTGTGAAGAACCTCATTATGAATTATTCTATTCACCCGTTACGATTTGGTCTTATTGTATTACAATAGTCAGAATGGTGGAAGGTATGAAAAGCCATAATGCTTGTCCGACATAGCAACAGTTACATTTCTGCAATATGCATTCTGAATACTGAGATACAATAATGGAAAACTCATCGCTAGCATAGATAGGTATAAATTAGACTACATTTTAAGAATTGTCTATTCGAGAACATCATGGTATGTATGAGTGATTGTACAACTGATATGCGTGGTAGTGGTGGTCAACTAATATTGAAAGGTCAATTATTTCGTTCAGTTTATGAATGATTGAATGATTGAATATTTGATTGGTAGATGTATTAATCCCTTGATTAGATGGCTGTTTGATTGATTGATTGATATTTTTTTTAACTGATTGGTTAATGTTTCTTTTTATTGGTTAATAATAATAATGATAATAATAGCTTGTTCTTATATAGCGCTTTTCAGGAACGAAGGCCCTCTCAAAGCACTTTACAGATATATATATATATATTATTACCCCGGTCATCGGATTCAAGCTTGTCCGCACACAATGTATGCACATTCTCCACTTCCTGGGGAGCATTCCAGCCAGGCGTCATTTTTACAAGCGCACACTTGCTAATCTAAGCACATTAAATGAATGAATGACTTGACGATGGATGGTTGATGATTGATTATTGATTGATCGCTTGATTTCTTAAAGCCTATCTTCACTAGTTTGGCCAGGATGGATTAGACCTCCCTGCGTGGTCACTGGCAGGTGGTTATCTCATCAAATCAGCTCTCAATTAACATAAGAAATGGGGGACCAACGGACCAACCGATTAGGCAACGTTTGATATATAGAGGGCGCAAGTAGCTATAAGTAGTGCAGTAGGGCTAAAATGATGAACAGAAATGTTGTTTGACGGATATTTGGTTTGCAGGTTGATTTGCTTGTTAAAATACACTTGTATCATTGACCGATAGTGAGTGTTGAGAGATAGAGATGCATGACATTTTGATTAATTATAGGTGAATTTATTTGGAATTATTAATACATTAATTTGTTCTTTGAAACAAGTGAACTTTTCTACCCGTTAATAGTAAATTTGCATTCTTATTCATATTGATATTTTGTAATGCTCTCATATTTTACCTGCACACGAGAAGGAGGACGTGAATCAAGTATAATTGACGCAGATGACACCATTTTGACACTAAACGGTACAAAAGAAGATTTACAGAGCTCACTGAAAATATTGGGTGATTTTGAAGAAATGTCAAACCTAAAAATCAATATTACAAAAACTCATGTGATATGGATTGGGAAAAATAGAGCCTGCAAAAAACAGCTAATGTCAGAGCACAAATTAAATTGGGTTTCAGAAGGTTATTCGAGATACTTAGGAATACATTTTTCGGTTAACTTAGTAGAGATGGTAAATCATAATTATACTGAAAAAATTAAAGATATAAAACGCCAAATTATTTCATGGTCTAAACGAACCTTAATTGTCCTCGGAAGAATAACTGTAGTCAAATCTTTGTTGGTTCCAAAATTGAACTATTTGTTTCTTTCACTTCCAGAACCGAATTCGCAAATTATGAAAGATATAAATCGTTCTTTTTATGCATTTATATGGAGTAACAAACCTGATAAAATCAATAGAGAACAAAATGTGTCAAATGTATAATAAAGGTGGGGTTAAGATGATTGATATTTACATTCATGCTAAATCCCTGAAAATATCATGGATTAGAAGATTTGTAACTGATTCTCAGATAGAAAGTTTCACTTTTCACATGTTCAATTCATTCTTGCCCCAAACCTATTTTTTCACCTGTATATGGGCTCACATTATTTTAGAAAATTAGCAGACTTGACTCTAAATCCATTTTGGAAAGAGGTACTTTTCGCTTGGTCAGACTTGGTCGAACTTCTTATTGACGACATTGCAAGTCAACCTCTCTGGAATATACCCCACATTAACTTAATGTGGGGGATTTTAAAAATGAATGACAAAGTGGTATGTTTTGGGGCTTGGAATTTACGAGGAATACGTTTTGTGAACGACATCCTTAAAATAGATGGTTCTTTTTTTTCATATTTTGAGTTTCAGCGGATATTTGACATACAAACAAATTTCCTCCAGTACTATGGTCTTTGTAATGCAATTCGGTCAGGTTATAAAATGACTACACATTATAGCTCTTAGTAAGGCCTTAGAACCTATCATTTCCGAAGCCGTGCACCTTGTGGTGAAAACAAATGTTGGTTGTTCACATATTTATCAGTCTTTGCTAAAAAAACAAAGTAAAAGAATGTAAAGCCCTTACAAAGTGGAATTTTTTTTTAGATTTTCAAGATGTACTTTGGGGTTCGTACTGTCAAATTCCATTTCAGTCAACAATAGATATCAACATGAGGTGGTTTCAAATCAAGATTTTAAATAGAATATTACATATGAAGGACAGTTTGTTAAGATTTGGTGTAGTGGCTGACAAGAAGTGTACTTTTTGTAGTAATAGTGATGAAACTATCATACATGTTTTTTGCTTTTGTAATTGTTCTAATGAAGTATGGTCGAGGTTAGAGTTCTGGATATTTCGTAATACGGGGGAAAGGATCAAACTTACAAATCAAAATAAATTGTTTGGATTTTGCGGTAGCAATAATAATGCACTCAACTGTGTTCTGATGGTTGTAAGACAAGAAATATTTTCAGCTAAATTACGAAATCAACTACCATCATTTGATATAATTTTATCAGCTGTAAAACGTTATTATGAAATTGAAAAATATATATACCAAACAAATCTCAGAGAGAATAAATTGAAAAAGAAATGGTTTCACTTTAGAAAATGTTTTGAGGGTGTTGGAAATGTGCTAACATAAACATGGTCATGTATTTTAGGTTTGTTTTGTTTTTTTAATTATATATTTAAAGTAATAATTTTGTCATAAATGTTTGTTTTTATCTGCCACAAAAGTTTTCGGCCGTGATGATTATTATCTGTGTTAAGCCATTATGTATGGAAATTATTTATTTAATTATTTGTGTATGATATATGGATATACTGTATATGATGGAACTTGTTTTGAAAATAAAGAACCCTGTGGAAGGGGAAAAAATAATTAAAAAAAAAAAGTATAATTGCAACCTTATCATTGCAACTCTGGAGAAAGACTTTTAGGGTTGTCTTTCTTTATCAGGTTCTGAAAAATGATCACTTTACAAGTTAATGATAACGACACATTTTAAGGGACTAAACATAATGACAGATCATATGTAAACTATTAAACCAGAGCATTATTTTATTTTTATGCAATTTTTTTTTAATGCAATAATGTACACATAACAAATTACTTTGAAAAGGCAACTGAATATAAATGTATTTTACACCTCTGTTAGAGACACGACTAATGCATCCAAAAAGACATTTAAGTAATTGAAGAAAACTTAAAATTGAGTTTTGTGAAAGGACTTCTTAAAACAATGAATAACAAATAGACCTACATTTATGTACAAATATTATAATAATAATAATAAAAACGTTACTTATAAAGCGCTTACCACCGAAGTCTCTAAGCGCTATACACACAAAATAGACTGATATACAATTACATCTTATACAAAACTAAAAATGCAAATAAACCTACAAATAACAATACATATGGAATACACATCAAAGTGAACAGAGATAATTAATCATCGAACGCAATTTTGAATAAATGTGTCTTGAGACTAGTTTTGAATAGGTTAACGGTTTGACAGTTTTTTACATTTAAAGGTAATTTGTTCCAAAGTTCAGCAGAAGCTTTGCGAAAGGAGCGATTACCATAAGAGAGAGTTGACACAGAAGTAGATACGAGGTTTAATTGTGAAGATGACCGTAAATTGCGTGAGGGTTTGTATTCCTCGATTAATTCTTGCAGATAAATTGGTGCCAATTCATGAATGCATTTATAAGTTAAAACTAAGATTTTGTACATGATGCGGTACGTCACCGGCAACCAATGCAATTCGCGAAGTACTGGGGTGATGTGTTCACAAGAACGTGTGCGTGTTACAAGCCTGGCAGCAGAGTTTTGGATTCTCTGGAGTTTTGCAATGTGCGACTCCGGAAGGCCATAAAGAAGGCTGTTGCATTGATCAAGACGGCATGTAATAAATGCATGTATAAGCGTTTCGGTAGATTTTTTATCAAGAAAATTTCTAATACCACCTATCTTGTACAAGGCATATGAAGCTGAGCGACAAATATTTTTTATATAATCATCCATCCTAAGATCATTTTCAAAGATGACACCCAGGTTACGTGCACTTTTGACAGGTTGTATCGGAACATTAGCAATTTCGACAGATGGTAAATGGGAGGACTTTCTGAATCGAGATGTTACATTTAGAAAAGTGTTTCCTTTGTGTCGCCTTCTTTTTCATTCATTTATGTTTCTTCTTCTTTATCTTCTTCTTCTTTGTCTTCTTTTTCATACTTACAGATGTAATCGGACATGTATGGGAAATAACATAGCATGCACTTGCCCGTTAGTGTTTTTCCCCTGCACAATTTACATTCGGTTGGCAAACTGGAATAAGAGAATACCATTCCTGTTTAATTCGCCGCCAAGTTTTCTTGTGCTAAGTTCTACCCCACACCTCCCACGGTGGCGTATATGTCCTACCACCCCCCCCCCCAAAAAAAAATGCCCTTTACACAGCGCTCAAAATACACGGGGCGGTGGGCGATTCGCCCCCGTGAGCTACATAATCGACCCCGTCGGGTTGCTCACGGGGGCGATTGCAAAATTAAAAATCGCCCCGGTGGAATTATAAAATAAAGATTATCTTATCTGTTATAACTTTAACACAATATTTAGTTTCAATTTTCAAACCTTAAACCAATGAAATGGAACTAAGATTAGCGTGCAAGATTTCTCGTTTTATAGGCCTATTATTACCGATTCAGCTCGCAGTGCAGTGCCGTCGTCAGCAGTGGTTTATAAATAGGCCTACTGCGCCGTTAGTAGCGGTACGTGTGCACGCTGCCGCGTTAGTCTGCAGGCACAGACCCTAATCTGACACTTAATACAAAAATCATTGCGCCTTGAGAGAAGTCTAGCCCAGCTACCTGCTGGTTGTCAGGAGCAGCTACAGTACATGGCCTATGGTAGTCTTATAGTGCAGACTCACTTTTACGACTGACCAGGGTTTGTGCTTGCAGACTACTGCCGCGCCATGTCTGCTGGAGCTGGAGGCGATCGCGCAAGGGCAGAAACATGGTCAGTTTTTCGTTGTCAGCAAATAATGAACCTCGACCAGTAAATCAATATTAGGGACTTTTAGATTTGCACGTTGAGAACGTGGACTGCAACGTGTGACCTCCTTTTAAGGCACTGCCAGTGCTTAAAAGGACGTCACATGTGACTGCCAGTGCCTTAAAAGGAAGTAACACTTCCACGCAAATCTAAAAGTCCCTATTGAGAAGAAGAGGAAGATGAAGAGAACAAGATGTCGTGGAATGATATGGTAACATGGGCAGATCTACGGGGCGGTTAGGGGGTTTAACCCCCTCCTCCCACCCCAACCCCCCCCCCCGCCCCCTTGGGCTGCCAAGTGAAAATATGATATAAAAGCGGGGGGAGGGGGATGCTGGAGAGGAGGACTACTAATCTCTCAGGGGCGAGGGGAAGTGAAGCGCCGTTTGAGCATGACTTTCTTTTTAACTCTTACTTTCACCTATCTCAGATAACATTAAGTTTTTGGTTGCTGCTTTATATGTAGTTGATAATGCATGATTAAAATAAAGAGAGAGAGAGAGAGAGAGAGAGAGAGAGAGAGAACCACCATCATTTTGCAATGGTTCAGGGTTCGTGTAATGTACATTTGAAACCATTTCTTAGCGTCTCAACCCAAAAAAAATAAAACTATTTTTGAGGAAAAGCATTATACTGAATTAAATAAAGAATGATAGCTTTATATTAGATCATACTAATACTGATACGGGCTAAAGACAACGTGGTATTTGTATAGAGGTATTCCAAAATGACATTCTGATAATCAACATTTGTTCTGGTATTATATACGCATAATACAACTGATCTTTATGATTTCTTAACGTGTGTTGGGTCGGGGCAATCAACTCATATTGGCCCTTCCACAACTCTGAATTATATTGATATATAATGAAAATCAAGACGATTTGGTTACCTTTGATCCGTTTATTATTCTCAACTCGAGCAACATCTTGGAATTAGCATATCAATCAACATCTCATTTGCATATTCGTAACACGTGACATAGCTTCTTTTCCCCCTGCAAACAAAAAAGAAAAAAAGGTTATTTAATAAAAGGATCGTGCGACAAATAATCATTGTGATTCAAATTGATGCAAGGATTTTTTTTTGAATAAGCAACGCTTTGCACCAGAATCTTCTTTGTAAAAACGACTTTTACAAATCTCAGCCAATGGGTGTCGATCCGTAACTGATACCTATTCATCAGGGGGGGATGATCTATTCATTCATCCCCCCCCCCCCTGATGAATAGGTATTACGTAAGGATCGACACCCATGATATTATCTGCCACTGCGTTGTAAGATCACTTTCAGATTAGGAGAAGTGTATTCTTTAATGAGTATTTTACATTGAATGGAACGTTTCAGCTCAGTAAGCATGGCTGAGATTTGTAAAAGTTGTTTTTACAAAGAAGATTCGGGTGAATAGTTATTCAAACAAATATTCGCATCAATTTGAATCACAATCATTATTTGTCGCTTAATCCCTTTTAATGACCTTGTTTTCTTTCTCGTTTGCAAGGGGAGAAGAAGATATGTCACGTTAAAGGCATCATAAAGATCAGTGTTGTATGCGTATATATTATATACAGAGTCCAGTAACAGCTATGTAGCTTGTAAATTTGTAAAAGGGAAAATGCTGATTGAAATGATAATGATCAAATAGCAAATAATTGAGGAGTATCATAGGTACCAATAGACCAGTTCACGGTTAGCACATTACTACAATGACCCCGAATATCCACAGATCTTGAAAACATGAATAGATCCCATTTTGTACATTTGGAAATAATCACTCCTACAGCGATGGAGGTGCTACATAAATAGCCTTTGTTTCCCCTTTTCAAAGAATACTTCCACCTGTGTATCATGGAGTGCATAAACGAATAATGATTACATAACTTTCATGAGCACGTATCCAGTATTTTGTCTCCGTGTATTTCACAATTTGTTCTGCAATGACCTTTATCTGCTCATGCTCAGACTGCAACCGTGAACTGGCTAATTCAATGGCTATTTATATAAAAAAAAAAAGAGCCCCCGTCAGTACTAAAAGAGCCCCCGTGAGAAGGCTCACGGGGGCTTTTTTGTAGGGGGGGGGGGGGGGAAAGCCCCGTGGACAAAAATTACTTTGAGCCCTGCCTTTACATAAAGCCAAGTGCTGTGTGTCTATGTCACATGGGGGGGGGGGTCTATATAAACCTACCCATACTCCTCCTCTCAAAAGAGGATTCCCCAATGCATCACTTTCTGCATACGCGTGCACCCCAACCCCCTCCCCACCCCACCATTAACACGAACAGGTTGACTGTTATACTGATATCTCCCTCGTTTTGTATGTATTTTTAATATGTTAACTCCAAGATGTCATCACGTATTTCGTTGTCTGTCTCATCATCTTCAGCCTTCCCAGGACACAAATGAATAGTGTCCTTGCACAAGCGCTGGGCATTCTGAAAAAAGGGGAAACAAAATAAAATAAAATGTTAAAAGATAACGATTCTCTATAATGAAAACTGTTCCTTTTTATTTTTCTTCCCAAAGACAATCTCTAACATGTCCCAGGAAACAAAATTGTCAATTGTGCATTCACAAGTCCCGAAATAATTTTTTTTTTTAAATGAAATATTCATGCAAATTTAGGCATACCGTAGTAGCCTATGCCTATGATCCATGTAAGCCCTACCTTTGTTAAATTGGTTACCCTGGTGAAATATTAATAGATAATAAACTTTTGAAAAAATCATAGAATCGCAGCTATGTTAAAAGGGAAACTGTAATTCAAGTTTCTTGCAAGCACTTTTAAAAGCAATGCTTTTATCAGAGAAAATGGTAAACAAAAATATGTTAATCTAAAGCCCCGTCTTAATAGAACTTTTGCGATCCCACTCGAGCGACATTTGGATGAGAAACAGTGGGGGGGGGGGGGGGGGGGGGGGAGGGGGGAGGTCTGATCTTAAAACACGGGTTGAGCTTTTGGACACCGTCGTAATCAGCCATCCGCAAAAACCTCACCCGGGTAGGTTACCATTACAACCGCACCTCCCCCATCACGATCAACTGGCGCGCGCTGTGTACATGTAATTTTTTTTCACGGCGATGACGTCATTTACCCGGCTAAATATTACCCGGGCTCGACTAGAGTGAGATTTACCTCGATATTGACGCGTCTTAATTGGAAAGGGGTAATGTCATCCGGACAACGTCCGGACGACACCGCGACTTTATTTTACAGTTAAGACGGGGTTTAAGTCGGACGTACCAGAAAGTCGAAAATGTGTTTATACATTTTGTCCACTTTTGCTGAATCACAAGTGTACAATCATGGCGGTCAGTATGGTCGGTGAAAAAGTCGTTGCAAGGATCAGTGAAATACTCCGATATCTACAGGATATAGAGAATGTAGAGAACATGAGAATATAATATACATATATAAGTAAAGTGAGAAAGCGATAGGGAGAAAGAGAGAGAAAGAGAAAACAAGGAGAAAAAGAGAAAAGAAGAGAGAGAGAGAGAGAGAGGGGAAAGAAAGAAAAGAGAGGGAGAGAGAGTAAGATAGAGGAGAAAGAGAGAGACAGAGAGAAAAAAACAGGAGAAGAAAAAGGGAGACAGTGAGAGATTTAGAAAGGCAAAGAGAGATAAACACCAAGAGAGTGAGAGAGAGAGAGAGAGAGAGAGAAAGAAAGAAAAAGAGGGAGACAGTGAGAGAAATAGAAAGGCAAAGAAAGACATCAAAAGAGAGAGGATGTTATTCTGATATGAACACATTTTACATTGAAGAAAAAAAATGTCTTTAAGATCATATCCCCATCCTCCTTTATTTTCTTCTTCTTCTTTTATAGCTTGCTCGCTGGTCTTTCGACAATCAACATTCCCAGTAAAAAAAAAAGAAATACAATAGATAAACAAATCGCTTCCATCAGTAAGTATTTTGGCGTAAAGTTGGCTTACGAATAAAACACGTTAATTATACCTTTAAAAAAAAGAAAAAAAAAGAAGGAAGACTGGCCCCCTCCCCGCGAAAAATAAAAAAGGAAAAAGAAGCGGATGGGTGTTCTGTAAAAATAGTGGGCACTATCCCCTCCCCCCTCGTTGAGAAAAAAGAAGAAAAAATAGTGCTCACTACCCCCCCCCCCCCCCCCCCCCACCCCACTGAGCGAAATATCGACTGGCGCAATTTTAACATTTTCTAACGAATCGGGCCCCCTCTTTGGCCCCCTCCCTTGTCGCCGGCTTGATCCGCCCCTGGGCATACTTACTGCGGTCTTTTCAACTATCATTGCGAATCGGCCATTGATGATGAGTCGTTTGCATGCACGGCAAACGAGGTGCCGGTCAATGACCCCGCTGAATAGCTCGTTTTCGGTCTCATTGAAGATCCGCCTTGCGACATCGTCTACGGTCGTCGACAGGCGATGGTCTCGAAGTGGAACGCCTTTCACTGAAATCGAGAGGGTTACATACTCAAGTCACACCAACGAGACCGACACTAAACAGACCGAACAAGAAACTACATTGCCTCCAGAGACCAGTTATCATGGTAATTGGTTGGTTAATATCGGTCTGGGAGTTTGACTTGGGCCTTTGGACATGAGGTTTGAAAGCATAAATATCAGCTTCAGCAAAGCACTATTGAGTGATCACGCTCTTCCCGGTCACACCGCCATATCGATTTCCACAGCTACTCCGAACTGACGAATCTTTGATATTCGAGGTACTTTTTATTTTTTGTTCGGTCACGTAACGTAGATTAGATGAAGTACTGGTACAATTGCAAATGCATGTTGACTTTGGTTGATCTGTAATAATGTATACATCACAAATCTTTTGACTGCACAATTTGTCATAGTCTTAATTTTACTTGTGTTACACCTCCTAAGCTCCACTCCTAAAAAAAAAACACCTCCAGAAGTAAATCACTACTGTGACATGATGTCATTCATCAGTCAGCTAGATAAATGTGAACAAAAGACAATGGTATGTCTGAACCCACGGAGTACCTTATTGCATTAGCATTGCATGTTTTCATATAACAATAGCCATTGAAACCCTTCTTTTCATGGTGTTGCTTGGGGATTTTTGACATAGCAAATGCTTAAAATGTAATTTAATTTTGTGAGTGGACATTGTATAAAACATGCAATGCTACTGTAAACAGGTGGTTTACTTCACTGCTTTTATGTAAAAAGGTGAATATGCATGTGACACCTGTTCTACACATTTTTACATAATAGCAGTGAAGGGATGTTTCTTTGTCTACCTGAGGAACCGTATATTTTGTCTGCTTTCTTTGTCTGTCATATTCATAGTGTCAGTTCATGGGAAGGGACATAACAATGTTTTCTGTCAATCTAGCTGACCAATGATCGAATGACTGGCATGATGATGAAGCCATTTGTTTTTTAGAGGGTGTTTTTTAGGTGAAGCTTTAATAGCAGACAGAACAAAAAGTAATAGAAAAAATAATACAAAATATTTGACATAAATGGACATCAAAAAGTCAAAAGATATGTGATGTATCCAGATTAACAAAAGTCAACATGAATTTGTAATTTAGTCACCCTTTAACCTGGCACTACTGAACATACTACAATACTCAGAATCCACTCTGCATATATATATATATATATATATATATATATATATATATATATATATATTACTTGTTGCTGTGCCGGGTATGCCTCAAGCAAACGTTCGGGTTGTCACTTGTCAAGAACAACGTATGTTTAAAAAGTATGCTTAAAATATGAATATGTTAGTATAACGGTCTATTGACACAGTAATACTGGAAGATACATAGCATTTTGTATATGGGACTACACACACATGTTTCAAGAAGGTTTAGTCCAAACCTGTCAGTTGTGACCCGTCACAATATTTAAAATACGAAGTCATTTGAAGAAGAGCAATCATTTACAGAAGACATTTTCTAATGATATTTTTCCATACTGAATTACACGAATGAGAAAGCTCACGAATTTGTTTCCACCTCCATCGACAACTCTAATTTTTAAGACTGTAATGTGTCATCGGGGTACGTAAGATTGCAGCTTGCTATAAAGACATTATTGTAATTTGAAGCTTACCGAACATCACAGAAAGTAGGAGAAGAAGTGCAGTAGGAGCACCGAGTAGAATGGAATACTGCGCCATTTTTAGTCCAGCTCAAAGGTAGTATTGGTTATAGCAAGGTCGTTGTGTATTATAGTCACAGAATCATTGAATAGCACGCGGTACATGGATGGATGTCAAATGCCTGCATGGGGTTATACAGTATTTCCGACGGATGTTTAGGCAAACTCAGGGCGGATACCGGTTTATGTAATCATTTACCTTACAATGCAACTACATTACATCCTTTTTAGGAGGGGGGGGGGGGGGTTATTGTACACGGGGGTTAATTGTCCACAGGGGGTTATTGTCCTGGAGGGAAATTTTCCGGGGAGTAATTGTCCTGGGGGATTGTCCCGCTGGTTATTCGTCAGGGGGTGATTGTCCAGGGGATAATTGTCCTATTGTGTGGTATATATTCATACATTATAACTTTGATCTGCCCATCTAACAGCCGAATACCTTTCTTTCAGTTCTCCCAAGAAGAACAGTGACCAGGCAACGTTCTTTCACATATCTTATAATAACTTGATGATTCCCCCCTCTTGCTGTCAGTCTCTTTTTCATTTCATTTCATTTACTACTCCTCCTTCCCCACTCTTTCTCCCTCTCTCTTCTGATCCTGTCTCCATGCCTCTCACTATGAACATAACGGACAAAGAAAGCGGATAAAATATACAGTTCCTCATTCCACCCTCAACAATTGCTGTGGTAGACAAAGGAACATCCCTTCACTAGTCTTAAGTAAAATGTGTAGAACAGGTGAATATGCATGTGACACCCGTTCTACACATTTTTACATAATAGCAGTGAAGGGATGTTCCTTTGTCTACCACAGCAGTTGTTGAGAGTAGAATGAGGAACTGTATATGTTGTCCGCTTTCTTTGTCCGTTATATTCATAGTGTCTGTTTCTCTTAATTATTTCACGCATTCTCCCCTCTCATTCCATACCGATAACTGCATGAATTATAATAGTAAGCATACCCCGTTACCCTTTGCTTAAAGCATAATAATTTATCTCCACACACACACACACACACAAAGCAAAAGAGATACTAAAACATTTGTTATTATTAATCACCTTTATTCAAGTTATTATTTCAAATGGTTACAAAAAACAAAATCAATAGCATGGCCACACACATCTTTTTCTCGCTCTCAAGTTGCAGCGGGGCACAGTGTGCCAGGGAGAAACCAAAATGCGCCCAAAGTAAGTTTTGTTGATTTTTTTTCTTTTTTTTTCTTGCATTGAAGAATACCTCAGTAAAATATTTAATTCCGTTATGCACAGTAAGGGTATAAATTTACTCCTTCAAACAGCAAAATCTTACATATTTACCGTTTAAGTGCTTAGTGACTTATTTTATAAATCTTTCAATTTAACATGGAGTTTTTAAACTATTGATATAGAATTGCTTTCATATATTCCTGATAGTACATTGAAATAGTACATTGAAATGGAATTGGGCGGGCCACATCAGCCGTAGGAATGACAACCGCTGGAGCTCAGCAATCACTCACTGGACACCATGGCCCGAATTCACAAAGGAGGTTTGTCGACAAACCTTGGTTTTCGTACGTCATATGACGCGTTTTTACGCGTTTTTTTTTACAAACCTGGTTTGTAAAGAACAAAAGGAGGTTTGGCGAAACAAAAGGAGGTTCGATGACAAACCTTGGTTTGTCGATAAACCTCCTTTGTGAATTCGGGCCCATGTGAGGGAAAACGAAACAGGGGACGTCAAAGAAAAAGATGGCGAGACGAGCTGCAACAGTTCTGGGGACAGACAAATTGGCACCAACAGGCGCTGAACAGAGGCATTTGGAAACATCATGCTGAGGCCTTCATCTTGCAGTGGATTGAAAACAGCTGATAAAGGTAAAGGTAAAGTACATTTCACTGCATGAATGAGCTAAAAATGGATAGAACCACAATCTTCATAATATATTTTACATTATACACAGTGAGTTTCACAAAATTCCGTATAACATGAAAAATAAACCGATTCGGTCTCCTTTTATATTTCCGTTGCTCATCCACTAGGCATCATTTTAGAATGCGATATCACTTGCGCTAATTGAGTATGTGCAGACAATTAGCCCATATGCCAATAATTGAACGCAATGTTTGCACTGATCGTTTTCCAATCAATATGCGTACGATGCCACTCTAATATAGTGCGTCAATGACTGCGTCAGTCGCTGGCGCAGTCTTGCGTCTGCAAAAAAATTGACGCCTCGAGTGCAACGGGCATTACGGTCCATTGTGTTTATTCCGGTACGTCATTTCGTATTTCGTCCCCCGTTACAGCATATTCATCCTCTCCGTCAGGGCACAAGTGAAGATAGTTTCGACAGATGCGTATTTGATCCTGCGAACAATAAGACAATAAATTATGAAAAATACTTGAAATTCAATGTAAATCGCCATATTCGTGGTATAGTAGTTCATTCACCTGACTCTCAATCCAATGGTTGAGAGTTCGAATCCCAGCCCAGCACTAACCTCATTTAACAAGACATATCTCCATATCTGCCACTCTCCATGTATGTAAATGTAAATGGGTACCTGGTAATTGCTGGGGTAATAGTAATGGCAGAGCTATCTTGAAGAACAGCATTGATGCTGCTGAGGCCTCTCGGGGGTAAACAAAATTATCTTATTGTTCTTAAATATTCTCTTTTCTGATTTAGTTATTTTCTCTTTTAAAGAAACGAGCAAATACAAATGAAGGACTACTTCAAGATGTTGTATTGAATGAATCAATGTTTTAATCATAAATGAAACTAAACTTCTAAAACTTACCAGAGTTTGAAAAACGTGTCGGTATATCCTGCCTATTCTTTTCTCAATAATAAGGATGCATTTATGCTGATCTAAGTTGTCGGTAAAGATCGTGTTACATGGATCCTTGAAATATGTTGTAATCTACGCAAGGGATAACAAGAATCAAAGATGCAGAAATAAGAATGGATGGGAGAGAGAAAGAGGGAGAAATATAAGGAGGGGGGGGGGGGGCAGAAGAAGAGAAATCGGTGATTATAACACTCTATAAACAGAGAAGTTAATCTTATTTTAATCTCAATTTTTATTATCTTTATTGTCGTCATAATCATCATCTTCACCATTATCATTATTCTTATTATTATTATCAATATTAACATTATAATAATCATTGTTATCATTATCATTATCATTGTAACTATTATTAAAAATAATTTTTTTAAATTATTATTTTCATCATTATCATCATCATCATCATCATCGTCATCAACATCGCCATCATCAGTAGAAGTAGTAGTAGTATTATCATCGGTCTATGGTCTACACCCAGGCTGTCCACACGATCTAATAATCATTTCGTCTACTTATCAATTGGTCTAATGACTATTTAGGCTTTCAGTCATTTGGTCTACTGCTCATTGAGTTCAATTTCCATTTAGTTTAATTCCCAGTTTGTCTGACGCCCATTTTGTCCATAAATCCATAAATCGTAAATGGGAACAATCACCACATGATTTATTAGACCTTATGGATGGTAGATGAAATGGGTATTATACATACTGGGAATTAGACTTACTGGTTATTATACTAAATGAACAATAGACCAAATGGGTAGTAGACGGGCTGGGTGTAGATCTAACGGCGTATCATCATCCCTTTTGTTTTTACTATTTATCTATTTACTCCTTTATTGAGTTGCGACTTTCTGTATCTTCACCTTATAAATTTGATGCTCTCTATTTTTTCTTACCGTACTCTTTTCAATGAGGAGTGCGAAGCGGACATCGACGAGAAGCTGCTTGCACGAACGACATGCCATATGATGGTTGAAGGAATCATTAGATGGAAACGGCAGGTCGTTCCCGACTTCGAGGATACGACCCATGATGTCGTCAACGACAGTTGAAATGCGATTATTTACGTCGCCTGCATCAGTTGGAGGGCGATCGCCTGGAAGTGGAATGCCCTTCACTGAATTCAGAAGTGAGAAATACTTTTGAAAGGTGTGATTTGTTACATGGGGGGGGGGGGCATTGGGGCATGTGCCCCTACAAATGGTAATAATAAGAAAAAAGAGTAGAGAATATAAATGAAGAGAGAGAGAGAGAGAGGAGGAAAACATATTAACATAGCACCTCCATGTAATTGCAAAATATAATGACTTAATTCCAGAATGTATTGATTATGTTAAACACTCTAGAACGCTATAGTTCTTATTTATTACAATATATTCAGCCTCGAGGATAAGGACTAGGAACAGAAGAGATACCCCTCTTAATTAATGGGCTTTAGAATTAATTCACTGTTGCCCATTAAGGTGGAATCATGTTTTTCATTTTCAGGAAATGAATATGACAAAATGTTTTTTTCTTCAAAGATAACGTTTATATCTTCTCATCAGAACCTAATTGATCAACCTCTATATGACTCTTAAAATTGATGAATAAAGTACTGAGCAGATAAACTGTATCTATCAAGAATAATACACATTCTCTCAATCACTTCATGAAAAGAGAAAGGAAATATTGATTCCAAATTGTTATGGACATCAATTTATTACATCTATACCTCGCAAGAACGGTGCCTCTCTAATCACCCACGTTGATGCCTAAGTCTTGGCGGATTTGTTCGATATCCGGTTCGTTAATAATCTAACAACATTACTATCATAATACATAATAGATCCATAATGTTTTGCTTTGCATAATACACTCCGAGTCTCGAAAAATAGCTTGGATAATAATGTGGCAAACACAAGTAACTAATTAATCCTAGGTAACTAAATACTTTGCGGAAACGAGGGTAGCCAAGGCAACAAAATGCAAATGAAATCTTACCTGAGACAACGCAAATAGCAAGGAAAACGGCAGAAGTAACGCCAGGTGAGCATAAACGACGCGCCATTTCAAAGACGAACATGCAATCCAAACGTGATACAAGCTTGTGAAACACTTAACGAAAACGAAGCATGAACTTCCTGCAACAAGCACGAACTAATTGCATAGACGGGGTTTAGAGTTTACTTTGTAACATTACATAATCTGTGCTGTAGCCTCCTATCGTGCACGTGAAGGATTAGGTATCAAAAAACTTCTTTCAATTCCGGCGATCTTTATAGTTCGATCATGTCAACGCAAGGTATTGCCTAACAGTCTACATTGTTTGTAGCCTATAATCTGTGGGTTCCGATCGTTCAGATGTAAGGTGCCCAGCTAAAGCTTATATTATGGGAAATATAGAGGTCTGAAAAGAGGGCTAAAGCAATTGGGTGAATACAAAGAACAAGCAATTGCTTTTTTTTCTTCTTTTTGTTTCAGTCTCCACAGAAGGGACGAGGAAGATACTAGCAAAAGCCCATAAAGTAAAAGGTTACCTTGGGTCTAAAAAAAGAAGAAGCTAGTTTCACGTATTAACAAAAAATGAAACATTTTGAATCACCATAGCAGTGAGGAGACGCACACGTAAAAGAAGTCAACCCATCACCTAATTTTAAAGACGTACTTAAAGATTTGCAACGCTAAGGCCAGATCCTGAGTCCTCCGCGAAAAAAAAAATGGTATCTAAGACTTTGTCTTGTCATGTCTTGTCAAACAAACGTTCCTAAACGGGATATAATTTTACAATTGAGTGTTTTCCCACTTATTTTCATGACTGATGCTTATCATAGACTTCTCCTTTTTATCGTTTTGTTTTGATGTTCATGTCGGGGGGGGGGGGGGGCAGCTATGCTAATCGATATACTCATATCACAAGCAAATTATGGAAAACATAATGACATCAGGGCAATTAAACATGGCTGTTATACGTTGAATAAAAAAAACCCTTAAAGATACTTTGTCCCTTTTGCAGCCAATATCAAATTCTGTAGAACTTTGCAGGAATTATGAATATGTCATGTATGTCCTATCTGTGAAATTTAAACGTTAGCAGTGTTCTAATATTCAAATTATGCAAGGAAACCCGTTTACTTGCTAGACTTCACTGATAGACACTAAATTGAGTGACTGATTGGCTTTTTCATCTTTGGTAATAACATACATAACATGAGCTGTAAAGGGTACATGAGCATTTGTCTGCATCAATAACCCACTTCTTGTAATGGCCAAAATTAAACTGATTGAATCTTTGCGCAGCATAAAACGTACGACCATTCGATACAATGGTCTGAAAAATCAGACTATAACTTACTGGCTCTATAGCTCCTAAGTCGATTCGACAACTAATTGTCGTTATTTTCCCACTTAAAGACATTTTCAAGCCCCCCCCCCTTTTTTTGGGGGGGGGGGGCGGGGAAGTTCTAAATTAGTATTGTCTTCAAATGCCGGTGGAATTTAACCTTTTCATTTTTTGGGCCTGCAAATGGGACATAGTACCTTTAAGCTCACAATAATATTGTTCGTCTAATGAGGTTAAGGATAAACGTGGGGCGCAATATTTATAATGATGAGACCGATGTTGATAATCCTTTCAATATGGGAGGAAGAATCATTAATGGCTTACGTCTTTCCTAAACCATTTAAACACTGTAAGCTTCCAGTCATGTAGGTATAGTCAAGGTTTATCGGATATAAGTCATGTTCAAAAACAGACAAATAAAACAGAAAAATAGGGTTTATTTTTAGTCATGGTACAATGTTTGTCGGTGCATTAAAATATTGACTGTTATTTTAGGGAAGCTCCTCCGCCGCCACAAACGACATCATGGATTGATGATGACAAAATGTTACGAGTATGGATAGATATAATTTCATCAATATTATCACAGGCTAAATGTTAGGAATATTAAAATAACAATAACAAAAAAAAATATGTTGGCGAAAATATTAGGAAGCTTTATATCAGAAGTGTGTAGCAAACGCCATACGAGTATACTTTAATGGTTGTTAAATTGTTAATCAACGATATCATCATTGGCAAAGTATTAAGCTTTTAGAAGTTTATTTTTAAAAGAAATAATCCTCATATGCGTGAACAACACAATGTGCATGATGCAATAATATTGAGAGCAAGAGAGAGAGAGAGAGAGAGAGACTTAGAATGGGAGGGGAATAAAGATGGATATACAGAAGAAGAAAAAGAAATTAAGAATAATTGAATGAATGCAATAATTCAAATAATAGTGAAGTCATAACGGTCAACATGCAACTGTGAATCAGTGATTCGTTGACTAATATTATGCAGGGAACTGTTCCAAAGTATAGACAGGTCTTAAGATTATGTAATGGTTCGTAATTACTGCCCTTTTGACTGAAAATTTACTTTTGAATATAGTCAAAAGAAAGAGAGAGAGAGAAAGAGAGAGAGAGAGAAAGAGAGAGAGAGAGAGAGAGAGAGAGAGAGAGAGAAGGAAAGGAAGAAAGAGAGAAAGAAAGAAAGATATTTAAAGGAAAGTGTTTAAGTGACACTGATGTTATTATAGTGGTAACAAGAACAACGGTGAGTCGGTGACATAGTGACCAGTATTGCAGGAAATGCTTTCAAAGTATGCTGTGTGGACAAGACGTAAGATTATGTAATGGTTCATAATCACTGCCTATCAGACTCAAGGTTTACTTTCGATCATGATCAAAACTTATTCCAAAGAAAGAAAGAAATATTTAAAGAATGAATAAATACAGAAAGACAGAATTAAAGAAAGAACGAAAGTAACAAAGGAAGAACGAGAGAAAGACAGACAGAACGAAACAAATGAAGTAAGAAAGAAACAAACAAACAAAGAATGAAAATATAATTCAAACTATATCGGTCGATATGGTAACTGTGAATTTTTGACAAAAAGTGACCGGTATTTATGCAGAAAATACTTTCAAAGACTTTTAGACAGGAGGTTGTAATGGGATCGCAATCACAGACTTTCTGTCTAAAGGTTTACTACCGATTACAGTCAAAAACCATATTGCTCATCAACACTCACACACCTACACACACGCACACAAAACAAACAAAAAACACATTCGCACAATTTAAACGGTGACGCACTAGGCTTTTGAAAAATTGCTTATAAGGTTGATATCTTGTAAATCTGTGCGATCCCCAGTGCTTCTAATTGTTTGTATCTTGTATACTATTTTTCATATTATTTCTTGTAAAGTAACACACTTCTTGTAAAACAGTTTTGCAAACAATGATGAAGCCATCCTAGTATATGTTTTTCAAAAGATAAATAAGCAAGAAGAAAAAAAAAATCGTCTTATAGAACTGCATTACTTATATGATGACCTCAAGCTATATTGAAACAATGGCTGAGAAAACAATACAGTAAATGAGCTTGGTATGATATCGGTCAAGAATTGTTGAAATCTACATCCGAAGTAGACAACTGATGATATGCGGTCATAACCACTAAAATCATGCATCGGAAGAAGTGCCCGTGGGAAAGCTTAGCGGAAGTCGTAGAGCGATCGGAACAGCCAAGGTGTTTGTACAACATTTCCTTGGGAAATCGACTTTAACCTACTATGTTGTTAGGCATGTTGACGCTGCTGGCGTGGCGTCAGAAAGCTGGAAGACGAGGGGGAGATGTTACGATTTGAGCCTTCTTTGATGAAAATAAGTCATTTTTATTAGCGTATTTATAGATTTGTCTGGCTGCAGATCCAGCATGGCATATCAGGGGCGTCGTGGAATCGTTTGAAAAGGGTGGTGATTTGTAGGGGGGGGGGCGAAGTTGCCGACAACCTTGCCAAAATGCTCTAACAAGCAAAAACAAACAATCCCCACAATAAACAAACAAAAAAAACCACACCAAACAGTATGCTGAGAATTCGGGTGAAAATGGGGGATCTCTTGTGACGCCCCTAGAAGATGCCCTAGCTCCGCTGAACCTTACCTTTTAACGACAAAACCAAAGGTAATATGGGGTCTGTTCTCGTTAGGAAGAGGAGCCTCGCTAGACTAGTCAGATTTGGGAGGGTGGACCTAATTTGTTAAGCATATACGAATATATCCAACAATAAAACAAAAAAAGGTAATTTTTTTATGCGATTAGTCAATAAGGCTTACATGAAAATCCCTTATTCGCCGACAGAAAATTATTAAATAGGGTGTGTTCTAGTTTTTCATCACTGTTTAGCGATGTTTGTGGTTAAAATGGACAAAATGATAAATCGAAACTTGTAATGGCACTCTTATCCCATATCTAAATAAGCAACCCCATTAACTGAGGAAAACCGGATCTACCGTTAGCCATGTGTCTTGTCAATATTCCGGATGATCACCAAAACAACCGTCGCGTGCAGACACCTTTGGCCGATACAATTACGTCACTTAATCATTGTCAAATCGATTAACAATACCGTTGATGATCTATATAAATAGGGCTTCGTTTTGTTTATCAGGATCAGATGGGCTGAATTAATAGCAACGATAAGTCATAAACACGTCAAATACTTCGTCAGGTTTTCCTAATTAAAGTTAAACAATCCAGAAGAAATATGGATTGCGGTGATATTATCTTGAAGAAACTGCTAGGGGAGGGTTCGAGGTGTACATTATGCGGGAAAGATCCGGAAGAAAGTACTGTTCTTTCATGCTCGCACCAGTTTTGTTTGGATTGCTTCAAGAACTACACGGCTGTGGTGGGCGAGATGGATGACGACTTCCAGTGCCCGAACGGTTGCGAGGGGAGCGCCCTGAAGCTCGCCCGATGCCCCACCACCGCTGACTCGGGTAGCATGTCACCAGAGGTGCAGAATATGTGTAATGGCGAGAAGGAGCAGAATATTGATCAAGACTTTAGCCAGCTGAGATGCAGCTCCTGTGATTCGGTCGACGCTGTCGCTACGGCATGTTGTGACGAATGCGAGGGGTTCCTCTGCGATGATTGCGTCCTTGCGCACACCAAGCTTCGTCGCCTCATGAAAACCCATCACGTCGTGCCGCTTGAGGATCTGAAGAGCGGAAAGGCGAAGATGAAGCCGAAAGCGAAAAGATGCAGTATCCATGACGACGAAAAACTGACTTTCTTCTGCGCTACTTGCCGGATCATGGTATGTCCACAGTGCGCCGTCATGCAGCATCAAAAGCCTGAACATGACTGCGTCGAGCTGAAGACAGCACAAACGAAATTCGACCAACTCATGGGAAACCTGGCAGCAAAGTGTGAGACGAAATTGAAGGATACCGCTTCTCAAATTTCCCAGATTGCAAAGACAAAGCACGAAGTCGAACTGGAGATAAAAACAGTAGAACAAATCATCAACAGCACAGCAGAGCAGGTGATCGAAGCGGTGAACGCTAACCGAGATAAACTGTTGAAGGAGGTTGCCGAGGCGAGAGATGCATTGATGATGAAGATGGAGAGACTTGAAGATGCGAACCAATTCCTGGTTGACCGATTAAGCAGTGCGAAAAAGGTGATGGGAGCTGAGGGGCAGAGTGGACTTAATTTACAGCACAGCAGAGCAGATGCCTTTTTTACGCGCGTTGACGAGATTCTGGCGCGAAAAGAAAGGGATATGGACATTGAAGAAGTGAAGGAATACGTGCGCCGCATTGGGTTCAAGAGAGCTTTGTCTTGCTGCGAGCAGACGACAACGATCGGAGAACTCTTCCAACTCTCCGAGTGGGAAATTCATCGTGAATACGACCTCGAATCGCCCGTGTCGACAATGACGGCCTTTCCGGATGGTCGGATCGCCATCGCCTGCGAGGACGATACCGAGGGGCTGATGATGGTGTTGTCGAACGGTTCTAGAGAGCGCGTCCTCGATGGCGTCAAGGTGAAACACGCCGCTGCCTTGTCTGACGGGCGATTCGTGATCATCGACCACGAAAATCGACTTCGTTTGTTTTCTTCCCTCGGTCGGGAAAATCCAGCGGTGTATTACGACCATCCGGAGGACCTGTCCAAGGATGCAGTTCCGGTATGCGTCACACAAGGCCGAGATCACGAACACATCCTGGTTAGTTTCAACGGATCGTCTGCATGCTACGTCTATCCAATTTTTGGCGCGAAACCAGTCACAAAAATCACAACGGGAAACGTTTGCCCACAGCAGCTGGTCGTGACTAGGAAAGCCGATGACCTCATCATCATCGCCGTCAATACCCAGAGCGTGGTCGCCGTCGACGAGTCGGGCTCCATCCTCTGGCGTCTGGAAGAAACCGATGCCATTGCTCTCGTACCGGCCGTGTTCAATGACAACGTATTCATCGCATCGATACACCACAACAGCGACGACGATGATGTCGAAAGCACCAATCTTACTATCGATAGCTACACCATTGACGGAGAACTGATCGAATCGCTGGTTCAAAATGAGAAAGTTGAAAAGCAAGATGCAATGAAATTGCAGATGATTCTGTTGTCGAAAGCGAAGTTGGCTGTGAGTATTGCGAATCGATGCCTCGTATACCATGGTCCTCAAAGTCTGGACGCCATCGCGGAATAAAGATAAGCACGAATGATAAAGTATCATCTACATAAGTGCTGCTTGTCATGTTATGCTTGTGTATGTTATTCATTGCATATCGTATTTGACGTGTGGCGTATTTGTTGAAGTTGTTTATTTATCAATTAAATCGAACAGTACAAGTTTTTTTTTAGGGGGGCAACAACACACAACGCACGTTATTTTATTGATGTATCTTTTTCCTGGTATATGAACGTCAGGATGTGTTTTAATTTATTATGGTAAACAATATATTTTCAGGTGACGATTATAATGGTTCTCTTATAGGCTCAAAATATTGTTTCAGAAAACATATTTTTGGAAAGTTTTAAGAACAGTTATGATTAAATGTCCTGGAGAAAAGCTATCCTATCTATCTATCTATCTTGTAAGGTATGCTAAACAAACAGATTCAGTGTTGTTATTTTCAGTACCGCGTGGAATCTTTGACACGTATTTGAAGGTATTATACGTAAATTTAAAATAAATAATTATTTTGTAAAGAAAGTTTGGCTTGCATCCAGTAATTAAAGATCGCAGGCATTGAAAGTACTCCCTGGAATCCTACCTTTCATATAGTTATGTTGTGACATATCATTTATCAACTGGGCATCATTTCAGTTGAAAATAAAAATGATGGCGGTGGCATGTATGCACTTATTTCTATCGGGTCAAATTCGTCATTTCTGTACGTTTTGATAGTTTTTTGTATGAAAAAAAAAAAAAAAATCGGAAATGATGGGGTTGATGATGAAATGTGCTATTGCCTGAAAAATAGCTTCTTTATATAATTGTCTTTTTAAAACAATGAGTACTATTTGTTTCACTTTGAGCAAACGAACTTATTTGTGGTCACCTCACCGGGGGATCAACAGGAACACATTCACTGAATATGCTCACTCCTCCCTCGAAACAAACCGCTAATGCGTTCCGCTACACACGAATGGCGGATTTTCTTGGTTATTAGCCCCCCCCCCCCCCCGCCCCTCCTTGCACTTTCTGACCACTGTGAATTAACCTTTGGTAATTTGGAGGATTCCTTTTTCAAAAACCTTCAACGCATTTCCTTTTTTAAAAATAATTGATTAAGGTCAAATATTATTGCAGCAAACTAAGCTATTTGTCAGTCCTTCTTCTGTTTTCATAACAGGAAATAAAAGTGCTATGAACGTGATAAAAGAATGTAAATCTGTACACAGGAGAAAAAAAGTTCGATTTGTTTCTATCTGTAAATACATTTATGCTGCACCTTCCAAATGTATACTCCATGCAAAAGTCTTTTCTGTTCTATAGATTTACCTTTTCAAACTTAATTCAATATGTCACGTTTGGTTAAATTATTGTAACTATATTGAATATACTTGTAAATATGTACCGTATTAAATGGAGTTGATAAAATCAAGTATACCATTCTAACATAACTCAAGATATAGATATTACTATTATTTTCTCTCACTTTGTGACTAGAGAGAATGGTCGAAGAGAAAGAGAGAATAGAGAGAAGATGTAGATAATAGAAAAAAGTATCTCAGAAGAGAGAATAGAAAGAGACAGAAGAAAGAGAAAGAGAGAGATAAGGAACAAATGTGGGGAGAGAGAGAGAGAAAGCAGAGAGGGAGGTGGAAATATGGAGAGAGAGAGAGAGAGAGAGAGAGAGGGGGGAGGGAGAGAGAGAGAGAGAAATAAAGAAGGGGTGGGGGCGACAGGACGGTAAATATCCCAATAGAATCGACTAGATCCTTCGTTTATTAGGATGTCCATAGCATTTTCGTCTGTGACCACCCCCCTTTAAAATTAAAACAAACCACAAACCAATAACATTTATTTGAAGAAAAAAAATCACATGGTTTCAAAAGACACAGACGCACCAAAGCAAAATAATTAGTTTATATTGTTGTTATGGAGGAAAATCAACGTGGAATGATCCATGTGCAGGGTTACTATTGGTGATACTCATTGTTATTATTATTATTATCAAGATATCTATCACTAGGGAATCGGTATCCTTTTCATTTGTGTTGTGTTGGACGGATGTTTGTAAAAGGAAGCTATTTGGATTTAGGTCAAAGTCAAACGCTCACCACTTCCTCTCAAAATAACCTTGTAAGTTACATTATACTTAACAAGCCACAATAACGTTGATGTTACTGGACCAATGAAAAGAAGCTACAATCATTGTAAGCACCTACTTAATTTCGATTTTTTTTTCAAGAAGAAGCATAGCATGTCATAATGCTTGAACTGTGAAATGGCAAATTCCCTTTTCCCCTATCCCTCCCCCCTCTCTCTCCCACCCCCCTCTCTCTCTCTCTCTCTCTCTCTCTCTCTCTCTCTCTCTTTCGGAAAGGGGGGGGGGGGATGGGGTGGGCACATGTTTCCCAATGTACCATATAGCTACCGTGGCTCAGCATCAGTATTGTCAACATTGATAATAGGGAAATGTCTCTTTGACTGCACATGACAAAAAATCATCACCGACTCAGCACTCAAAATTTCAGTTCTGACCTCTTCAATAATTCATATTCACTGGAAACAGAGAAGAAAAAAAGCCTGGTCTAGTCTATAAAAGTAATCTTGTTCTTGTATTTATTTTGTGAATGATAATGAACCAATCAATATAGCACTCACTCAACTAACATCCAATTAATTTACTCTTTCATTGATTATGAACCAAGCATAACAATCATTCAGATGATGAAATAATCAACTAACAATTTACAATCAACCAACGAAGCATTCTAATTCAATCAATATACATGTAATAATAATTGTTATTTTTATTGAAAAATATTTAATCAGGATAATAAGAATCAGATATACATTGTAGATACAAAATCTGTTTTACATCATGGTCCTGAACATAATAACAATACAACATTTATAGAGTGCATAATGAACAAAGCTTCTCTATGAGCTGTCCAAGCTGGAATGACAAGAGAAATATAATCACACAAAGAAATCAACAAAGAGAAGTTTACAAAACTAATAACTACTAAAATGACTAACTTAACATAGTAACTAACATTATAGAAGGATAGCTAACATGGTCAAAACAAATAATGTAAGTAAGGCCAAAAATACAGTTTATGCTAATTAATTGAGGCCAAAGAGGTGTGTTTTTAGTACAGATTTGAACGTTGGAGAAGTGGGTGCCTGTCGTTATAAAATTGGGAAGATTGTTCTTAAGGTTTGGTCCAGCAATTGCAAAAGATCTGCCCCCATAGAATGATCTGTTTGTTTTTGGTACCCAAAGTAATGCTTGATTGCTTGAACTGATGGTTCGGGGTGGGTGGTAATGTCCGAGCAAATAAAAAATCATTAAAACTAATCACAATCAATCAACCAAATAATGAAAACCAAACAGTCAAATCAGTTAATAAATAATTAACCAGTCAATCAATCCATAAAAATCAATAAAAAAATAAAAAAATAAAAAAAATCAATCACTGTTTAACCAATGTACTGATTGGACAATGAATCCTCAAAAGCAATTACCCACTAACTGTTTCAATTGTGCATTCATATTTTAATACATTCAAGAATATATATCAACATTTCATATTTCCTTGAAAATGAAAAAGTACAGTAGTATATATTGCATAGTAATATTCCACACAATCTCTCACCATTATTTAATTATCAGAAATCTCTCAAAATTACAAAAAGTTAAACAAGTCTACACAAAATTAATACAAATCTTGATTTATTATGGAAAATCCCCAACCTAATCATGAAACAAAGGTTTATAATTCTCATGTAATGGTAAGCACTGGTATTGCTTTGCAAAGCACTCTTCTTTCTTTGACATAAGAAAGTGTGTTTTTTTGTAAATGACTGTATGGGCCTAGGGCTGTTGTTTCTAATGGGTCAAGAGCGGTAACAGAGGAAAGCAACAAGCCTCCAGGGGATGAGGTGTGGAAGCAGATTAGGCAGATAAGAAGCGGAAGACAAACGGAAACCATCGCTTTTCATACATATTTTGACACAAATGGCTCAGTGAGAATGACTTTGTGCTTACTAGAAGTTAGGCTAACTCCTTGCATGCAGTTGTATGCAAATTTCATGTAACGTAACATAGACATGTAGTTTCATCTGATTGAAAGTATTGAATGCAAGACTGTTCTCTGAACAATATCGATAATTTTTACCTTATTTAGGTTAGCTTAATTCACTTGCAAAGATCTGCAAGCTTCATCAGAACAGCTAGAGTTGGTCGATTGCAGTGTGGTATAATATACAAGAATGGGATGTAGAAACAAGCGCTGCCCTGCCTGAAAAAAAAAAAAAAATTGCTGAACAATAGCACCCAACCAGACCAACGGCCGTAAGGTCACCATATAGTAATCAGGGTAATTATGCTGCATTATTGTAGAGCGCTTAGAGACTTCTGACAAAGTAAGTGTTAGGCGCTATATAAGCACTGTAATTATTATTATAGTACACCAAAGGAACATCTGAAGCTTTCGATAAGACTTTCTGCAGTCAGGGTAAGAATGGCCTGTTACTCCTAAACTGGAAAAACCACAAAAGAAATGTGGAGGTGTAAAAGTAATGCCGGCAACTAAAGATGCAAGAAAGTGGGATAAACGTCACTATTGTTTGTACTGCATGAAGAGTGACCCAAAAATCCCAAGGCATTTTCACAAACCATTCCACAGAGCCAGAAGTTTGTGCAGCATGTGCAACAGCCAGTGTTGGTGAATTATACAGTCAGTTCCAAGAGCAAAAAGGAGTGGATTAAACCAGGTAAGAAAACTGTGACTGTGAATAAGCAGGAAGCTGATTCAAACAAAAGTTGTTATAGATGCGGTGCGGATCTAGAGTTACTTTAAAGATCATCATTTTGTCCAGGAGTTTAGCTACTGGCCAGGACATAAAAAATCTGTGAAGGCAAAGAGACATGAGATATCTGATAAGCAGATTAGGGGCCGACACAGAATTAGAGTGATGAAAGTGACTGGCAACTACGAGAAAGCACGAAACATAGCCAGGCAGGCAGAAGATACATCCAACTTAAATTCGGAAGAAGATGGCGTGCAGCAGTGGAAGAGACATCCACCCCCAAGATTCAGCGAATCTTAAAGGGAGCTACGCGGCGATTGCAATGGAGACAAAATCTCTGTTTGCTGATGCTGTAAAATAGTTTGTGCACATACAAAATCCCGTCCCATGGAAAGTATATTGAGAATCAGCGATATTCCTTGGCCAAAATTGCTGTGATGTACGTAAGTCGAACGTACTAGCGTACGCGCAAGGATATTGTGCTATGTATATCTCGCTTGTACATACTCTAGATTGCGTTAGCTTTGATTGTGAATCATTTTAAATCGTAATTGTTATCTTTCGTGAGGCCTGTTCTTGGCGATATTTTAGTCATTATGGATGACACATTCAACATATCAGAGTTAGCGGCGGACATCTCTATTATCAATGTTGAAGAAGAAGAGTTGGAGCCAACATTTTGTAAATGCTCCGGTACCTGTTGGTATAAAACAAGTGAACCATTTGGAAAACTACAACTTCATCATCAAAAATATTTGTCTCAACGTGTTCCTTATTATTCTAACACATCATCAAATTTGCAACTACAACTATTGATATCTGGTGATATCAATCCAAATCCTGGACCTCAGACAGAAAATGAGTTAAAGTCTGCATCAACCTACTTAACTCCTATTTCTTATCACCGTGATGAACTTTTGAAATTGAATTGTGGCCCACAGGCTGTTGTTTCACAATATGCTTTGCATCCTTTTGTTTTGGATCAAATCAAATCTCTAGGAATTGGAATACTTCAAAAACAGTTCAAACGTAGTCGTAGGGGAAAAGGGTGGTCGTCGAAGACTGAAACATATACTTCTTCACCCAAAGTTAACTTTGCTTTATGGAATGCAAGATCAATTAAGAATGAAATTCCAATTATATGCGAACTTTTTTAAAATTAAGAACTTGACATTTTATGTGTCACAGAGCCCTGGTTGACAGGTAATTATTGTGATGATCCATCAATTGCCGATCTTACTACAACTCTCCCCAATTATGACATACATCACATTGGAAGGGAAGGTGGTGGTGTATGTGTGCTTCTTCAATCGACTTTCAAAGTTCACAAAACCGAACTTCAATCAATCAATTCTTTTAAATGTATTGATTTAGCTGTATCATCTAACTCCCAAAAACCTCTTCGCCTCATCATTTCTCACATTGATGTGTATTTCATATGTATTGTAAGTTGTAGGTTTATTTGCACTTTTTTGTTTTGTTTAATATGTAATTGTTTATCAGTCTTTTTTGTTTGTTATAGCGCTTAGAGACTTTGGTTGAAAGCGCTTTATAAGTAACGTTGTTATTTATTTATTTATATTTATAACACGACTCTACAAAACACCAAGTCTGGCTCTCAAAATTGGGCACTCAATGAAGGCATGCTGCCTAATTCTCCATTAAGATAGCTTGATGAGTGGGGAGAGAGTTACTGAGAGAAAGTGCTGATGTGTAAAAACAACATATTTGTTATATTTCAAGTGTAGATTGCTTTAAACATGCCCTCAAAACTCATTGTTCAAAGCGGCTTTCCAGAAGATTTAGATTTTCTTTCACATTGTTGTTCATTTTATTGTGTATTTTTGTGTACTTATAGTGTTTCTTCTACATGCGTCTTGAACACATTAGTCATGTGGAGTTGGCGCATTACAAATACTCTATATTATTAAAAGCTGAAGTGGGAAGGCAAAGTCAGCCATCACGCATTGAGGAGCCTCCAAGAAACAAAAAGAAACAGTTTAAAACTTCTGCCATTGACAGGAGATATTACTGAATGACTTGCATGTGAAGTTTGGAGAAAGAAAATAACTCTCAGAGACTTGAAGACATGGAAAAAACTGGCTGAAGTAGGAGGTGAATTATGGAACAATATTGACAACTCAATCAAAAATGTGACCACTCTAAGTTCTTTCAAATCGAAATTCAAGTTCTGTCTTCTTGCCACATATAAATGACTTCCCTGATGCATACAATTACCATATAAATTATGTCGTTCTGTATTATTATTGTGTTTTAGTTTGTAATGTAATGTATAATGTATACGTCTTGCATTTTGTTTTATTGTGAATTTTAGTGTTTTGTATTTTCCACATTTGTCATTTATGTTATGGGTCCACCTACTTCCCTCAAGCCATCGGCTTTATCGGGTGCTGATGATCCAGTACACTTCTCGATGTATATATATTGTATGTGATTTTTTATGAAACAGTGAATGTAATTGAAGTAGTTTTAGTTCAGGTGGTTGTCTTTAACCGCAAATGACAAGGAAAAATATCCAAGATGACATTGGCAGATTTTCAGAAATACTCTAAGGGAGAAGGACATGTCATTGATGGTGCACTGTCACTCCCTCTGGACAGTTAAAGTTGTTGGGAAGCGCTGTCGCACTGTGGCTGTAATCTTCAAAAGTGCCATGAAATCTGTGATTGATCTAATGAACAAGAAGAGAAAAGATGCAGGAATCAGTTATACTGCCGCAAAGTCTGGAGAAGGCCACTTGCGAGTCTGCCATTCTATTCGTGAGCATTCGCCAATTTAGTTAGGAGGAATATGGGAAATTATGGGTAGCTATACGGGCCTCACGCATGTGCGTACGTCGGGTGGCTTTCCATGCTCGCACGTACATGCGTGCGCGGGTATATAAAGAGGTTTAAGCCCGCCGGCGCTCGTGAGAGCACAGTTGCACCACCATTACAGAAGTAATAGTCTACGCAGTCATCGGAACATCGCATCGAGGAACATCGGACATTGGACTACAGTGCAGCTATGGGCGAGTCCTTTACATAGACGTTTACTTTAATTCTTACATGGCAAATAAATAACACTTCAAGCAACTTGTCACAGGAAACACATTGCCACTGTGTCACAAATCATGAACCTACAAGAAAATGAACTGGAAGTTCTTGCTAGATTCCTTGGACATCGTACTCAGCGAAAATATTATTGACTCCCTGAATCAACACTCCAAGTTGCCAAAGTTTTGTTCATGATGGAAAGAGGAGAGATCCAGGGTCTTGCTGGGAAAGGACTAGACGAAATTCAAGCAAGACTTCCATACCTACAAAGACCTGAATAGAAATCCAGGGTCTTGCTGGGAAAGGAAAAGACGAAATTCAAGCAAGACTTCCATACCTACAAAGACCTGAATAGAAATCCAGGGTCTTGCTGGGAAAGGACTAGAAGAAGATTCAAGCAAGACTTCCATACTTACAAAGACCTGAATAGAAATCCAGGGTCTTGCTGGGAAAGGACTAGACGAAATTCAAGCAAGACGCCCATACCTACAAAGACCTGAATAGAAATCCAGGGTCTTGCTGGGAAAGGACTAGACGAAATTCAAGCAAGATTTCCATACCTACAAAGACCTGAATAGAAATCCAGGGTCTTGCTGGGAAAGGACTAGACGAAATTCAAGCAAGACTCCCATACCTACAAAGACTTGAATACTGACACTCTTGCTTGGAAAGGAATACCGGTAGACGAAATTCAAGCAAGACGCCCATACCTACAAAGACCTGAATAGAAATCCAGGGTCTTGCTGGAAAAGGACTAGATAAAATTCAAGCAAGACTTCCATACCTACAAAGACTTTAATAGAAATCCAGGGTCTTGCTGGGAAAGGACTAGACAAAATTCAAGCAAGACTTCCATACCTACAAAGACCTGAATTGAAATCCAGGGGCTTGCTGGGAAAGGACTAGATGAAATTCAAGCAAGACTTCCATACCTACAAAGACCTGAATTGAAATCCAGGGTCTTGCTGGGAAAGGACTAGACGAAATTCAAGCAAGACTTCCATACCTACAAAGACCTGAATTGAAATCCAGGGTCTTGCTGGGAAAGGACTAGATGAAATTCAAGCAAGACTTCCATACCTACAAAAACTTGAATACTGACACTCTTGCTGGGAAAGGACTAGACAAAATTCAAGCAAGACTTCCATACCTACAAAGACCTGAATAGAAATCCAGGGTCTTGCTGGGAAAGGAAAAGACGAAATTCAAGCAAGACTTCCATGCCTACAAAGACCTGAATAGAAATCCAGGGTCTTGCTGGGAAAGGACTAGAAGAAGATTCAAGCAAGACTTCCATACCTACAAAGACCTGAATAGAAATCCAGGGTCTTGCTGGGAAAGGACTAGACGAAATTCAAGCAAGACGCCCATACCTACAAAGACCTGAATAGAAATCCAGGTTCTTGCTGGGAAAGGACTAGACGAAATTCAAGCAAGATTTCCATACCTACAAAGACCTGAATAGAAATCCAGGGTCTTGCTGGGAAAGGACTAGACGAAATTCAAGCAAGACTCCCATACCTACAAAGACTTGAATACTGACACTCTTGCTTGGAAAGGAATACCGGTAGACGAAATTCAAGCAAGACGCCCATACCTACAAAGACCTGAATAGAAATCCAGGGTCTTGCTGGAAAAGGACTAGACGAAATTCAAGCAAGACTTCCATACCTACAAAGACTTTAATAGAAATCCAGGGTCTTGCTGGGAAAGGACTAGACAAAATTCAAGCAAGACTTCCATACCTACAAAGACCTGAATTGAAATCCAGGGGCTTGCTGGGAAAGGACTAGATGAAATTCAAGCAAGACTTCCATACCTACAAAGACCTGAATTGAAATCCAGGGTCTTGCTGGGAAAGGACTAGACGAAATTCAAGCAAGACTTCCATACCTACAAAGACCTGAATTGAAATCCAGGGTCTTGCTGGGAAAGGACTAGATGAAATTCAAGCAAGACTTCCATACCTACAAAAACTTGAATACTGACACTCTTGCTGGGAAAGGACTAGACAAAATTCAAGCAAGACTTCCATACCTACAAAGACCTGAATAGAAATCCAGGGTCTTGCTGGGAAAGGAAAAGACGAAATTCAAGCAAGACTTCCATACCTACAAAGACCTGAATAGAAATCCAGGGTCTTGCTGGGAAAGGACTAGAAGAAGATTCAAGCAAGACTTCCATACCTACAAAGACCTGAATAGAAATCCAGGGTCTTGCTGGGAAAGGACTAGACGAAATTCAAGCAAGACGCCCATACCTACAAAGACCTGAATAGAAATCCAGGTTCTTGCTGGGAAAGGACTAGACGAAATTCAAGCAAGATTTCCATACCTACAAAGACCTGAATAGAAATCCAGGGTCTTGCTGGGAAAGGACTAGACGAAATTCAAGCAAGACTCCCATACCTACAAAGACTTGAATACTGACACTCTTGCTTGGAAAGGAATACCGGTAGACGAAATTCAAGCAAGACGCCCATACCTACAAAGACCTGAATAGAAATCCAGGGTCTTGCTGGAAAAGGACTAGACGAAATTCAAGCAAGACTTCCATACCTACAAAGACTTTAATAGAAATCCAGGGTCTTGCTGGGAAAGGACTAGACAAAATTCAAGCAAGACTTCCATACCTACAAAGACCTGAATTGAAATCCAGGGTCTTGCTGGGAAAGGACTAGATGAAATTCAAGCAAGACTTCCATACCTACAAAGACCTGAATTGAAATCCAGGGTCTTGCTGGGAAAGGACTAGACGAAATTCAAGCAAGACTTCCATACCTACAAAGACCTGAATTGAAATCCAGGGTCTTGCTGGGAAAGGACTAGATGAAATTCAAGCAAGACTTCCATACCTACAAAGACTTGAATACTGACACTCTTGCTGGGAAAGGGCTAGACAAAATTCAAGCAAGACTCCCATACCTACAATGACCTGAATACCGACACTCTTGCTTCGAAAGGACTACCGGTAGACGAAATTCAAGCAAGACTCCCATACCTACAAAGACCTGAATACCAACACTCTTGTTTGGAAAGGACTAGACAAAATTCAAGCAAGACTTCCATACCTACCAAGACCTGAACACTGACACTCATACCTACCAAGACCTGAATACTGACACCCATGCCTACCAAGACTTGAATACTGACACCCATACCTACCAAGATCTTAATACAGATACACCGAACTAGCAGAATATTACCGACGCCCATACGTATCAAGATCTTAAGAAACTCATAATCAAATTACCTTATCCAGATGTCACAAAATCAAAGAAATATAGAGGCAACCCAAGCAAGACAGGGGTTTGGTGGACCAACCATAATACACACAGGGGGGGGGGGGGGGCAGTGTGTCATCCTTTTAACACCGAGCGAGTTATACCGCAAGCACGAGAGCTTAATTGGCATTTGTGAAGTAATATGTAAGTGTTTGTGAAATAATATGTAAGTGATTGTGAAGTAATATGTAAGTGTTTGTGAAATAATATGTAAGTGTTTGTGAAGTAATATGTAAGTGTTTGTGAAGTAATATGTAAGTGTTACTGGTTTATTTTGCTGGTTTTATTTTTTGGATGGCAGCCGGGCAGTAAAGACAGCACTTTTAGGTTGCCCGGTGGAGGACTAGGAGATAGGTGTAAGAGAGACACTAGACATTTATCACGGATTTGCTGGCAGCATCACCTCAACTTTAGAGGAGATACAGGATTCGGTGCGTCGAAGGCCACAAAGGTGCCAGGCGCTGACAAGAAGAGGACACCAGTGCTCCCATGATGGGAAAAGCCGCTTGTTTTAATGTACTGCAAGCAACACTTTAAACTTCATGCAGGACCGGATCATCAGGATATGTTTAATTCTGATGCCGACTAAGGACAGGCAAACGTAAAGAAAGAGGAAGCAAGCAAGGGAGATATTGATCAGTGTTGAAAAGCTTTTACCTGCAATCATATCACCGCTAGCTTCTCCCACCAAGCTAGACTCTGAACCCCACGTGATCGAGGAAATCTGGGAGGAACTAAACACCGTCAACATTGCCACCCAGGTGGAACTCGATGTAGGAAACAAGGAAACACAAACCAACCCCACTGTAAATGATCTATTTAAATCAGGAAAGGCTGCCATAAAGAAGAGTGGAATCATAGTAAGCGACATCAGGAGCCATACAACTGGACAAGAAATTACACACAGAGTAGAGACTGTTGAACTTCCGTATGGAACCAAATACACCCGTTGCTCCTACACTGTAAAGGATAATTCTGAAGAACAGATATTTGTTATACTTTTGGCTCTGTTTCCTTCTCCTCCTTTCTTCGCTACTTTCCTTCTAACTTATTTCTTTCTTCTGTTCATCTCTGTTTTCTCATCTTTATCTCTATTTCTTTCAGATACAGATCCAATTGCTTGCAATTTTGTATATACATGTTGAGGTTTACCAATACAATTAAACAACGTTGCACACTCCAGGCAATTAAGGAACAAGGACCTGCACATGGGTCAGTACAAAGACCATCAGTAGCAGTAGCTAATGTTCTGGATTTTAACTCGGAGGATTTCTCAAGGGATATTATGAATATGTTTGATATTGATTTATCCAACACTCGCAATGATACTGTAGGAGGCTGGCTTCTGACCTCACCATCACTGAATGAACAAGAGCTGGCACAACTTCAAATTTGATGCCAGTAGACCTTCAGCTGATGCTGGTGTTGACATATATGGGGAGGTAGTTGATTATGTTATGGAGTGCATAGAAAGACAACAGAATTTGAGAGCAGCAGATAATAACTGAACAGTTGAAAATTGCTTCCCCCCCAAAAAAACAACAAAAAAAACAAACTGTTTATCTGTGTGCGTGTGTGTGATGTAAATGTATAAGCCATTCACTGATCAATTGCTGTATTTACCAATATCAATGTTTGTATTTTTAATATTCACTAATCAATATCAAGGATATAGGAAATGGATAACTCATATATATTATTCCAGCAAGAGTGTATGTACAGTAATCTGCAAGTATTGAAAACTTCATGGTAATCCAAATATTTATCCTTCATCCATTAATGCATATAGGAATTTCCATAACCATAGCAAAAAATGTTTGAAATTGATAATGCAGATCAGCATGAAGTTTCAGTGTCTTTTCCCTACCACCACACTTTCCTGAAAATATTACACTTGTCTTATTAAAATGACATTGTAACGCTTTCTGACCAGTACGTGATCCAACCAGAGATAGAAAGTTGGAACAGACTATGTTGAATTGTTTTTTTTATTGTTGGAGTACACTGTACATGTACATTGTATATACATGTACAAGTCAGACTCTTTATTCACATCCATCATGATGGCCTTTTTTAAGATTGGACAGGGAAATGCGGCACCCCAGAACATCAACCCTGACGTTGGACCGTGGGCACGAGTAAGACACCATTGCCTATGCCTCACAAAGGGAGGACTAGGAGATATATGCAAGCGAGAAATGAGGCACCAGTCACAAATTTGCTGGCAGCATCGCGTGAACTACATTGATGAGGAGATACAGGATTTGGTGCGTCGCAGGCCCCAAAGGTGCCAGGCGCTGACAAGAAGAGGACACCAGTGCTCCCGTGATGGGAAAAGACGCTTTGTGTTGATGTATTGCAAGCAACACTATAAACTTCATGCAGGACTGGATCATCAGGATATGTCTGATTCTGATGTGGACTAAGGACCGGCAAACGTAAAGAAAGAGGAAGCAAGCAAGGGCGATATTGATCAGTGTTGAAAAGCTTTTACTGGCAATCATATCACCGCTAGCTTCCCCCACCAAGCTAGACTCTGAACCCCACGTGATCGAGGAAATCTGGGAGGAACTAAACATAGGCAACAATGCCACCCAGGTGGAACTCGATGTAGGAAACATGGAAACACAAACCGACCCCACTGTAAATGATTTATTTCATTTAGGAATGGCTGCCATAAAGAAGAGTGGAACCATAGTAAGCGACACAAGGAGCCACACAACCGGACAAGAAATTACCCACACAGTAGAGACTGTTGAATTTCGCCTTTAGCTTTCCCTACCAAGCTCGACACACACCACATAGTAGAGGCAACTTGGGAAGAACTTATCACAGAAGACGATGCCACCCAAGTGGAAATAAACGTAACAGATCAAGAGACCTAGACCGACCCAACTTTGAACGATTTGTTTAACTCAGGAAATTCTGCAATCGAGAAGACAGGGACAGTGGTGAGCGACATCATGAGCCAGACAAGGGGATGAGGTATAAGCCTCACAGTTGAAACTGTAATACTTCCTGATAGAAGAAAAAGGGCACAGAAGGCCTTCCCTTCCCAATAGATTCAAAATCAAAAGATGGTAAATGTTTTTTGTTTGTTTGTTTGTTTGATGTTTTTTTTTTGGTCAGGTTTTGTTTTGTGGGAACACAGCAAACAAGATCAGACGAAAAGATGAAGATCTCAAGTTGGTTGGGATGGAGGTGGTGGTTGATGGGACTGGCAACTTTTGTTGGCATAACAAAGACAACAATACTAACACCGCCAAATTTGACAGACGTTATCCCCAAAGAAATAGACGTCCGCCTACTTATTTTTACTAATAACACTATCATTTCTAATTTCGGCACATGAAGTAATAAATATACTTCAAAATTATCATAACTAGAACATCACCATGGTCTTCAAGTGCCGGACGTGTACATATAAGAACAGTAACGAGGAGGTTGTGAGAAATCACGAGAGAGACAGACATGGCGACAGTAAGCCTAGAGATCAAAGCCGTTCCCCTCTCCAAACCTCCTTTAACCAAATCAAATCAGCTGGAAACACATAGACAGATGAGGGGACCTCACACTCTACCTACAGCCCCGAGGTATAGGAAACATAGGCATCACAAGTCATCTTCCAAGGATCTTCTGCCCGGGCATCTGCCAACAAGGTTTTTGACCCCTAAAAAACCGAGGCGGAGCGCCACTCCAGTACAGTTCGAAGAATTTCCGGCTATCATATCACCGCTAGCTTCTCCCACCAAGCTAGACTCCGAACCCCACGTGATCGAGGAAATCTGGGAGGAACTAAACATAGGCAACAATGCCACCCAGGTGGAACTTGATGTAGTAAACATGGAAACCCAGACCGACCTCACATTAAATGATTTATTTCATTTAGGAATGTCTGCAATAAAGAAGCCCCGAACCATAGTAAGCGACACAAGGAGCCACGCAACCGGACAAGAAATTACCCACACAGTAGAGACTGTTGAATTTCGCCTTTAGCTTTCCCAACCAAGCTCGACACACCCCACATAGTAGAGGCAACTTGTGGAGAACTTATCACAGAAGACGATGCCACCCAAGTGGAAATAAACGTAACAGATCAAGAGACCCAGACCGACCCAACTTTGAACGATTTGTTTAACTCAGGAAATTCTGCAATCGAGAAGACAGGAACAGTGGTGAGCAACATAATGAGCAAGACAAGTGGATGAGGTATAAGCCTCACAGTTGAAACTGTCATACTTCCTGATAGAAGAAAAAGGGTGCAGAAGGCCTTCCCTTCCCAATAGCTTCAAAATCAAAAGATGGTAAATGTTTTTTGTTTGTTTGTTTGTTTGATGTTTTTTTTTGGGTCAGGTTTTGTTGTGGGGGAACACAGCAAACAAGAAGAAAAGATGAAGATCTGAAGTTGGTTGGGATGGAGGTGGTGGTTGATGGGACTGGCAACTTTTGTTGGCATAACAAAGACAACAATACTAACACCGCCAAATTTGACAGACGTTATCCCCAAAGAAATAGACGTCCGCCTACTTATTTTTACTTATAACACTATCATTTCTAATTTCGGCACATGAAGTAATAAATATATTTCGATATTATCATAACTAGAACATCACCATGGTCTTCAAGGGCCGAACATGTAGATACCAGAACAGCAACGAGGAGGTTGTGAGACGTCACGAGAAGGACAGACATGGCGTCAGCCTGAGTAAGCCTAGAGATAGAAGCCGTTCCCCTCTCCGAACCTCCTTTAACCAAATCAAATCAGCTGGGAACACATAGGTAGACGAGGGGACCTCACACTCTACCTACAGCCCCGAGGTATAGGAAACATAGGCATCACAAGTCATCTTCCAAGGATCTTCTGCCCGGGCATCTGCCAACAAGGTTTTCGACCCCTAAAAAACCGAGGCGGAGCGCCACTCCAGTACAGTTCGAAGAATTTCCGGCTATCATATCACCGCTAGCTTCCCCCACCAAGCTAGACTCCAAACCCCACGTGATCGAGGAAATCTGGGAGGAACTAAACATAGGCAACAATGCCACCCAGGTGGAACTTGATGTAGTAAACATGGAAACCCAGACCGACCTCACATTAAATGATTTATTTCATTTAGGAATGTCTGCAATAAAGAAGCGCCGAACCATAGTGAGCGACACAAGGAGGTACACAACCGGACAAGAAATTACCCACACAGTAGAGACTGTTGAATTTCGCCTTTAGCTTTCCCAGCCAAGCTCGACACACCCCACATAGTAGAGGCAACTTGGGGAGAACTTATCACAGAAGACGATGCCACCCAAGTGGAAATAAACGTAACAGATCAAGAGACCCAGACCGACCCAACTTTGAATGATTTGTTTACCGTAACTCAGGAAATTCTGCAATCGAGAAGACAGGAACAGTGGTGAGCAACATCATGAGCCAGATAAGTGGATGAGGTATAAGCCTCACAGTTGAAACTGTCATACTTCCTGATAGAAGAGAAAGGGTGCAGAAGGCCTACCCTTCCCAATGGATTAAAAATCAAAAGATGGTAAATGTTTTTTGTTTGTTTGTTTGTTTGATGTTTTTTTTGGTCAGGTTTTGTTGTGTGGGAACACAGCAAACAAGAAGAAAAGATGAAGATCTGAAGTTGGTTAGGATGGAGGAGGTGGTTGATGGGACTGGCAACTTTTGTTGGCATTTGTGGGGGGAAATTGCCCTGAGCCCACATGTTATCTTATTCAGAAAGTCTATTTGCTATTGCATAAAAGTAGATGCTTGTACACTATTCCAATTTGGAAGTATGTATATGTTGCAGTCACTTTGCACACACTATACAGACTGTCATTTGTAAAGTGAAATGTATTTCTCATGTTGACTTTTTAATAAAATTTCTTATGTTGATTTGATTTTATCGTTGTATTTAATAGAGCTTGTTGCCCTATAGTGATGATTTCTGTCATGTCTATGGAAAAGATAAGACTCACTTCCAAAATGCCCTTCTTTGTAAAAATCACTATCATGGTGCTCAGAGAGCAACATGAAGTATTGACACTTTAGCTGAGCTGTACTACTTTGGGATTTGTCCCTATGACAGAGAGTTCAATGAGAGCAGAGGGAATGAGCTCTTCGCTAAGCTCATCCCGATTTGTCAACTGCAGGACAAGTATGGTCCTACATGTAAAATAATGGATGAGCTGTGGGACTTTTTAACAAGGTACATCCGTGGCTTTAGTCCCAGAGGAGCATCAAGTGCAGTGTAGGACAAAAGAGGGGTAATGGATACAATTACTATCTTTGTGCCACCGACATATTTCATCGGGAACTTTAAAGTGGAGCAAGAGGACGAGGCGATGGAGACGGTGAAGGAGAAAGTGGAGCAAGAGGACAAGGCGATTGAGACGGTGAAGGAGAAAGTGGAGCAAGAGGACGAGGCGATTGAGACGGTGAAGGAGAAAGTGGAGCAAGAGGACGAGGCAGTGGAGCAGGCGGTGGAGACGGTCGCGGACGAGGTTGAACAGACGGTAGAACCAGCATCCGTATTGATTGACAGCGAGAAGAAAGAGCCGTTGGAAGTCGTGGTCAAGGTGCGAAGGCCAAACCACGGATACATTCAAATTTCGAGGGTCGAAGTTTATACGACCACGTATATCGTGACCAAGGGAAGGAAGCGGTTGCATGAGGAAAAAAAGTCTATCCACTACTTTGATGAGGGGCTCATTGAAGAAGATTGAATAAGTTGTATAAAAAAATAAGTAAATAATAATAATATGTATTATTGGCATTAGTACGTAAGCTTGAAGTTTAAGGATAAGTGTATTTAACAAAACAAAGCAAAATCTATACACATGTACATGTATTAATAATTTTGTTGTTGTTGCATGAATTAGAATATTGAATGCTATTTATGTAATGCATTTGATTTAAAAAAAAAAAAATGCACTCTTAGAATTTTATCGCTGCGACAGCGATTAGGAAGAGAGGGGACAATGTGAAGAAATACCCCCCCCCCCTGTTTTTCCCTTAATTTTCGTTTTATATTTGTCATTTAGCAATACCAGGACTAGCCTGATTTTATCTTTAAAGAATTGCAAAGGAAAACTTATCTTTTATGAAATAGGCGTAACGGATTGTTGTTTCAGTAATGAATGGAAGTAGTAAGATCAGCTGTGATTGTTTACTACAGCGATCAATGAGCGTAGTAACGGCAGCCGATTAGTGCTATTTTTAGATTCATTCAAATACACAGAATTTGCTATGTGGGACCGGGTATCTGAAACATCGTGTGCGATGTTGAACTAAGGTGAATAATTCTTTTATGTAATCACTTACCTTGTCAATGTTTCCTTAAAGCTAAACTTTAGTACTGGTAATGCGATTGCATTGTGAAAGAAAAGGTGTGAAAGGATCAGAAACAGTTGATCATGTAGCATGTAAGTATTCGTGTGCACTGCAAGGTTCTGGAGTCATCAAAATCATAATAAATTTGACCGAGTCTTGGTAAAGTAACAAACACTCACATAGAAAGCTATATATGGGACAACACACATGGTGTCGGGGATGGTACTACCTTGGTTTCCTTGTCTTTCTATGCTCATTACTCAGCCAGTATACATTTTCTTCCAAAATTGTTTGGCACATGTCATTTATTTGTAATCTTGAACATTCAGTGTAAGTTTCGTTTGATTCTGTGAGAATTATTTTGTTTTTTTTACCAGTACTGGAGTTTATCTTTAAATAGTTGCTTGGTGTCATATTTTCCCTTTTTCTGATAAGACTACTTCTTAAATAATGTAATTTAGTTCACTAAAAGTGAATTCCACCTATTGAAAATGGATTAGCCGGTATTTTTGGACTTCGCGCGTAGTGACGTCACCAACTTTTGACCAATTAAAATTGCGGGAGGCTGCAGTATTTTTCTCAGCCGATTTACGGCCCGGGGTCCCAGTATAAAAGGGGATGAAAAATGTAACAAATATTATACTGCATCTCAAATTCAACATTGTAAGACGATCCCTAGTCAAGTTCAATTTCAAGTTCCATCTCGTTTTCCATCTCGTTCCAGACAGAAAAAAGAGTGAGTTATGAAATATTTCTAATATTCATCTCTTGTTATATTATTGCATAATATAACAAGTGTTATATTATCAAGACCCCTGATCCCCTGTAAGCCATCAGGGGTACCGATTTCCTGAGTCGGTGGGATTTTTCATAGTGATAGTACAAGTCTTTGACAATTTTCAGGATACGTCATGCAAGTTTCTTGTGAAGTATAAGGGAGAAGAACCTGTTCCACCTGTAATTCAACAGATAATGTGAGCACTGTAACTGGACCCTGTCCTTTTATATGACCATGCTGTGAATGCCTCACACCCTGGTAACCTGCACTTTGGGTTGGAGAATATTATTGATCGCCTCATAAGGTATTATTCTAGAGATATGGGATGTGGGACATGCCAGAGTTACCAAACTACATTCTCACTCTCACAAATCAGCATGCCAAACTTCTAATTGGTTCAACTCGTCGTAAACAAGAAATCAAGAAATATGCAAATGCCATCACCTGTCCTTTATGAAAGCATTTCAGTGAAAGATACTGCTTACATTCTGACAGGGGCAGTGCAGGTGTCTCCACAGCATTTTTATGCCATTGTGAAACAGAATGACAAGTTTTGTGTCATAGATGACATGAAGTTGCACACAATAAGCTTCTCATCATTTGCTGCTGCAGTAACATGAGAGAGGAACTCAAGTAGTCCTCTGTCTGTAAACAACAGACATGATGGCATCCACATTCTTCTGTACACAAAAGACCAAGGTCGTCTTCCTCATGCTTCTTCTGAGCAAGATGCTAGTCGGTCTCCTTCCTTTGGGATACCACTGCCCTCCCAACATGCGGGAGTGTCTAAGTGGGACAATGGTCCCCCACCTGGCTTGTTTGAGCAATGCCATTGTAGTGATTCAGCCCGAGCCAATACGGCTCTGGCGGGTATAAACCCATACATGTATGCGTGCAAGTCCCGCATTTGGCGACACCCGCTGTTTTATCCGTGGTCATGTCCAATACTGGGTATGTCAGATTTGACTTGAGACAGCAAGCGTGCAACACCAGCCGTCTGCCCTTCTCATCGGATCTCGAAGCAACGTAGCTTCAAGTGGAGCTCCACACATCGGTGCGACATCGAGACTTCGAGACAGTACCAGTTAGTTCTACAGCCTATGGTAGGATCTAAACCTTATTATAGTAGTTTATAGTATTTCGTAGTTAAACAGTAGGCCCAGTAAGATTAATAACCACCCCGTCACTATACCATTCTCGACATCCGCATACTGTTAGAGGCCATTACACAGGGGTGAACAAATCTGTTGCAAGTTCGCAGAAATTGGATGGTGGCACTCCACTGCTGGCCTCATTAACTGCATGCCTGACACATGCCCAAGATGCTCCTGAGTGTAAAACTAAGAAATGGGGGACGAAGAAGCAGAAAAATAAAGAAAGAAAACGATACGTCTTCAGAGACTCTGATACTCCCCCGAAGAAAGAAAAATTGCAACACAAGGGAAATTGTGCAAGTGCAAGCATTAAAAAAGAACAAGACGTATCTTTATCTATACACGTACCGTACATAAAAGTACTGTGGCAAGTAGCCCATATCACAAGTTTAAAAAACGCAATCCACCAAGAGATCTTTTTGGAAAAGACAATCCAACCGGTGATCAGCCTGGAAAAGACGATCAAACTGGAGATCTTTCTGGAAAAGGCAGTCCAACCGGTGATCTGCCTGGAAAAGATAATCTGGGGGCAGCATCACCAAAACTTATAGGTGTGTAGATTATACCAAGATACACCTCCTTACAAAATTTGTAAGAAATCTGTCAAGAAATAGGGCAGTTAGAGCATACATAAGAATATGACGCAGCGGCGACATGACGCTGCTGAATCCGAAGAATCCTCTGGCATACTGCCGGGGTATACAATAATTAATTGTAGCTTCCCCCGCCCCTTGGCAAATAAAAGTTGAGAACTAATTTGTTTGACCGCTCAAAATTTATTGATAAGATGTCATCTGACGAAAATCCCGACAGATTTGATGATTAAGAAATGAAGTATATAAAGAATCAAATTCCCTACCTGGGAATGGGAACAATCCTGACGTAGAGGTTGAGATTGAAGGTGCGTGTGCGTGTATGTGTGTGTGTGATTGTGGGTGTGTGGGTGATATCTCGAGTATGATTTTGTGTTGTAACCCATATCTAGCTTAGTTTTACATAGTTTACAGGTACATAAATGTATATCACCATTGCTAGGGAAAAAAGGGCCTTAGCAACTAGTGCTGTAGTCAAACGTTTAACCGTCTGGTATCCGACCGCCCATGGCGGATTCCGTTTTCAATTGGACGGTTTCGTTTTCCCGATTTTTTTTTTTTTTTTTTTTTTTTTTTTAATATTTTTTTTTTTTTTTTTTTTTTAAACATTTTTTTTTTTTTTTTTAAAGTTTCGATTTATGCCCCTCCACCTGGCACTATGCCTGGCAATGTCTCCCAGCTCAGTAATCTGTGTGTTGACTCACCACTCCAAAACTAGAACAACACTCCAATTTGTCTGTCATCTTGGTTTGAAAGTAATCTTTGTAATAGATCTCATCATCTCAATATGTAGTTTATAATAATAATTCATCCAACTTTTACACAAGGTTCTGTCCTAGGTCCTCTACTGTTTTTAATTTACATTAATGATCTTACACATTCTTCTAAAAACAACATTGTTACTATTATTTGTGACAAGTTCACCAGCACAAATCGGCCCCTTTAAATGCACCTCGCAGTTAAATGAAAGTTGCCGACAGAGTCGGTAAAAAAAAAAATTAAAAAAAAAAAAAAAAAAAAAAAAAAAAAAAAAAAAAAAAATCATTTTTTTTTTTTTTTTTTTTTTTTTTTTAAATCGTTTAACCGAAAACCGTCCGGTTTTGACTGGCGGTTAAACGGAATTGGAGATATCCGTGATGTTACAGCACTATTAGCAACCAAATTTAACTTGTTCTTTGTGTTTGGCTGTTCATCTTTAACGCTCAAGTTTCAAACGTGGGAACATTTTGCATATATTTCATATACCCTTTAGGGAAAATCTAGAAAAAAAGACCAGGTAACAACGATGCATTCAACATCTTCATAGCAAAGTTCACGTACACCTAGTCACGGTAGCCAGAATACCAAGTTTGCACCAATTTGTGTTTTAGCCTTCTCAAGAAGCGTTACAAGGCATCAACTGCGTTTACATTCCGAGACACAAACAGCAAAGAGTAAAGAACTCCCATCATATAAATATAATTATCATTATCCTTAGCCAAACTAATTGTACAATATTTATCAATCAACTGGATCACAGTGCTAAAAAGTTTGTAAATTGGCGAGCCAAGTCCTCGTTTGAGGCGACAATCCACATTAATTAATTAGTTTTCCTATCATGTTATGAATTGTGGAAATAAAAAACAATAAATATGACTGGACTAATTTAAGAAAATTGGATAAGTCAAGTTGCCCTAGTTGCCGGCTTGATGCTGTGTGTTCCTACAGATGTCAAATGTCACCAGAACTTAAATAAGAGCGATGTAGAAGGATAAAGTCGGAAAACAAGTATGCATGTATAAAACTACTATGACATTTCCACACAAGAAAAAGATTAACTACTCAAGGTGAATCGGCTAAATAGGACATTATACCAGGGATGATAGTGAGCCCCTTGAGTAAAAAAAAAAGGGATTCGGGTTAAAAAAATTGGTATCTAACAAAAATCCCCCCCCCCCCCTTTGAAGTAAGAAAATTGGGAAAAAAAGGGAAAAATCTGAAAAAATGGGGATTTAAATCAGGTAAGTATCAGGCCTGCATTATACTCTTCACTGAAAATCTACAATGAAGGCGAAAACTGTTGTACTTAATGTCTGACCTCAAAGTACTCTATGCAAATCCTTATCTCCTTTATCTACACCTGTGACAATCAGAGCATCACAGAGCAAGACTTGTTTCACAAGGTGCCACGCCCTCTGCCACGCCCCTATCTTGGCGAGGAAGCAGTCGTGTACATGGCTGGATGGGCTGCCGTGGCAACTGGCCGCATCTGGAGAAGCATCCTCCTTGGTTGATTGACATTGGTCCATGTTCAGATAGGTGTGCTGGGTGTAGGCCCTGAATCCCTCACCTAAGGCCTCGTAGACGAGTTCGTGTCGGTATTGATGAAAATAAGTGACGTGTTCTGATACAAAGAGGGTTTAAATAGTATGTAAGTAAACAATTTCTTTAAACCGGACGCAATGTTCAATTAACCTTAAAAGCTTGAAAATGACTGTCGTATCTATTCAGAGACAGAAGGGCATTAACTCTGTGTCAAAGAATATGAATTAAGACCCTTTTAGGCTCTCAGTGGATGAGATCTATGAATACATGTACAGTAAACATCTAAATTATTCATAGACATACCCTTATCAAGTTTTGTAATTTTTAAGGTGAGTGAAAAATTAATGTCTCTAGTCATGTTTCTTCAGAATTTGACATATCAAAGCTCACATCTAAAAGTATTCAACAAAGGACCTAATTCAACCACCTTTCATTCTTGAGTTACAATAAATACAAAAAACATAAAATTTACAAGGGGTATGAACAATTCAGTTGTTAACTGTATTATATGGTACACTACACAGTTCTACTCCATGCAGTGCCATCTTGAACCTGTTTATTTCCATGTGAGAGTATTTCATGTTAATAGAAAAACAACACATAAATATTAATAAGCGATAAAGAGATGCCTTCATGATAATCAGTCATATTTTACAAACATTTCAGATCAAAGTCAAAGATACATGTACATGTACATATCCAATTCAATATTCATGTACTAGATATCCTTTCTTACAGTATATGTATTCTTTTAATGCCTATTCCCTATTTGAAGCTAATTAGGCCTGTTACTCATAATTCAAATTCTTCCCCAATAGACCATTTACTAACATATTCAAATTGCATGCATACTGTTTAAAGAAAGGTTGTTCTTGTCAAACCGTAAGCTTGCCTGACATAGTGACAAGTAATGTTTGCAGATTGGATTCTAAGTATTGTAGTTCATTAACAGTTTAATGGAAAACCTTGTCACTAGGTCCCAAGGGAAGAAACATCCATAAATTTGAATATGTAAGTAAACCGTCTATTATACTGTTGCGTTATCTTAAAAGACTCCAATGGGTATTGGAGTCAGTCCTTGACTCACCGGTCTGTTGTGCTAGCTTCTCCACAAGATGCTGTTCAATCCTTCCACCTCCCAGTAGCACCTTCCCATCATGCAGCGCCCCTTGTAGCCGTGCCATGCATGAATGAAGCCTTTGTTCTGCACCAGTTAAATGAGGTTCAGAGGGAGCACATAAGATGATGGTCTAGAAGGAAAATGGCAGAGAGAAATGTAAATAACAAAGAACCGCTGATGATACATGTGTGAATAAATGATTTTATTCTACTCATTGATTGTTTAGTTTCATTCCTTTTTCCAGCCATTTTTAAATTAGTGATTTGTTGTGTCTGAAACGCTGATACATGTGCGAATAAATGCTTTTATTCTACTGATAGTCGATTGTTTAATTTTCAATCCTTTTTCCAACCATTGCTAAATTTGTGATTTGTTGTGTCATATTATTTGAATGTACACTGTATATGAAAATGCTAGATTGAAATGTTCAAGTTGTTCTTAATAGGTCAGCCTCTCTCCTGATTTCCAATGTGAATATGAGAGAACAGCCAAGAATCTTTGCCACTTGTTGTTTCTCCAGGATTGTAGGGAGTCACAAATACATGCGCCATATTCATTATTATATCCCTTATCGTAAGATTGTTGCATTAGGAGTGTACACAACAACAAAAAGAATATTTTTATTATAAAAGACGTGACAAGCTTTTCGCCCAAGAAACATGGCCATCTGAATAGCACAATAACCCTGAGCAACAAATTCTTACCTTCACATTGCCAGGGCAGAACAAGCGAACATGATGTTGGATCTTCAGGTCTCTGGATCTTACTGTAGGGTGTGGGTCATATCCTGAAGACCAGTAAGACACCTTGATATTATCACATAAATCATCCTATAGGTAAAGCATGAGAGAGAGAGAGAGAGAGAGAGAGAGCACATATCATTTTCATTATCATTTTCATTATCATCATCATCATCACCATAATCCTCCTCCTCCTCCTCCTCCTCCTCATCACCTTCACCATCATCATACGTCGCCACTGTTGTATCTCTGATACACTATAACATGTGTGCTTTACCTGAGAGTTAAGGGAGTGTCCTTTCTACTTGGCTGCTAGTAGTGAAGTGGCTTGGAAGTTCAAAGCAGTTACATTCTTCCTATAGTGGTAATGGTATGTTATTCAGGTATCCATCTATTGTCCTATTGTCACTGGCTGCTATGTACATTACATTGGTATGCATTGCAGCTGGCATGTCTATTATGTTGTTCTATATACATAACAATCATCATAATCCTCCTCCTCCTCATCATTAAAATCAATATTATGTATTGCTATTTACCTGTAAGGCATCTGGAATGTAGGTTAAAAGGTTAGACTTGTGGACAGTCCCAAGTAGCTGCAGTAATCTATAAGGCACATGTTCCAGGATCAGTATATCATCAAAACAGCAGGCATCAACTAAGGAGGAGTCTACAGATCCACGAACCATCAGCATATTGACATTCAGCTGTAAGAATTCAAAGAGAGAATAAGAGACGTGAATAGACATTGTGATTCTATGATCTTTGTTTCTGTTTTCAACTTTATGGGTATCAAATAGAACAAGCATAATACAAGGAGATTCCATTAAAGGCACATTAATATTGACAAATTCTTAAGACACTTCAGATTCCCAGACACAATAGAGAAAGAGTAGGGATTCAGAAACAAGTTAACTTTTTGAAAGGTCTGCTGTGGTTACAATGTAAGGGGTTCACTTTATGGTCATTAACGAACTATGCAAATCAATAATTCTATTTTTAATTCAAAGAAAGCATTTCCTGTCATGTCTACCTGTAATTATCTTTAAAACTTCCACCTTTCACACACAGCAGTATTCCTCAGAAACTGAATATGTGACAGAACTTGACAAATGGGGGTCTTTTGCATGTTCCAGAAGTTGACCACAGCAGAAGAAGAGAAGAATTGTCTAATAATATCAGACATTCTGCTTTTCACGACTTAGCACTTCCCCTCGGATGTGATATTGGCTTTCCTCATCGACACTTCAAGAAAGTCTGAAAAACCTACTTTGATATCAGCAGAATGTTTAACTTTTCCTGTTCTGTGACAGAGGCTATGGGATTAGTTTCATGTCAAAGGACACCTTTATTTACATCTAGACACTAATTACCATCTTTAGTGAAGACAGGATTCGCTCAGTCCATACAGAATTAGGAGATGTCCCTGCCCAAGGAACATCTGATACAACGCTTGAAGATTTTAAGGAATCCTTGAATCCTCTGTGTCTGTATGATTCTTGTAAATCACTGTTGAGAAGCTGGATAAAGAAAAAGAAAAAAAATGATTGTGATTGTTCAGATGATTTCTTCCAAAGTGAGAAATGATGCTAAAAGATGTTGAGAATTCAGTGAGCAGAAATGGGTCGGATTGTATAAGTGATAATTCCAATTTCAATGAAATTAGAACACTGTAGTCACTGGTTTATATAGGTATAAAGCTGGCAGAGTACGCATTTATACATGTAGATCAGAGAAATATCTGCATAAGCACCAATAAGAAGTATTGATGCCCCTATAGCATTTTCAATGGAGACAATTGACATTTATTTTACCTCTTGATGTCATAAGAATAACTGTTCAGAATGCTAGCCCAAGAGATTCATGCCGAACAAAACCCAGCAAATACAAACCCTTGGAAAAGTCAGTTGTAACTGCATGCAGTCACCTTTGTGACTCTATTAAAGTTTGTGCTACTCCCAAGTCAAGATTGTACGAAAGACAGAGCTATAAATGGATCATGGATCGATACAGACAGCACACCTGAATGCCTTCCTATCCAGATTTTGTTGAGGTATTGAAAGATGCAGGGGTGATAGTGAGCACTAAAAAAAAAAAAAATGGCATCCAACAACATTCCATCCCTTTAGAGTAAGAAAAAATTGTGCAATAATAGGGAAAAATTGTGAAATAATAGGGAAAAATTGGGAAGAATAGAGAAAATAAGGGGAAAATCAGGATAAAATCGGGGAAGAAAAAAATTGGGAAAAATACAATACAATCGGGAAACCGATTTAAATCGGGTTTTTATCAGGCCTGAAGATGGGTCACTTACCAAAGCTACCATCCTTCTCCCTGTCACTGCCTGAAGCGTGATGAGCTGATTTTCAAGTACAGGCAGCACAAGACCATGGATGCAGCATGACGATGATGATGATGGACCTGTTAAGGTTTGGACGTGCACTAGGTCTGTGTTAAAGTCAAATCTGTAAAGTATGTAATAATATGAAACGTGGGAAGATGAGCCACAAGTCAAACCTGCTTTAGTGACCACCTGTCTACAAAGACCACATTTTTTGTTTCCCTTGAAAATGATTTCTCATTGAAACATGTACTAAAGGAATCTGTCTACAAGGACCACTTTTTATGTTTCCCTTGGGCGGTCACTATAGACAGGTTCAGCGCTCAAAATACACGGGGGCGGTGGGCGATTCGCCCCCATAGGCTACATAATCGCCCCCGTCAGGTTGTTCACGGGGGCGATTGTAAAATTAAAAATCGCCCCCGTGGAATTATAAAATAAAGATTATCTTTTCTGTTATAAAATAAACCTTAAACCAATGAAATGGAACTTAGATTAGCGTGCAAGATTTCTTGTTTTATGAGTAGGCCTAGTTATTACCGATTCAGCTCGCAGTGCAAACATTGCAAACAAAAAAGAAAACAAGGTTATTTAATAAAAGGATCATGTGACAAATAATCATTGTGATTCAAATTGATGCAAGGATTTTTTTTTGAATAAGCAATGCTTTTCACCAGAATCTTCTTTGTAAAAACAACTTTTACAAATCTCAGCCATGCAAATCTGCCACTGTGTTGTAAGATCACTTTCAGATTAGGAGAAGTGTATTCTTTAATGAGTATTTTACATTGAATGGAACGTCTCAACTCAGTAAGCATGGCTGAGATTTGTAAAAGTTGTTTTTACAAAGAAGATTCGGGTGAATAGCAGTGCTTATTCAAACAAATATTCGCATCAATTTGAATCACAATTATTATTTGTCGCTTAATCCCTTTTAATGACCTTGTTTTCTTTCTTGTTTGCAAGGGGAGAAGAAGATATGTCACGTTAAAGACATCATAAAGATCAGTGTTGTATGCGTATATATTATATACACAGGCCAGTAATAGCTATGTAGCTTGTAAATTGTAAGAGGGAAAATGCTGATTGAAATGATAATGATGAAATAGCAAATAATTGAGGAGTATCATAGGTACCAATTCAATGGATTTTTGTATACAAAAAGAGCCCCCGTCAGTACTAAAAGAGCCCCTGTGAGAAGGCTCACGGGGGCTCTTTTTTGGGGGGAAGAGCCCCCATGGACAAAAAATTAATTTGAGCCCTGGACAGGTTTGACTGTAATATAAAACATGAGAAGATGAGCTACAAGTACATTTACTCTTCAAGATATGCAACTACCAAGGGCAAAAAAGCAAATCAAAATGAAAAACCAAATAAACAATATCGCTGGTTGCATGCATTTGACAGAGCCAGAGAGATTCATTGGAATCATGCGAGCCTGATTGAGAACAGTTTCTATTAGAATGTATGAGGCATTATAAATGAATCATATGGACACAATTTTTTTTTAAAGGAAGTTTTTATCCATAAAATCTCACTGATCATACCTTTGAGGATCCTGACTTGCCATCAGCTGTACATGACAGGCTCCTATTGCCAACTTCATCTCTGCGACTGCACCATGGTTTAGACTATCCCTGTATAGAATTACGGAAAACAATAAGACATTGATTGAGTAAAGTCTAGCATTTCTAACAAATTTACCCAGTCACAAAGTACTATCCGAACTTTGACCCAGAAAATAAAAGATTGATATAGCAAAGTCTCCACCTAAAAACGTTATTAATCAGTAAACCTCTACAAAAATTACTGCAAAGAACAATCCAAATCTGTATTTGAGCTTGGTTACACTCTACAAATTGTCAGATTTTTGTTAGTAATTGCTGATTCATAAAACAAATTGTTGAAAAAAGAGTTTTTAAGTTGTTACAAATAAAATGGACACAATCTTTACCCAAGAGTTTCAATTTCACTTGATAGTTGTTCTTTTAAGGTTGTTTCCTCTGTCTTCATCAAATCATCTGCAAGGACTCCTGTCACATCTGAATTCTGAACGTGCATCCGGAAACTCTTCCCGACATTCTGTGTCGGCACATGATCCGATGAGGTTTCTCTCTGAGTCAACGTGGGAACAACTGATGTCTTTTCATCTTTCCTACAGCGCTCACCAAGTTTGCTAGAGTTCATTTTAGGCTTTCTGTCTCTCGAGGCTGTTTCAGAAGCCAGGGGTGATGCATAAGATTCTTGTTCGTCGGCCAGAAGGTGACGGCTCAAGATGCGACGAGATCCCTTCTGAAGTTTGGACGGTTTCTGTTCTATTGCACTTTTCAGCAGAGATTCCAATCTCTCCATACTCTTCATAGAAGAAGTTCTAGTGAAGGACTCTCCATTGCTTGGGACCTTATGACTTTGTTCCAGGACCGAATGCACATCTTTCCTGCACACTATCTGCTCAGTTTTCTCTTGATCTTGAACTGTTTTTGAATGTGGCTGTTCGTGTCGAGATTGTGATAAGCTTTCTCCTGTTTTCAATCTTTCCTCAGATTCTTTTGAGTCTGTCACTTTCAATGAAATATCCTTCCCTCTCTCTTCATGCATTGAACTAGAGATGGTCGTTTGACGATCATTACTATAACTTACAGAATCCGAGATAATGTGATTGTCTTCAAAGAACCATTCTACATCATCTTCATCATCTAGTTCTGCCACTGCTTTCTCAACACAACTGGACTTTTCCTGTTCACATCCCTGCAATGAGACCTCATCAAGTTTTCCAGCCAGATTACCTGTAGCTGTTGAATCAGTGTCCCATGCTTTGTCACTGTATCGAGAATCATTTTCAAAGAACCAACTAACATCATCAACATCATCTTCCTTCAATATTGCACTTGAGGTGGTGACTTTGGCACTGCTGGTTGAAAGAACTGTACTTGTATGCTTTTTCCCAGGGGAAGAGTTTGAGGAGTCAATGCCTGATTCACCTGAATGTTTCCGCTGTTCATGGTCATTGGATTCTGCAGGAGTGGCACTCTGGAATGGTGAATGGGACGGTAAGGCACAGCTATTATTGCTGTTCTGATTGAGGCTAACACTTTGCATCTCTCTAACCTCTGAACTCATAATAATCCCATGGTGAACAATTTGTTTTGCATTTGAACTCTGAAGTGAAGTTGAAGTGTTGAGCATCATCCTATCCCTTTCTTCATCCCTTTCAATCGTGACTGCCAGAGTTTTGGAGAGAGAATGAATGGAAATGGCAGATTGTTCAGCAATGTCTCTACATTCTTGAAGGAACTCATCTCCAACTCTGACGATATCTTGTATGGGAATATCCTGCAAGAAAAAATATATATATAATTTAAATATTTATTGGTTTACCCTTGACCTGACTTTTTTTTCTTTTAATACAGACAAAAAAGCAATTTGAAGCTAAATTGCCTCATATATTATCAACAAGAAAGATTTTAATAGCTTTTAATTATACCCGATAAATGTTGTATTGATTTAATAACGCTACTGTAGCTTAGATCAGACAAATGTCAAGGAAAAAAGAAATTTCAATGTTCATCTTCCTTCTTACTCCAAGATGTTCAGTAATATATATATATATGGGACACATTGATCAAATGCCTTAGACTTGTCTACAAATTACCATGAGTACACACAATGAGGATTCTACACAATTCATGTTACCGCATTTCTATGCATTCTATACGTGGAAAAATCAATGATATGAAAATTGATATCATAGTTCAAACTGAACAAATTACTTTGAAGGGAGTAATCTTAAGCATCCACACATATCCTCTACTGAACATACATGTATCTGGTAATTCTGGTTACCTGATTAAGTAATGACTGGACATTCGCAGCCCACAGTCCAGCAAGAGTGACCAGTGTTGTGCAGCCTGACCCATGGCGTTTGTGTTGGGACAAACAAAACTCTCTCACCAACTGACCAACAGGGTGCTGTTTAGGGTATATGAAAATAATTTTGCTTTAGTAAATGGGCACAAGCCTGGTAGAGATAAAACAAAAATATTTGAATGTGAATGCTTAGTCGTACCATTTGTTGTTTATTTACTACATGTAACTGGGGTGCACATAAACGGCAAATTATGCTATTAGAATAAATGTCTTGTTATTTCTTATGCAGTTGAAGAGTCATACACTTTTATTCACTCTGGGCTGTGCCAATTTGACCTCTAAGTTGCAGAGGTTACTACACCAAAATAAATCAGAAATTCATGGGAAAAATCTCGCCTACTGCAGGAAGAAAGTCACATCAGTGAAACGGACTGGTATTTAAGGTTATTTTTTTAATATAATCTACATGTGTGAGTGTCTTTATCAACAAGTGGCTGAATCTTAGCTACTTTTCATTGACATGTACATATATAACGGATTGCTATGGTTGCTGATTATGGTGCATATGAGATCATCTTTGACAATTACCTCAATATCCAGTCCCTGTAGTAGTTCATTTGTACTTGTCACCAACACTCCCTCATTGCTTTCTTCATCAAACAGGCACTTGACGCTTTGAAAAACAAAATTCAAATTATCAAACATAACTTTCAGGAGAGACTCTCGTTGAATAGAGGATCAAGAGGATGTACAGGATTTAAGAAAAATAATGCATTCTTTATCAATATCAGAATTTTTGACTCAAATTGTAATGGCAATATTTTAGAGAGTTGGAATACTCAGAAAAAAATATCACAAGTTACAAACACATTAACATCTTAATAGCATCAACAAAAAGAACCAATTTCTATCAAGATTTATCTTTGAATATTGCATATCAGGAGACATTACCTTCCAAACAATGAATACATTACTTACCCTTTAATTGGTCCCAAAAGAGATAAAACACAAGAACCTGTGTATAAAATACAATAAAAATGATTAATGAACTAAAAATATATACTGATGCTCAGTGAAGTTCCCTCCTGTATTCGACACTATACTGGTACATTGTAAGTGCAAGGTACATGAATAAGCAATACCAATATGACAACAAATAAAAAAAGAACTAGACTGGAAGTGTAGACAAAGAATATGAAATGTACACAGAAGAAATGGGTGAAAGTTGAAAAGGATGAAGAAAAAAATAGAACATAAAAAAGGATGAAGAGGATAGAGAGGAAGAAAAAGACAAAAAGACTAAGAATATTAAAGATGGAAGGAAGATGAAAATAGACCTACAACTAAATGAAAAGGAAAGTGAAGGTGTAGGGAAGGAAATTAGACAATGACACTACATGTAGTAATGTATTAGGCCTAAAATAGAAGATTTACGGCAGAAGGGGACACATTGAAGGAAGACAATGAGAGAAAGGGGTGAGATAAAGCAAGGCCAAGGGAGTGGAAAAGACAATTGATTGATGAACGAGAAAAGGGACTACACATACAGTGTTAGTTTAGGTCTACTGAATTTATCATAGAATATGTTGAAAAAGAACATTAGGCCACAACTGCACAAGCTTCATACATGCAACTTTGTTGAAACAATGAATGAAGTTGAACCAAACAAGAATTGACAAATTAATTTCATAGGACAATTATTGTAACGTGTTTATTAAACCGAGGGAAATTATAGCGGACCAAAATCAATCATCAAACACGCTGCATCAAAATCAATCTTAACTCTCCAACAAAACTCAAGTAACTCAGGACAGTAGATAAGACAACCTCACTTGAAGAAGGACAGAACAGAACTCCCTTTAAAGCGTATCTGCCATAGTTTACAGGAGGGATTAGACTGCCCTGCAAGGTCACTGGACAGGTGGTTATCTCATCAACTCAGCTCTCAGTTAACATAAGAAAAAGAGGATCATGGGGGACCAATGGTCACCGATTAGGCATGGTTTGTTATATAGAGGGCGCAAGTAGCTACAAGTAGTGCAGTGGGCCTTTAATCTCCCAAATTATAACATGTCTCTAAATACAAATCAGGCATCATAACAAAATACACCAATCAGGGAAAAGTCATGTGATAAGAGAAACCAATGAGGTGAACAGGCTAGATATAGATCAAAGGTGAGAGGCGAAAAGAACGAAAAAGAGAAAAAAAAGTGCATGTTGCTCAGGCAGGAAAAGGCAACCATGTATAGAGAATGAGAAGACAACAAAGGGAATGGGTTTGAAGGCGAGGAAGGAAAATAGGGTGTGGCAGTAGTGCAACTGAAAGACTGTGCTGTAAGAAGATGAATGAAAAGGGAACATGAGCTGGGAAAATATGCAAATGAAGAATGCAATTATTTAGTGGATAAGGAAGAAGGTAAGAAATTTACTAACTGAAATATAAAGACAAATTCAAACTGTTACATTATCTTTCCCATAATAAAAGAGAAAACAAATTAGATCTAGTCTAGACCCTAGTCTGTGCTGAAATTTCCAATCAGCAAAAGGACTAACACTCCCAGTAACATGCAAACTTGCAAGGCCAAGGATTTATACTTATACTTTTATAGCTTCATTAAATCAACAAAATTAAGGGGGAAATGGTAGAAACAATGACATTGATAAATAAATTTGATTGCCAATTTAGTTAATTGTGCAATGAAAAATGCACAACATGCACAATTTCAGTTGATTCATTGATGAAATATGTGCCCAAACTTAGGCCAAAGAAGGCTGAAGCAGTTTTGCTGGGATATAATTTTCATCAACAACAGAATACATCTTGATACTTTACCAATAATTTGTAGAGCAGAGAGGTTGGTGTGTCCAGATACTGGTAAGGATGCACTCATGTTTTAGTCATTTTGCAACAAAGCACGCATAGCATGCAGATCTTCAACTTCGAATTCAGTCACTGACTCAGGCCTCAGCTCAGCTCAGTTCGGCACGAACTGCAGCTTGCAGCTGTGAGATACCTCTAGTGCATCCGGTGCGGATGCGGGGATCCGGTAGCCTTGGCCAATCGTCTGCTTGTTTTCCGTTCCCTAGATCTAGATCTAGGGCTGGCCTAGCTCTGTGCGAGCACAAATGTCAAAATACACTTTTGTTGATGAAAATCATTTAAAAACTAATGATTAGGCCCTATATCACACTAAAACAGCAATGAACATATTCCTAAACTAAGGAAACAGCCTTTTATCTGTCAAGCTTTTAGCTTTTAATAGTTAAAAACATTTACAATTTCAGCGCGGATGTCTTACCGCTGTCGACGAATAGGTGAAATAGAATGAGCTGCGTTAACTATAGTCTAGCTCTTGATTTTTTGCAAAAATAATTTTGAATTATGTCCATATTACTTTCTTTCCAATTAAGAGTGAATATTTAAATAATGTATTACAGTTTATTTCAATCTTTTACCATATATGTACGTAATAAAAGAAAAATATTATGTTCAAATTATTTTTGTTAACATTGAACAATTCAAGATGGCTGCGCCCATGAGACATGTTCTGACTAAGAATCTTCTTCACAAATATATTAAAGTTGACGTTTGCGCGTCGAAATCATTATCATTTTGTAAGCATGGGTTTAATTTGAATCCAATATTAAGAGAAAACTGCAGTTCACTGTGTGAGAATGGCATTAGAAACATACATTCTTTACCGCCGCTGCTTCTAACGGAGAGAGCTCAGTCCTGTAGCCGGAACTTCGGGGGAGGTTTTCGGCAAGTAACCGCATCGTTCTTCACGGCCTCGCAATACAATACACGCCAGGGGCACCGTTTTTCTGGCTCTTCGCATCAGAAAAGTACCGGAAATTTTTCGTTGGCACTTGGAATAGGAGGTAGGGTAGATACCATGAATTGCCATTGTTTTAAAATAGACCCTTGGTCTAGAAAAATCTACACCAGTACAATTTTTGGCTAACATCATTCATATGCCCATGGCATATCATCAAGCCAAGCCCAATTCCAACTTCAGCTAAGCTAAGCTAGTAATAATCACTAGCTCTAGGCTAGGGCTAGGCATCAAATTCATTTCATTTTGTTGCACTAATTTCTACATTTCATTGTCTTTGATTTTGTTACAGAATCATTTAATTTTAAAATCTTTTGCAGATGTTACATGGTGTAGGTGGCCGTGGGTCTACTAAGTACTCACTATACTGCCACTAGTTCTTCGTTTCTTCACTAAAATTGCAATTGTTGTTGCTTTAATTTTATATTTAATTTTTCTAATGTCTGGATACACAACTTGTCCAGACACATAATGCCTGGTCTGACGAGTTGTAACTCTTTACCAGTTATAGTTAAGCCTAATATTTAATAGTTTTCCCATGATCCATTCTACTTCAGTTACATGCACCACCTCTTTAACAGTTTTAGTATCAAATCAAGATCAAGCAAAATAAGATTTGGTGTTATCTTAATGTAATTTTATTTCATACTCCATTGTGACTATATAGCTGATGTTTTCTTGTTATTTATTTTTCTATCCAGGTTTTGCCTTGTGCTCCGCTGGCCTTGCATTCACTTTCTGGCAGGACGACAATAAAGAGACGATAGAAAAAATGATCGCAAGAGCAGTGGTAAGGCTACCATCCTCGATCTGTTCAATGTTTTTTTAATATAACATAAAAGGATTTACATGAAAAGTTATGCATAGGGCCAGGGTCTTCCTTGAGTTGATTCAATGTGAATCATGATGATAATTAAAGGCCCGGTCACACAGAGGGGACGCATGGGGGACGCACGGCCAGCGCATTGGAAATTTGCAATGTGGGCCAGTGCGTTGTCGTTCGCTAGGCGTGCGTCATCATTCCTTACTCTTTCGTCGACCGCGCTGGACCCATGCTATGCATTCGTCGTCATTCGCTGTGTGCGTCGGGCATTTTTTGAGCATGCTCAAAAGTGTGCGCGGAGCTCGACGCATGAATGTTCACGCCAAAGGCCAGACATGCATGGAGCGCGCTAGACCAGCGCCAGACATATGCGGAGCACACTCCCTGCATGTATACGCACAGCGTGCTAGCTACACGCTGTGCATTTTGTGTCAGCTCGCTAGCTTTTCCAAAATCATGACAAAAGTTAGGCACACGGCCTTTTCCGATTTCCAATGCGCGGGCCGTGTGTCGTCTGTGTGACCACCTCTGTTGAGAACGTGGTGCATGCATGGACCATTTGTCCAGTGCGCTGCAACACGCTGTGCATTCATGGAAGTTGTTATCATGTGCGCTCTGTGTACGGTCTGTATGCGCACTGTATGCGTCCTTTATGCGCTCAGCCCGCTAGCAACACGCTATGCATTTGGTGTCAGTTCGCTTTAGCTTCGACAAAAGTTTTGGCGCACGACAAACGCACTGGCCAAAATTGCAAATTTCCAATGCGCTGGCCATGCGTTCCCCATGTGTCCCCTCTGTGTGACCGGGCCTTAAGGTAATTGATGTATCTTTTGGCAAACAAATTATTGGAGTTTTAGAATTTTTAGTACAAACAAAAAGGGGGAAGTAGATCTATGAATTATTTTTAACTAATTATCTTGAACCAAAAATACAATTTAAGGTTGTCTTTAAGTGCAAGTCAACATTTAATACAAGTCCAACTCTCAAATTCCAAATACTGCAATCCCAATCGGCTGAAAATCAAGATGTGTTAAATTTTAGTTTTAACTTACACATTTTTTTAAGGAAAAGTTTGATTTCTAAATTAGGGCACAGATAAATGCTGTTGACTTATATGAAAGTGTATACTAGTTAATTTAATTCAAACTTTTTACATGAGCAGTATAAATTTGTATTATTCATGTTTGTAATACTATTTTAAAGAAAGTATATCATGAATCGACATGATGATAACCAACATGTAATTTATACTCTTTCCATCTTGTATCCATAATGTTTGTTTTGAGTATCCAAAGTTCATTTCGCTCATAATATCTTAATTACTGTTCCTCATAGTGCTCTGATCAGTTTTTCTGTAATAGCGCTCAATAAGAATCAATTATTATTATTATTATTATACAGATAGCAGAGAGGGAGAATAGACTGGGAGATGCAGACACGTTCTACCATCAGGCGACTGTCATGTGTGAGAAGGAGAAAAACTCACAAGCTCTACTCTATACCTATGATCAGGTGAGGCCTTAACCCTAGTGTCTCTGAGTGCATTTGGTTTAAAGATTTAGTAGAATAAAGATATTTGAGTCTTATGAGGTGATACTCATTTGTACTGGGTTATTGAAACAAATAGAGTATATTGTAGGTAACAATTAAATGTACTAAAAAAAATACAAGAAATGGAGGCCTGAAATCTGATTAATAGATGTAATTGCCACCACAAAAATAGGCATATTGAATGATTACTGTACATGCGAGCTTGAAGGAGAAAAAAGATCAAATTGTGTGCTGAGAACCTGAAAGAATTAAGGGCATAAACTCTGAGCAGACAATATATGGTAAGGTGGAGTAATATGATATTAAAGGAAATGTTTCAATTTCTGCTTAAAATATCATTGTTTAACTCACTGAATAGTAAAATGCGAGGTAACTAGAGCAGAAGTTAATAACATGCATGTTTTATCAAAATCAATTCATATCTTGGGATAATATCAAACCCATTTTATCTTAATAGTTTGAACATATTTGTGGCTTACACCCAGTAAATAAGATTGATTGATCAATCGAACAAATATGTTCAAACTATTGAAATTTCTCCCAGGAAGCATAACCTTTATTTAAAAAAAATATTTTATCTTATTGTCCAAGATGGCTAACTTCAACATGAGGCATGGCAGGCTCATGAAGGCGGAGAACCTCTTCAAGGAGACTCTGAAGCTCCTGCTCACCTCAGGGATCCAGAAGGAAGATCCAGGAGTAGTGGAGATCTCCTTGAAGCTCTCCAGGATTTATGAGCGCATGGGAAGGTGAAACAAACAGATAGAATGGTCGAGAATCTATCAATTAGATATATATATAGGAGTGTTTTCTTTTTCAGTATGAGAAATCGCCTGTAATAATATTTAGGATTGAAGGACCCAATCATCCCAGAATATGGGACTTCTAATTGTTATAGACAACCCTAATCCAAATGATACATCCCACACATCTTACTTATTTTCTTGATGTTAACATAGGTATTTCTGAAGGGTCACTTTTAAGAGAACACTGATTATAATTTTTACAATAATAACATTGGTCACTGTGATGATCGCTTTTCTGAAAGATGTAGTAGTTTAGGACACCCTGTGGAAGCATACTATTTGGATAATTGCACATTCCAGAAAGTCCTTGCTTTACACTTTCCTTCTGGGTAAATGCTACCCATATCACCTGCTAAGGGCAAGTTAGTACATAAATTCACCTATTAGAGATCGGAAGATTTGAGTGGTAATAATTATGACATTAGTTGCTCTAGGTTCCAGGTTAATAATTGTCCAAGATAGTTGTTCAGTGGAAATTTAGATGGTTGTTTGGGGGATAATGGCAGAAACTCGAAGTTTATAATAAGTGTGAGATCTCCCTGCTTTTCAATCCACAAACAGAAATGATGAGGCAGATGTAGGATTCAAGTGGTGCATTGAAACATCAGAGAAGCTTCTCAAAGATACACCTGATGATTCAACAGAAGAAAGGTGACCATTTGGATCATACCTTTTGTTCCATTTGAAGATTAATATCATGTATTAATGTTGATAAAATTTGATTTATATCAAGACAATTACCCCCCCCCCCCCATGTTCATTAAAGGGGAAGTTCACCCTGATAATAATTTGGTTTTAAAGGTAAAGACCAGTATTGGAAACGCCCCAATTTCAAAAAATGAAATGGAAGCTCTCATTACCAATCATGTGAAAGAATATGTTTGGACTAATACATGATGATAAAAAATTTGCCGGGAAACCGCCTACTAATCCATATATTTGGTAAATTTGTTTCTCTCATGGTCTGTGAGAGATATAGGGTAGTCCCATATACATCTTTCTGTGTATAGTGCTTGTAACTTTACGAAGAATGGGCCAAATTTCTTATCATTTTGATGATTCCAGAACCTTGCAGATGCTAGATGCTAGATGATCAACCTTTTCTGATCGATTCCACAACGTTTCTTTCACAATGCAATCGCATGACCATAACTGGTCTTTACCTTTAATAAAAGAAGATTTCTTTTTTGAGATCTCTATGAATTTCATTATTGAGTTCTGATATCCAAGGCTTCTATCAGGATCAATATATTCAGATGGAACAAAGGGCAGTTAATTATGATTTGGGAAATGATAAATGTTACAATTCCCATGTGGTTGTAAGGCTCAAAATGAGGCCACGAACGTTCCTGAATTCCATGACAGCAATTCAGAATATGATAAACTTGGTATTTCAAAGCAGAAAACTGTAAGGGGAACATTTCTAAAAACAGTGTGGTGAAATATATCTGGAGTTGCAAAGTTACCAGAAAATCTGAAATAATGAAGCTCTGTCAAAAATATATGTTACAGAATATTCAGTAACAAAATATGGTATTAATTTATCCTTGTTCAAGATGTATTTTGCTGTATGTCAATGCCTTTATCCCTTCTTTTATTTGATCTACAGCCATGCCAAGATTATGAACCTGAAATCCCTGCTAGGTATGTGTCTGGATGCCTATGCAAGGTTCCTGGGTGCAACGAACAGCCTAGCTGAGGCAGAGAGGATGTACTCGAGAGCCTTGGAGATCTGTGAAGGTGACCTCAAGGTCGATGGTACACCACACCCACAGGTATGCATGCAATAACTTGCTTGTACGTATATGCTCTTCGGGAAATTTGCAGGGATAGATCCAGGATTGTTTGAAAGGAAGGGGGGGGGGGGTCAACATTTTTCCAGAAAGTAATAGTTTCCCAGGAACATGAAATTCTATTGACCATATCCAGTTGGATGAAAGTAAAATATATCTCTTATAGTAAAAAAGAGGTCTCAAATGTCATGGATTACCTCTAAAAATATCAGAGTGAAAAAATAGCAAAAAATAAACAAACAACAAACAAATAGAATGGTCCTCTGATTAGTCTTTATCAGATTATGCCAGAGGCCTGAGTCGAGGGGCATGATATCATTTCAAGATCACAGTCTGGGTCTGTTTTGTATGTTTGTTTGTTTTGCTGCATAATAGCAAACAGCTCAGCTCAGTTGAAATGAATATAAATTAATAAAATGAATAGAGTTATGTCCTTATTGGTAGTCAAAGACTTAGAATTCCATGTCCCTAAAATGTCACCCTTGTCTCTTATCATTCTGAAGGTATAACAAATCTATCCATTTTTCTATTGCTTACCAAAGACAGTTGTTTTACTGAATGACCTTGCAACCATCTGTGATATGAGAGGTCATCGTGATGATGCTATAGAGCATGTTCAAAGAGCAGTAGAACTGGCCGAGAAATCGTCCCCAACAGTTTTACCGACCATCCTCTGTAATCTGGCTTCCATGAAGATGCATAAAGGTAAATAGGAACGTGAAAACTGTCTTGTTACATGTTTATTTTATTTATTTAATTATTTCACATATTCATACAGGGTATCTCATTCAGATTAAAAACTGGTCTTCCATAAGGCCCTGTCTCAATAAAAATACACATATATACAAATTTATCAAAACAAAATCATACATATAACAATAGGAAGAAAAAGACAACAAATTGAATAATAAAGCATATTAACATCGAAGCACAATGATAAACAAGTAAAACTAACAATATGAAATAAGTTATGATAAAACAATGATCTTTCATGTTGCCCTGCTTTGTAAAAATACAAATAGATATGCAAAATGTTTCCATATATAATATCGTGAGAGAAATACGACAACAAATATAGTAAAGGTAAGATCATATTAAAGGTAAATAATGATACAATATAATATTAAAATGACCTTTGTATTAAAAACAGGAAGTGAGACACCGCTCATATAATATTGCAAAAGTGCAAGAAAGGTCAGATTTAACGATGTATTGTTCTTGTGCAGCAATTCAAAAGTCAGGGCCTCTATTTAGGACATGAGAAGTTACAAGCCCTTTCCTTCATTCTGTAGCTTTTTAATAGAAAATTAGACAGCTGTGTTGGAGCTGCTCGAAATAGTTGGGAACATAATTATACAGCCTAGCAGTTGTGTACACTGTAGCATGGGTGCAAACATGGAGGGGACATTGGTGCCATGGCGAACAAATCTGTTAAATGAGGGAAGTGTGTTGTAGGGTTCATATCCTCTACTTTTCTTGTTGCTTTCCCTCTTATAATGTATGACTCTCTTTTCTATACTAAGCATATCCACAATATATAAATGCCTATGAATCTTTCTTCTTGCTCATTTTCTTTACAGTCTTACAGTCCTCTGTCTTTTTAACCCTGACCTATTCCCTCTTTCATTCCCTTTTTTCTATCCCCTTTCCCTGCAACCCATCTCCTGTTTTTGTTTTGTGATGGGTAGGGAAGCAAATACCCCTTTACACCTCCCCCTCCCTCCCCATATGCCACTGAACACTAGTCAAAAACTTTGTCCCCATAATTATCTGTCCTTGCTTATTTCATTGTCTAAAGGTCTGAAGGAAGAAGCAAGAGCCATATACAAGATCTCTCCCACCTCTCCCCCATATGCCACTGCAACCTAGTCAAACGCCTTGTCCCGATAATTCTTTGTCCTTGTTTATTTCATTGTCTGTAGGTCTGAAGGACGAAGCAAGAGAAATCTACAAGAGAGCATTGGCACTAGCTGAGAAAGAAGGTGATCGGGAAGCAGTCATCACCATTCGAGCAAACTTGCAGAAGGTCTTATGACAAAGTCCCACGGCATGATATTCTATCTTTATAGACGGTCTCCCCATTCAGATATGGAAAATTGTATGTCTTATGACAGCATCCAATAGCAGGATACTATATCGTGGGGTCAGTGACCCAAAGTCGGAACTCCATTTTAGCCATTTTGAGAAAAAGTGGTTTATGTGTCACTGAGCACTTGGGCCTTAAGAAGTTAAGGCTATGCTTCACTAGCCATTGACTTCAATGGGGGTGTTGGGTGCAGTTAAGTCTTTGTGTTTCCTGGAAAGCCCACATTTTTCTGAACATTTTGATATCAAATACTCATTTTGGCAAAATATGGAGTTACGTCTTTGTGTCACTGAATCCTTGATATCTGTTTGTTGGGAAGCATTCATCATCATATGAGCTAGCCTACAGAAAGTCTTGTGACAAATACTGGTAGTATGATCCTAAATCTCTATCAGGAGGCAGTGATCATCATCAGACCTTATCTGCAGAATTTCTTATGCCAACCACCGATAGTATGATACTGCATGTATATCTTTATATTGGGAGGCAGTGATTTACAACAGTGGAAACCTGCAGAAAGTCTTATTATGACGAAACATCCAGTAGCATAATATTTATACTTCTGTGGACTATCTCAGTATTGAGATGTGGAATTTTTAAAGTTGAATTTCATTGTTTTAACGCTTTAGTGGCACAATGGCTTTTGCATCGTTTTCATGTATTTAAGAACTCAATAAGGAATCAAGGTTAATAAAACTACTTAGTTCTTGTATAGCGCAAAGCACATATTTATCTTTGTGCATTTCCAAAGCGCTTTCGATTATTACCCTGGCTCATATGTTTTTATTTTAATGAATACAATGTATTTGTACAGGAGGGGTCTATTCTGCATGGGAAAACTAACAAGTGAAATCTAAAGCCAAAGAAGATGGAGTCAAGTTCACAATGACTTGCTTTTCAGTCATGAGCCGTTTTAGACCCAGTTTGACAGAATTGAATTGTACATGTGCATTGTGAATGTTTCCTCATGTAGAATGACATGAAGATTTTATGAAGTCTATTTTAGATTTATAAGAACAAGAGAGATCTCAAATGAAAAGCCATGTTGAAGGAAATGAATAAAATAATCTCCATTGCTTTGACAATAAATCAGATTTTTATGAAGACATTACAGAAAAAAGTGGTCTATGCTCGTTTTTGCTGCACAGTTTCCCACCCCTCCCCCTCTCTCTGTCCCTTCCTTCCTCTCTCTCTCTCTCATATCTTTCTGAATCAAACTTTTTAAGTCCCTTATATTTCTGTATCTCTCCTTTTCCTTCTTCATCTCCTTCTTCAGCTGTCACTTGACTCACTTGCCTTTTCTCGTGTTTGGCCGGCCAACACTGAACAATCATACCGGTAGTTCTACATTTTTCTTGTAAAAGTTTCCTGTATAAATCCACCCCATGCATGTTCCATTTCTGTGTATGAAAATCGAACATGAAATTGTAAAAAATGCAATTGACATACAACGCACATTACACAGGTTTTTAATATAGAATACTTCACAATTTTATTCATAAAACTTCTAACAAATAATTAAATATTGGAGTACTCCAATACAATAGCAAACAAGAAATGGATGTGCGAACATATTCTCCAGCAACAACTGCTCTGGACTTTATTCTGCCAAAGATATTGGGTTAGGATTGCAATCAGGTATTAGGTTAGGTGTAGGTTAGGGTTGGGTTCAATGTTCGGTCCAGGTTAGAATGATGAATTCTGTTAGTGTATAATATTGACTGAGGAGCAATTGTTGCAGGAGCATGTGTTGTACAACCAAGAAATGATGGCAAAACTTTCTATAATTTCAAGTTCACTAAAATAAAATATCCCTGCAGCAGTAATGATATTAAATTCCCAATTCCCTAATTAATTCTCACATTTAGTTGAAGAAGGGACTTAAAGGAAATAATCAAAAACATCAAACAAATTTACAATGAATATTTAAAACCACAAGAATATTATATCAAATAATTTTAAATGTAAAGTACATGTCTATAGTTCAATAGTGTTCATCATCTCGTTGTGAGAAAAATGGAATTATGACAGAATAAAACAAATTTACAATGAATACTTGAACAAGGCAAATGCAACTGTCTCCAATATACGTTTGCCTAAGTACAGTTAAGTTCATGGCTTGAATTATTCTTGGAATATCACGATGTAAGCAAAAAGGCTGTACTCAAATGTCTATTGATCTTTACAACCTTTAACCTGATAATCCGAAAATATGATCGCTTGTCTTCCTATAGTGATGCATACTAGTTTCATGCTTCAAGTTCACAGCAAAAATAGCTTTAATTAGTTATTGATTTGGCCATACTAGGTTAAAAACAACCAAATCACTTTAACTTCATGTAAATTCACTTGCTGACCCTTGATATTTAATCAATTTGCTTCACTATGGTGATGCACATTAATACCCAGTTTGAAGTTCATGGCTCAAATCTTTCTTGAGACATTGCATTAACAGGGATATAAATACAATGATATTTACTCCATGATCAACAAAACAAAATGATTCATAGACAGTTTCTATTTAAACCAAAAAATATTAAAAATGCAACTTCAAATAAAAGGAATGTGCAATACCATCCCATCAATTTGGAACAGCCAATATAATACATGAGAAATTTCACAACATTTACATTATTTCAGACGTGTGTCAACAAGAATCATATATATGATATATTTGATGGTTTGTTACATCTACTAATTGAACAACTACAAACAATATCACTTTAATATATTCAAAAGAATTGTTATGTCCATACTGAATAAGTACAACAAAAATAAATCTAAAATAAAAATTATATCCACCACAATATAACAAACATTTCACAAATTAACATTGCAATTTAAACTAGAATTTTGTAAAAAGTGATAAAGAAAATTTTAAATCTCTATTGTTAGCGTTGATTGAAATGGCAAGCTGGTTTATCAATTTTGAAATGGACATATACTGTATCATAGAACAATATCAATATGAACTACATGTATGTTTTGCCTAAAGACTGAAAAGATGGGTTCGCAGCATATTTTTGTGTGATATATCTATGTACATGCATTTGTAAAATTAGTGGTACTCACTGTATGGATTGAATAACATATATACCACACCATTATGAAAAGAAAGGCTTCTTATAAGCGCACTTCCGATTTATACAAAACAATTGACGATCAACCTCCAAAAGTTGTTGACACAAGATAGACAATCACTGCCCAGTGCATAAACTGAATGTAATTATGGCTATTGATATTAATTCATTAATATGAGCATCGATTATTATCAATAATCAATTATTAATCATAATTTCAAGACATATAATGGCCTTCACCGTAACTTCACAAATTTCAAGCATTTACAAGGAATTTACAGCAAAACTTACCGGTAAGTCTTATTGATGTACATGTATAAAATACAGAAAGGAGGATAAGGCTAAAAGAAACACCCTGAAATATATTGAGGTGAAGTGGTAAACTAGCAATGCCCAATGTACAATTTAATGTATAACGTCCAATAGTTGTAACTGTACAAATTTAAATTTGAAAACAATTTTAGGCCACCGAGACCGACACCAGTCTTACAACATAATTACAATTACATCATCCCCAGTAGCCATAAATGTGGAGTTGATCTGGCACGTGACTGGGTTATAATGATGTAGAGAATAGATAGATGGAGATAAGACTTATGTTCTTGTTGGTAATAGAAGGGAATAATAACAAGTCATGGCATACATATTTGGTCTTTTCGATATACAAAATGCTTCTTGAAAGAATTATGGTAAGAATTCTGAGCATCTTGAAGTATCTGATAATGATAAATTGAGAACAGGCATGGTATACACATTTGATCTATTTTGATGTACAAACACTCCTGAAAAAAGTAATAGATTAATGGTTCTAAATGCTTCTTGAAAGAAATATGGTAAGAATTTTGAGCACCTTGAAGTATCTAGGCTCGCGATACCATGACAGGTTTTCACATACACATATCCGGCAACTAAACCATGAACATGACCGTATATATACTCCCAGAAAATAAATTGAAGGGCACTTTCAATAGCCTATTGCATTGCATACAGCAAACATGTTGGGATTATGTAATATTTCATTGTAATAATTGCACATTTCAAAAAGTGATGCATATGGCTATTGGAAATTACCTGAGGTTGATGTTTCAAGTCTTTTTGATCCTGTTCAAAATAATTATAATAATTTTGATTTATATAGCGCTTAATACGAAACAATGTGTCTAAGTGCTTTACAGATATTATTGCCCCAGTTCATGTGCATTGTGCACCATCTCCACTCCCTAGGGAGTATTCCTACCATATGGTCACTTTAGTCATTGACAAACAGCAGAATAAATCATAGTGACAATTCTGGACCCTTCAGCAAAAAATATCTCTTGTTTTTTCCATCATGCATTGTATTTATATGTTACATCAAAATTAATTGTAATGCAACTATTGAATGAAGGAGATACAATTGATTTTGATTTTGTGGAGATACACTCAATCATAGCTCTTTATGTTACATGGCCCTGAGCTTATAGTTTTATACCTGTGTGAATGAATGCATGAAGTTCTTGAACATTGTACATTTGTCGGCCACTTCACTGACCAACAAAGAAACAGAATGGGTGATGCAAACGCTGGTGATGATCAGGGCTCATAGTTTTGAAGCAGTCTGCATAGTAATGTCTCGAATCTGTATGAGGGACTGAGTTACATGCTTGAAAATTGCATGATTGTCTGTCTCTGAGCTGTTCTTGTATGTCACCACAGCGAACTCAATCCTAGAAAGAAAAAAAAAAGAGACCAACTAGGATTATCTTGCTTATCATCAGCGAAATTCTGTTCCATATTCTATTTGGCCAAAGCATTTAAGCAGAGAAGGTGTATGTATACCCTAATGGTTTAAAGGGATTGGGTAACTTTGTCTCAGATTCTGAAACAAAATTCTGGATTTAGCTCATGCTGCAATGATAATTATATACCTTTAGGTCAGTCAGGAACCCAATGATTTTTACAAGCCGATTGCCTGTCTGATTTTCAAGATATTTATGATTGGAATTACAAATTTTGACAACCGTTAACATTACAGTCTATTGGGGAAAACGAGTATGGTAAAACCGGTCACTCAATTTTTAAAAATTTTTGAAGGCACTTATTGATAATTTTGAAACGCAATTTTTTTACGGCTTCAATATTACGCCATATCACAGACACTAATAACACGTAGGGCCGTGTATCTCAGATTTAACATTGTTAAACGATCCCTTTAAGGGAAGGTGTATGTATACCCTAATGGTTTAGCTGGACTGGCTAGGACAGCATGGTGGTAAATGCTTAAACCCCTAATAATAATGAGGTGCTATTAAAAGCATACCGGTACTACAAGTAATTTCTCCTCACCAGGAACCCATTCCCAGAGCTACTAACCTTGTGCGACCAAAAAAAGGAACCATGATGATGACCATGCGCAGCACTTCCAATGCAGACATTTCCATTCCTCATGCTGTTTTTTTTCCATACAAGCAGATATTTTTTTGTGGTTATTTTGGTATTATCGGCATTTCATTCTTTTTGAGAAAATTTTTATCTTTAAGTATGTTTTAAACTTAGTTTTCTATTGAATTTGTGATCAAATCAACATTTTAGGGCAGTTGTTTGACATGTGGTATGTAAAAAAAAAAAGTTTAAAAAAAACGTATTTTATGAAGAAAAAACGTACTAGCGTAATTTGGAGGAAAAAAGAGTAATTCCGGCAAAAACGGAATGGTTGGCAGCTCTGCATTCCTTTCATCTATGTCGAGAGTGGCAAAACGTAGATGAAAGTGTTTTCAATAGACGCTAGCTAGGGATTTGAACCCCAAACTGTTTGTAAGACAAATGCTCCAGTGAAAATTACTCTCCGGTGACAGTGAAAATTTCTGAACCTAACTGAATTCATATTTTACCTAACCTTAACCCTGCATTTAAACCTAACCTAAACCCAATGACAACCATGATCTTAGACCTGTATCTGTGACAAAGCAAAGCCCATAGCCCATGTTGCTGGCCAGAACAGGGACCCATTTCACAAAGCGTTTTTTCAATGACAAATGACAAAAATCAGTGACAATTCTGCTGATAACCAATCAGAACCAAGGATTTCAGTAGCTTATAACAAAGACTGTCATTTGTCACTGATGACAAGTTTTGTGAAATGTCCCCCAGGTGTTGGATCACCCATATACCAAGAGGTCTATAGTCCCATGAGCTATCAGCTAGGAAATGATTGCCTGGTACTTACTTGTCTGTGAGGATGCGATAGCTGAAGAAGTATCCATCCTGACACATGGGTGGCACCATACCAAGGCATGGCTTGTACCCTGATAGGCTGGTAGAAAGAACAAAGTTACCCCCTCCTCCACTGGAATGAAAAACAGTGAGCAAAGAACATTGATGAAAACATGTTTATGGTGGTTCACATGCAGCCAGTAAACCTAAATATATGTGAGACTAGGAAACCTAATATGGGTGCACCATACCAAGGCATGGCTTGTACCCTGATAGGCTGGTAAAGTTACCCCCTCCTCCACTGGAATGAAAAAGAGTGAGTAGAGTACATTGAAGAAAACATGTCTATATGGTTGTATGCAAGCAGCCAGGAAACCTAAATATATGAGAGATTCAGAAACCTACTATCGGGCCCGGCCCAACCCCCCCCCCCCCCCACTCCGGGGTCGGAGGGACCGCGTGCGTGTTCCCAAAATGCCTGGTAAATCGGTACATTTCATGCACCAAAGTCCGGCTCGTAGTACACAAAAATCTGGCCTGTATTGACTTTACAAGCCAGACTTAGGGGGGTGTTTTCAAAAGGAGGGAACATGCATACACGTGCATACGTGCATACACATGCATATACGCGTGCTATTGGGGCATCGGGTAAGTCTTATGCAACAGGGTCCTGATGTCTGGAGTTGGCATTTCATCTCCTCTGAGATAAGACTCACCTAACATTCATCTATCCATGCTTTCATACAAATATATTTAAAAAGTGACCTTTGACCAATGAACCTTGACCTCCTACCCTTTGAATAACATGAATCTTGATAGATGTCTGGAGGTGGCATTCCCATCTCTTCTTCAAACGGCCTTCATTTATTAATGCATTCATACAAAGGTATTTAAAAATTGACCTTTGACCCATGAACCTTGACCTCATTACCTTTTGACGAACCCTGGATCTAGGAAGATTTCTGGAGGGGGAATTCCCATCTCATCTGAGATGAAGTAGAGACCTAGGAGATGTCTGTCACATCCTTTGTTCTGCATGGCATCGCTCATTGATTCAAAGTGCTTGATGTACGCTGCCTTGAAGAGTTCAACTTGCTCTGCTCTCTGCAAGTTATTAATAATAATCATAACATTCCGGATTAAATATAAAGGTGAGTTCTGGTAATGCAATTGCATTGTGAAAGAAAAGATGTGGAATGGATCAAAAACAGTTGATCATGTAGCATGTACTGTAAGTATTGGTGTGCACTGCAAGGTCCTGGAGTCATCAAAATCATAATGCATTTGACCCAGTCTTGATAAAGTAACAAACACTGTACACAGAAAGATGTATATGGGACTACACAAATGGTGTCGGGGGCTAGCTAACCTTGATTTCCTCATTACTCAGCCAGTATACATTTTCTTCCAAAATTGTTTGGCCCATGAAATTTATTTGTAATCTTGAACATTCAGTGTAAGTCTTGTTTGATTCTGTGAAAATTCATTTTCTTTTTTTTACCAGAACTCAAGTTTATCTTTAATGTTGTGTGTTATAAGTGATATCTGTCTCATCTTCTGTTCTGCATGAGACCACTCCTTATTGAGAAGTGTTTGAGGTATGCTGCCTTCAAGAGTTCAGCCTGCTCTGTTTCCTGTATCCAGTAGAGTAGAGGAGTAGAGGTGTCGTGGTCCAATGGATATGTCACCACGACACTAAAGTCTTTTGGCAAGATATTAATATACATTTGCCACACTCAACCCAGGTGAGGTAAATTCCTTGAATGCTTGAGTGCCTTTTCATGGTAGCTTGGCTATAATATTATGATTGCAGTGCCCTAAGGGAGAATTTTTTAAAAAAAATTCTGCTTTTATGGACTTACCCTTTAGAAAGTTGATGCTTTGAATAAAAATATCATATTTTCATTTCATAATGTGTTGTTAAAAGATATATCTAACAACCCTTTTTTTTAAACTCACTGTTGCATTTGGATCCATCATTGCCTTGCACCAAGCCAGTGATTCTGAAGAGCATGACCTGCATGTCTCTGTACGGCCGTGGTTGAACTGCCTTGTGGTAGCCGTCTCGTATGTTGCAGCAGGCCTGTACGGGAGAAGATCGTAGGATTAACTGTTTGTAGAGCAAATGAATGAATAAATCAATTAAAGTTGCTCAAGCTTAGGTATATAGAGGGCAGCACACTGAGCCAATGGGTATTACGCTCCTGTACATACTAGTGTCCCTTTTTGCGTACGTTCGTACGGGATCGTAATACCCGTTGGCTCAGTGTTAGCCAAGTTGCCTACTTCACAAACAACTATATACCGATGTATGAACATCTTTAATGAAGGAGTAGATTCAAAAATATGTAAATAAGCAAGAACTAACTAACTACATGAATAAATTAATTAAAAACAAAAAACAATTAAAACAGCAAGTCTAAGGTACAATGTATTTGGCCTTCAGGCATCCCATCCATTACCAAGTATTATTATTTTGAATCATGGGGTCATCACGTCGGGTCGGGTATATTGCGAAAGGATGCCCCTTTATTCACGAAATGTGAGGGGTAATGTTTGTGAATGAAGCCCCTCTCATCTACAACATGGTCTGGTCCAATGGACCCAACACTTTGTGAAAATCCTACAGCAGATCTACCAAAGGTTACTTCTGAAGTGCATCTCCGCATGATCTTTCGTTTACGTTTCACAGAGGGCCATGTAACACGACCATGACACGAACACGATGCAATGACTGATGATTCAAAGTAAACCATGCTGAACATAAATTGACATCACCATGTGATGTCACTTTATCTCAGTTCTAGTAGGGCTATTATAACCACATGTAGCTTGGATTTGCAAAAAACATAGAAAAAGACCATAGGGAGCAAGAATTGAAAATGTTACCTTCCATACATCCTGTAGTACGCGAGCTGGATGGCTAGCTGACACAAGAAATCTGGATGGATACGATACTGCTTACACCAGTCCTTGCCCAGGTTCAGGAAATAGCTGCACAGAATGTCTACATTATCCACCTTAGAATATGAACAACAGAGAGATGGGAGCTAAAAATGAGTCAAACTTATTCATGAACCATCAGGGGGTAATGTTTGTGAAATAAAACCCTCTCATCTACAAATGGTCTACCGAATGTCCACTATACCCGACACTTTGTGAAAACCCTACAGCAAATCTTTGAAAGGTTGTGTGACGCGACCATCCAACAGGACACAATGGCCCGATAGTTTGAATCCTAAGCCTAAGACAACTCTGTCGTAACCCCATCACAAAGTATACTTTGAACAAATTAACTCATGCCGCAAGATTTAAATAATGCTTAAATAATCAAAGTCCAACAAACCTGTGTCGTTCACACTTACCATTCTGTAATGAGTTTCCTCTGCTGTTACGATCGCGGCTTCAATGGCTGAGTCTGTGACAAAGACTAGTTCTTGAGGCTGGGCTAAATCACCCCTGACCTCACAGTCTGAATCCTGTTCAAAGAAACAAACAAAAATGAAACAAGACATGAAACTATATTGATAAAATAAATGAATTAAATATATGAATAAAGAAAGAAAGAAAGAAAGAAAAAAGAAAAAGAAAGAAAGGAAGAAATTAGGGGCTATAATATAGAACATACAGATAATATTTGGTCTTCAAAGCATTTCTTTTACTCTCTTACTTCAATTTTTTTTTAAATATTCTACCATATCATGTTATGTTAATTTTCTGAATAAAAAAAACACAAAGACAGAATCAGAAAATCACATCATAATGCCACAGATCCATACAGTTCATGCATTTATTCTTTGAATTTGGGGACATCATTATATAATCACATTTCAAATTTGAATGAACTTTTGAACTTTAGCATTACATAGATGATGAAGTAGATAAGGCTTGATATCCAGCGCTAACTGGTTCCTTGTAAATTACATTCCTTCTTGTTTACAAATCTTAGCCAAGTAATCAACTCCTCAGTTATTTCATGTAGATTTCTTCCATCCTGTAATTTACAAGCATGCTCTTATCACACATTCTATTGGTGTAAATTACATCATTGTGTGTGTAAATTACATACTCGGTATGTCCGGTGTAAAATACATCCTGTCAATCAAGTTACCTAACTTGATCTATGACCTAGTTTTTCTCTTTAACAAGCTGAAGATCAATGACACTGGTATAAATGGGGTCAAGCCCATTAAGGACCCCTATTCATAAGAACCACTATTCATAAGGACCACTATCCATAATGTGTGACTAAATGAATAGCGGTCCTTTATTAGTAGCAGTCCTTATAAATAGCGAGCAGAACCCTATAAATGCACTCACACATAAATCCCCAGATATTTTAAATGAAAATGCTAATATCAATTATCAATTTTTTATATTAACAATCTCTTCAAGGGTTTAAAAATTTGTTCAAAATCTATTCAAAGCCTGTCTGCACTAGTTTGGCCAGGAGGAATTAGACCTCCCTGCATGGTCACTGACAGGTGGCTATCTCATCAAATCAGCTCTCAATTAACATAAGAAAAAGGGGATCATGGCCGGGGGACCAACTGGTACCGCTTAGGCATGGCCGGGGGACCAACTGGTACCGCTTAGGCATTGTTTGCTATATAGAGGGCGCAAGTAGCTACAGCTTTAATGCTTCAAATAGAGTAATACAAATCTCTTCAATGGCTTCAAAATTATTCAAACCTGTCTAATGGCTTAACAAGTTTGATTAAAATCTTTTCAGTATTAAATCACAATTTTCTGGTTTGACCGAAACATAAATTGCAGTTAAATTAATTAGTCTGAGGTCTTGCATCATTTTTCATATTCAGTGCAATCTGTGTTGTCATATGAACTGACATGCCGTTTACTTACCGGCCATACTCCTCCAGTCTTTTCCAACTTGACGTAGCCCCAGTATATCATTTCAACACATATCATTGCATCAAATGGAGCATGCTTTGAGGTCCAAAACAAAATGAAAGAAAAATGAAAATATGAACAATAAAAAGTTATATATAATATCCTCATCTATTTCACACAATACACTTAAAAATTATAATTTCATTTAAAAATGTAATACTAACATATACAAGTCACATATTCACATATTTAGTTGCCATTTACTTCAGGAGAAAACCTTTTTTATTAACAAATCAGTCTTTTACACAGGCCCTGTATTACAAACAAAATTTAAATTCAAATATTGAAATACATAATTAGCAATGAATTACGCATGTGAGTGTCAATGAGAAGAAGAAGAGGTGCTTAGTTCATTTTAATTTCATGAATTCTATTCTCGATCCTTCACTAGCCTACCCCCCCCCCCCCCCAGCTAATAAAGTTCATATATTGTAAACCAGGAACATTTGACATCCCAACACCATACAACTCTAATTCGTAAGAGTTTCAAAATGCAAAAAAACTACCTCCATCATAGAATTACAATTTTCACTACGCAAATTTTTCATTTAAACTAATTAAAATAATAGTTCACAAAAGTTTGTGGATTTAAAGTTTGTACACTTCTCTGTTTGATTTGTACCCGTTTTATTTGGCTTATATTCGTCCTTTATTCTTCTCTTTTTATAATTCATATGTTGTATTCTACTCCAATGGTAGTTTTGTGTTTCATGTTGATTCCAAATGCATGAGGCGCCTTGCCACTCTTATTCGTTATTATCATTATTATTATTATTATTAATCTATCGGAACTTACATCACTGATGCACGAAAGAGAACCATTCTTGTTGCAAATCAGAAGAACACTTTTGTCCAGCCAGTGATTGTGGACGTTTCTGCCACTCATTGCAGCTTGAACAAGCTGCAAAAGCCAAAACAAATTGGAAGAACAAATTTCAAAGTATTTACAATCTGAAGATCAAATTGTGGATATGCCATAAACATGTATACAGTATGTATCAATATTAAGCAGATATTTTTTGTAAAACAAAGACGGTTCAGTTGCTAGAGCCCTTGCTTCTTAAAAGTCTCCTTTAGATATGACATGGCAAAAGCAGTGTTTTTTTTTAAATGATAAATTAAAGAGCAACCTGCTTCAGAATTTCTGTATCTCATAACACAGAGCTAAGTGTACAATGTAGAACCACAAATCAAGATGAATGTGTCTGTATCTTCAAAAATAATAACGCTCTGACTGGTATGCCTTCGGTAGGCCGATACATCAAATGGGTTCTAGGACACCTACCCCCTGGACATCCACCCCCCCAGATAACCACCCCCAGTCAAATACCCCCTAGGACAACTACCTCCTAGGGAAACCACCCTCTAGGACGACTACCCCCAGGAAAACTATCCAAGGGGTAGTTGTCCAGGGCGTAGTTGTCCGGGTGGTAGTTGTCCGGGGGGTAGTTGTCTCGGGGTAATCATCCTAGAGGGTGGTTGCCCTAGGGGGTGCTTGTCCTAGGGGGTAGCTGTCCTAGAGGGTAGTTGACTGGGGGAGGATGTCCAACTTAGAAATAAGTTCAACTTATGATCTTTGTGAAACACCCCCCAGAGAAATCTAGAGACATTTTTACCTCAGTATAAGTGGAAGGTGTAGAATCATCCAACGCCAACATGACGATAGCGGTATTGATTGTCTTTATGTGTTGCTCATTGACGGGATGAAGGCTCTTTAAGTGCTTTTGGTTCTCGGCATACCGGCTCCTCTCGTCAGCAGTCAGCGTGGACATACACTGCCCTCGCTTGGTGGTGCTCCGATCCTTGACATTCTGAAGTTGTCTGGAAATGAAGAGGAAAATAATTGAGAATAAGGGGAAGTGTGGAACATTTTAGAGTAGAAGCGCAAAATGATATGGGTTGTGAAATGAAAGAGCGAAGAGAAAGAGAGAGGAGGAAGATAGTAAGAGCAAGAATGACAAAAAAAGGGTTTGTGTGAAAGGAAAAGAGCGAGAGAAAGGGCGAGAATGGAGATGGCACAATAAAGAGAGAGAGGGAGAGAGAGAGAGAGAGATAGAGAGAGAGAGAGAGAGAGAGAGAGAGAGAGAGAAAGAGAAAGACATGTAAAAGAGGATTCACAGACAAAAAAGGACTCTTATATAGACAGAGAGAGACACAGAAAATCATGCATTATCAAAGAACCAAAGTACATGTATTACATACATTCAATATTCTTCTAGATGCTGAACAGGCGTTGATGAGTATCACCATAGAAGTAGAACAGAAATTATAATTACCTTGCAAACTCTCTTGAGCTGACAAGCTTTCCCCTACTATCAAATGGGTCTACTCTGAACAGATGGCCGTTGCAGCTTACAATCAAATGATTAGGACAAGATCCTTCCCTTTCTGAAGAATAACAAATGCAAAAGCAAACAAACAAATCAGGAGTTTTAATGAGATATTGGTATGTATTTGATGTATCAAATTTCTTTCCTTTTTTTCTTCAAGTATGTTTTAACCTCAGTTTTCTATTGAAGTAGTGAACAACATTTTAGGGCATTTTGTTGACGTGCGGTATGTGCAACAACAAAAAACAAAAAAAGAATTTCTATGACAAAAAAATGTACTACCCTAATTTTGAGAAAAAAAAGAATAATTCCTGGAAAAAAGTAATGGTTGGCAGCTCTGTGTGTGTGAATGGAACACTTTGAAAGTATTTTTAATGAGGTGATTACTAGAGGCTCTTAATACATCTATATTTATTTTTTCCATTTTTGTTTTATCATACCTGTTTTGAAGAAGTTGATAAGCTTGTCTGCCTCTGCACCTGGTATTCTGCTTCCATTGAACATATGTCTGGCCTGGTCCATGGAGAAAGTCATCTTACCAGTCTTACTCCTCTCTACAGGGATATTCTCTCTGTAAGGACACACAAAAATACATAGGACATGGATAACAAAATGTTATCAGTCTTACCCTTCTCTACAAGGATACTGTCACTATGAGACAGGAAGCAAGGTTACAATAATATTGATGATGATGAATTTATGAAAATATGAACGAGAAAAATGAATCCAGTTACTTTATGTATGTAGAAATTGCCAGTGAAATACCATCACAACATATGTTATTCTATATAAGGGTAGTGATGGCATTGAGATGTTTATTGAATAGTCATGTAACTTCTGAGTGCAATTTTCTGATCAATGCAGTGTTATTCCAACGAAGAGAATTCAAGAACGAGTAGGAAAAAGGCACTCTAGCACTTTCCAAACTACATACATGTACATATCAAGCCTTAAGCAGGGCTCCCACTCAGCCGAGTTGGAGCCTCGAGTTGTGGCGAGCTGGCGCGATCTTATGGCAAGCAGTTTTATCATTAAAACATATTTCTTGATATCACGAAATCAAATTCCTGATATCACGAAATCGAATTCTTGATATCAAGAATTACCATTGCTTTACAACGTAAAATTATTTCTTGATATCAAGAATTGATTTCTTGATATCTATTAATAATAAAACGGCTTGCCATAAGATCGCCCCAGCTCGCCACAACTCGAGGTTCCAACTCGGCTAAGTGGGAGCCCTGCTTTATAATTCAAACATGAAATAGTCTACTCTTTGACAAATAAAGACAGGGGCAAAAATTCAGATCACCATCTAGGAATATCATAACGGTATGCACATTCAGATACCGGCCATACTGCGTACAATCCCATTTAGAGGAAGAAATTGCTTGTATTCATCCCTTGACCCCTAATTTATGCAACTACATTTTGTAAAGCTTTCTAATTAGAAGTGTTGTGGTCTAGTGGATTAGTGGACGGACTGTGGATCGCAGGGTCCGCATTTCGAGTCCCACCACAGCATCAATTTCCTTTGGCAAGATATTAATCTACGTTTGCCACTCTCCACCCAGGTGTTAAATAGGTGCCGGTAGGAAGGAATTCCTTGAATGCTGTGAGCGCCGAAATCAGCTGCCTAGCAAAGCCGGAGTAATAGTTGGAGCACCATACATGGGTGATATGTGCACTATATAATAAAAATAATAATAATAATCTTTTAAAGTCCACTCCAAATTGTATTAAGTTAAACCGAAAATAGAAATTCTTTTTACCCAATTGAACGTGAGCCCGGCAGCAACCGAGCAGCGCCAGATCGACGTTGCTCTATCCCTTATTGTTGAAGGCCAAACAAGGTAGCAGCATCTTCCGTCTGTTAACGTCTTTTGGTATGACGCGGCAGAGGTTCGAACCCACGACCTCCCGGTTGTGAGGCGGACGCTCTACTGACTGAGCCAACACAACACACCGGTTGCCAATTATTATTATTACTAGCAGGACCCGCGGAAATCCGCGGGATTCTAGAGGGGGGCGGGGGGTGTAAATTGATATATAGAGACTGTCTAAATTAAAACCACCAAGAACTTAATTTGCCATTCAGGCCATTAAAAAATATACATGTTTAGCGTCCCCGCCCGCTTCCTTTTTGGGGGCCTATTTTTTTTTTTTTTTTTTTTTTTTTTGAAAGAAAAAAAACATGAAAAGCACTGCTAAAATGTATTTCTGATTTTAAAAAAGAAAAAAAAAAAATTGTCGGACGCCATCTTGAAAAATAGCCTGAATGTCAAGAAAAATGTACGGAGCGGCCATTTTGAACTGCCTCCTCCTTCCCATTTTTCAAAAAAACAGGACGCTATAAGTATGTTTTTTTTAAAATTTGGCCTTATATTAAATTAAAAAACAATCCAACTGTACTGGTAGTTATTCTTTAAGCCACTGGAACTGTGTAGAGTTCCGTAGTGTGGCGTACCGAATACGCAGAAATTAGGCTGCTATTAATGGGAAAATTGTCCCTGCGTAGGTTATGCGTAGGCTGGCGTACAGGTTTGCTTATGGTTGCTTACTGTGTGGAAAGCTTTTACTGCTTTGTCGATCTGGCGTAGGGTAGCGTACTGCTGCGTAGTCATGTAGAGTAGTGTTGCGTAAAAAGGCGTACTTTCTGCGTCAAGTTTCTACGCCGAAAGTACGCGAAAAAAATTAAACATGTTGAATTGTTTTCGTTCATCTTGCGTACCCCTTTCCGTCCTTCAGCATATAGTAACGTAGGCCAGCGTAGTTGGTACGCAACACTACGCAACTCTACGTATTGACCCCACGCCAATTAGTGACCCGCAAGTGTCACAAATAAAGTATGAAAAATATGCTCATCTGACCCTAATTAAACGCCTAAAACCCCCGAGCTTTCGGGGGTTTATGGCCCCTTGAAACCCGTGGACCCCACGCCTATATTATATATGTGACCCGGCACCACAAAACCAACAAAAAGTCGCAACCAGCGATTCTCCGTAATCAGCTAAAATGTCAATTTAGGTGAAAAAAATAGATTTTTGTTTTTTTGCATTTTCTGAAAGAGTGGTCTTTTCTGTACCTAGTATCAAAATTTGGAAGTCTAAAACATAGTAGAAGATGTGTTTTAAACGGTTTTTCTAGACCAGTTTTTTTCGCACAGCCTTCGGTCTCTTCCAAAATTTGATCACTTTTCCCGAGCGAAATTATCGTAGTCCGGAAATGGTCGGTCGTTGCTAACGGGTCGTGCTACGCGGGCTGTGATTGGTCCGTTATAGCAATCAGTGCGGCGCGCCATTTTGTTTGTATCCGCTTTCACATCCGAGTTCCAGATTTGCGTTCATCTTATATTCTCCGTTAACGACTTCGAGTAGCTTGAGTTGTTGCATTTTCAAACTTGTGATAAAGGATGAGAAAGAGTTGTTGCATTTTAAACTTGTGATACAGGATGAGAAAGAGTTGTTGCATTTTTAAACTTGTGATAAAGGATTAGAAAGAGTTGTTGCATTTTAAACTTGTGATACAGGATGAGAAAGAGTTGTTGCATTTTCAAACTTGTGATAAAGGATGAGAAAGAGTTGTTGCATTTTCAAACTTGTGATAAAGGATGAGAAAGAGTTGTTGCATTTTTAAACTTGTGATAAAGGATGAGAAAGAGTTGTTGCATTTTAAACTTGTGATACAGGATGAGAAAGAGTTGTCGCATTTTCAAACTTGTGATAAAGGATGAGAGAGAGTTGTTGCATTTTTAAACTTGTGATACAGGATGAGAAAGAGTTGTGACATTCCCTAAATAATTTTGTTTTCATTTCTGTGCTTCCAAATTTATTCTCCCATAAGAGTTTTGAAATCAAGTTCTTATTGTAAACACACATTCACACTCTTGATATCATCATTTTGCTTACAGCTATCATAATTCTCCCCCTTCTTTTCCCTCTCTGTCTCTCTCTCTCATTCTTTCTATTTTTCGTTATTCTATGTTGGTGTCTTTACTGTGTTTCCTGCCTTTCTTTATTTTTATACCACTTTCTGGCTGGTATTTATGAATTGCTTCCATTAATTATCATCAGGATGGCTACTGGAAATGAAAGAGCAAGTCATAGTAAAAATACTTTGAACCTCCTGTGAGAAAGAAAACAGTATGGGAATTAAGTATAAAGCAAGTTCATAATGTGGTTACAAATAATTTCCCAGATGTATACAAAACAAGATAGGTGACAAGCAGTGTTATGTAATGGGGAACAAAAAGACTCCGGGTCCACCATGAATAGGCATTGTCTAGTGCAGGTGTCTCGGCACTATGTTGCAGTTCACTTAATCTGTCCAATTACAACTCTATACATTTACAACATAATAACTTTTGAAAGACTTAAGTCCACACATTGAAACCTCAGAAACATAATGAACAGACTGGCCCGAATTCACAAAGCAAGGTTTGAGCTCAGACCAAGGTTTGAGGTCAAACCTCCTTTTGTTTCGCCAAACCTCCTTTTGTTATTTACAAACCCAGGTTTGTAAATAACAATATGTTTGACCATCAGACCAAATTTCAGCCTAATCTGAAAATCTCTTCATAGTGGTTGCTAAGGCCTTTTGATTCACCCTTCTATTGATTTCCCTGTGGTTTGCTTGCTCCGCATGCTTGAATAGCCCCAAACTTTAAAGCTCTCTTTCTCACAATTTAATACCAGTAACCTCCCTCACCAGCTCTTTTCATTCACTAAATTGAAAGGGTTAGGAAGCTTCAATTTGGACAAGTAATATACCATTTTAATGAGGAGAACTTCTTCTTTCATAATCAGATGAAATCAGGAAAATAATTTTTTGCGACTTTTTGTTGGTTTTGTGGTGCCGGGTCACATATACACTCAACTCGCTGCGATCTGATCTCTCCCCCCCCCCCCCCAATTTTGAAGAACGTAACCCCCGAGATTTTGGGGGTTTATGCTGGCCCCTTGAAACCCGTGGACCCCACGCCTATATTATATATACACTCAACTCGCTGCGATCTGATCTCTCCCCCCCCCCCCCCCCAACTTTGAAGAACGTAACCCCAAGCTTTTGGGGGTTTATGCTGGCCCCTTGAAACCCGTGGACCACACGCCTATATTATATATACACTCAACTCAGGACCCGCGGAAATCCGCAGGATTCTAGAGGGGGGCGCAGGCAAAAAATTAAGTTTTTCATTTCGGGGGCTCCATTTCAAATTTTTGGGAAATTTTCGGGGGCTACTTTTTCAACTTTCGGGGGCTCTTTTTTCTGGGGCTACTTTTTCATTAATTCATAAAAGGATAGGCCTACACTTTGTTGAGATTTGTTTAGTAGGCTATAAGGTTTCAGGCTTCCTACTTCATAATTGCCTATTTAAAAAAAAAACAACATTTTTCTAGTTCAATAACTAAGTTTTCATGCATTGATTTGATGCAAGAATTGTAACATAATAGACCCTAGATTGTGATTATTTCTGACCATGAATTTCGATAATCATTTTTCAAAGTAAAATTTTCACAAGAATATCAGACAGTCGTTTAAAAACGTAGACATTAGTAATACTTTTACTATTTCTAAGCTCAGGTTTCGTAAATCTATTCACGAAACTATATTGAAATCGCGGCAATAATGATGCAAACCAACAGATAACAATTTCAAAGTGTCAAATCTCTTCGACTCGAATTCAACTCACACACTGCTGCATAACTGCAGCGTAACTCAGCTCATCTCACACACACTACACAGTGGCAATGCACTGTATTGTAAGCGTGTCAGTTACGGTGATTTTGTCTGATTTTCTTTACTTTGAAGAAATGATTATCAAAATTACGTAAACATGGCAAGAACATCACAAAATAGGCTTTAATTTCATACCTCTATTTATGGAAACTTTATAATATTGCAGCAATCGTGAATTCGTGATGGAAATTGATTGCAGTTTCGCGATGTTTAGTGGTTCATGGTCTAGATTCAGCTTCTACCAAAACAAAATCGACCGCCAAAAACTCGAGCCCTACGCTCCGTCTCGATCTCGCAACTGCGAAAATGTACGTGTTTTGGCGTACTTGCGTGCGACATGGTAAGCCAGGAATATGGTTCGAGTTTTTTTACGACCGATTTTTGTGTATACAATTTTATACGGATAGTCATCGGTCGTGTGTCTACGGATGTCATGTTGAATATCCATGAGGTATCTCTGTCGTCACGCATATCATGCATTATGCATATCGCGTCTGTTTTCGCCCTGGACGTCGACACGGAGGAGGACCTCGGGCGGAGTATAGCCAATTCCACAGAGTAGACTCTCCCGCGGACGATGGCACCGGGCACCGGGACCCCGAGGGGAGGGTTCAGGAGGAGATAGCTGCACCAATTTCGGTCGGCGATCTCATTAAAAAACAATAGAATACAAAGGCTGGCGGAGACGTCGCGCCCCCCGCGGAGCCTTAGCATATTATTATTATAGATTATTAAACAACAAGATTTCACGTACCTTCTAAGCTCTTCAAAGTATCTGAGCATATACCAGGTACTGATGGCAGCTCTCTCGATGTTGCTCCCCACACAAGGGGGCCAGAAGCTTTCCATTGTTCTGTTAGCTCCATACATGGAGCTGACCCCTAGAGGAGTTCTGCTGGTCAGGTACACCCTGTCTCGCCACCATTCCTCCAACTGAATATAATGAGAAAGTGGTGTAAAAAAAAAGGAGTTTGGTCTCACTACGAACATGACGGACAAAGAAAGCGGACAAAAAATACAGTTCCTCAGGTAGACAAATGAACATCCCTTCACTGCTATTATGTAAAAATGTGTAGAACAGGTGAATATGCATGTGACACCTGTTCTACACATTTTTACATAATAGCAGTGAAGGGATGTTCCTTTGTCTACCTGAGGAACTTTTGTCCGCTTTCTTTGTCCGTCATGTTCATAGTGTCTTCAGTTATCAATTTTTATATATTTTTTATAAATATATGTTTTGTTTACCCAGGGTAGCCTCATCAGTATACATACTTTCTCGTTGAGGGCCTTGCAATCATATCATTACCCCAGCTTTAGCCAAGCTACCGGGAAAAGGTGATCAAGCATTCAAGGAGTTTCTTCCTACCGGTTACCCATTTACCTCACCTGGGTGGAGTAAGGCAAATGTAGATTAATGTTTGCTGAAGGGCATTAGTGCCGCGGTGGGACTCAATTAACATCTTGTTCAGGCAAAAGGATCATAATTTCTGGGAGATAAGAATCTTTACAACCATCTTGAATGTGCCAATTTATATGTGACCATGCACCAGAAAAACTACCCCCCCCCCCCTCAAAAAAAAAAAATGAAAAAAATGAAAAATTAAGAAAAACAATTTTAAAAATGGAGATGCATTAATTAGCATTTCCTGAAAAGGTACATTTTCTTCAACGTAATTTAAAAATTTGGAAAACTCTTGCTAATCTTCCTCCAATCTTAATTTGGATTTTTGGCATTGTTTTGTATACCATGTTTGTCTGTTGAGTTTGCTGTAGTATGACCCTGGCTACTTGTCTAATTTTGATCTCTCAAGATTTTTAAATTGAGTACCCAAGTGAGCATTTGCATTGATAGCTAAAGGAAAAAATAACAAGATGTGCTTGATTGGTGCACTAAATTTTAAGATTATCTCATAATCCTTTCATGGAAAACTCTAGCTAATCTTCCTCCTTTTGTCCCCTCGCACAATGCAATCATTTATTCGTCTTGTTCCGTTTCCATCGCAATCAATTATTTTCAGAATGTAACTACGTTTGTAACGATGTACATTTGATAATTATTGTATTATGTATTGTTCTTGTATTATGTATATATGTACAAAGACTGTAAACCAGTGAAAAAAGAATTTCCCGAAAGGGACAATAAATTTTCAATTCAATTCAATTCAATTCAATGTTTCACATAATTCGTATTACAGACTTTATAGGCCCTCTTTTCTATACAGACGTAACATAATTGGTAGAAGCTTCAAGAACTACATTTAATGATTATCCCCAACCGATGACAGTTTTCTGCATCAGACGTAACATTCTTTTAGGACTGTGGATTCTCCTCTTTGCTAGCAAAACTCACATCCCAGTCCAAATAATTAATACAATGGATTTTGAATACTACGCTGGGAATTACCCAATTCTTTCTGGCCCTCGCCCTCTCTAACAACTTCTTGTGCAGCTCCTGTCCGATTCCTTGACCAAACTCTCCCACAATCCTCTCTGTTTCCTTGTATTCCTCATCTGTGGTGAGTGGTTTGACTAAAGAAAAAAGACAAAAAATCAAATGATTCATAATTCCACAATGTGTTCACCTCTTTCTTTTAACTTATTTTTCATGAGCCCAAAAATTGTACAATGTACCTGGAGAGTTATATGCATAACATGATTTACTATATGAAAAACTTGCTACTTACTAAAAAGCTATTAGACAATTTCTTGGCTCATGAAACATTCAAAAGAACGTTTTGTTTTGAAAAATGAATTGACAAAATAGTGCAGTGACTCTGGTCATACATTGCTTTTCTTGACTGATATGAAGATAAGGATAACCTACTTTTTTTTTTTAAGTAAACAGAGTATACAGCTATCTCTTAAGTTACTTAAAGGCATTTTCAAGGTCATTTATGTTACAACTAGGTATAAAGTGCACATCAGGCCCGTTTTCATCAGGTCGAATTTGCCAAACTATCCCAATCACAAATTCATCAGCCCCCAGTTCCAATTAGCGGGATAATTGGTCAAGAAAATATTCAGAGAAATCTTATTTCCTTAATTTCCCTGATGAGCGTATCCGTCTGGTGAAGAACTTTGAGCTTCTGGTTAATATCCTGAGTCTGAAAATAGCGGGCTATTTGGCAAACTCGAGCTGATCAAGACAGGCCTATTGTATGAGGTACCACTTCATACATACTATGGTAAACACCAGGGAACTGATAGTGATGATGGAACCTAAATGCAATGTTTATTTTAATCTTGATTGACAGAAGTTAATCAGACACACCTTTATAAATGTGTGAACAAACTTTGGCATGAGAAAGAACACCAGGATAAGAAAATGCACTTGATATAGACCTACTGAAGTGCTAACGTTGTATTCGCTTGTCGTCCAGGTTACTGATGCTAAACCACAGAGCCTGCGAATGAGGTTTACCATGAAATGATGCAAGCATAGGGCTGGAGCAGGGCAAATTTAGTGTTTGGGGCTGGTGTGATCACCACACCATTGTTTAGCACTAAACATTGTTTGGAACCAGCAAACTTGACAACTTGACCAGGATGTCAAACTTCGATACTATACTATAGGTACACATGTACATTCATCCTAACAATTTGCTATGCATTTAAATTTAAGCATACCTACACAATAGTCATGCACTCTCTACAACACTATTAACATATTTGCCTGACATAGCAACAGCTCAATGTACTAAATGTATTCCAAATCCAATCCTAGAGTGCTAATATTAATAATAGCGACAGGTAAATTATACAGATTTGTCACTATGAGATCTGGAAGAAACATTCATAAAATTGCATACATGTACATGTAGATTTGAGTACATGGACAGTACATGTCATTGTCTACCGGTATTGGTTTAAATTGCAGTTCTAGTACCGGTATGCATGCAATGTCTATCAAATGATTCCTTTGGCTATCTCTAAATCACTACTAATTCTCTTTTAAAACTCGACACTGTTAACAAAAATAAAATTTACGGTGATCCCAGTCTAACTTCCTCTGCAACAAAAGCCTTATAACCAAGCATTGGGTTTAAACTTAGAATATACAGGCAATTACCGGTTAGTACTTTTCATAAGACCTTTGATATTTGCACAGTTTGTGTCTGGTCTAGGACTAGGCTGTGTGTTGTCTACACTTGGGACAGGGCCAAAACAATGGACAAATAGCCTGCATGCAAATATTGATCTGGGCTTGCATTTACTCCCACCAAACAATTTACACTACTTCAAGTCATACCCATTGCTAATGCTATGTTTTCCATTGTATCATTGCAACAGTAGGCCTACTAACCATTTACAAAATTAAATATTATTTATTATTAACATTATTATTATCACTTTAATTATCATGATTATCGTAATCATTATCATTATTGTTGCTATCATTATTTTCATTATCATTGTTATTATTATCATTAATACTATTATTATTATAATCATTATTACTTGAAAACAGTATTGGGTGAAACTAGAAGGTTGTGGGATTTTCTCAAGCTTTTATTAACTTTGAATGACTTACATGCACATTTAGGTAAAATGTAAACCTTAACAACTACAGTGTATATAGTGCAGAATTGATCGAAACTAATCGAAACCTGCAACAAAACAGTTTATAAAATTCACACTTTAATCTCTATAGCTGAAAATGATTATTGACAAAGTTTGTTGACTCGCCGCACTTTTCTGAGCTGCCCATCCAACATTTACATTAAAAATAGAGACCAAGATTGGCATTCATTCAAAATCAGTGAAGAATCGTCAATAGGCCTGTCTTCATCAGCTTGAGTTTGCCAAATAACAGGCTATTTTAACTATCCCAATTGCAAATTAACCAGTTAATTTGTGTCTTCAACTGCCCACAGTTGCAATTAGTGGGATATTTGGTTGAGAAAATCCAAGAATTTGGTCGAGAAAATCCAAGAAATCTTGGTCTTGTTTAAAAAATATCCCGCTATTTCCCAAATAGCGGGATAAATTGCGCCCATCTGAGCTAGGTTTGTGATGAGCGTATCGGTCTGGAGAAGGCACAACTTGGAGAAGGTTTGGGATAATATCCTGAGTCTGAAAATAGCAGGTTACTTGGCAAACTTGAGCTGGTGAAAACAGGCCTAACGAGGGTCTGTATCTGTAGACTACTCTATCAAAGGACAAATGATCTAGGTCAGGGCACTAAAGGTCATTATCTGAATGGGTTTTTATCTGTAGGTAAACACAACGTAGGCCTATTACTAAATTACACAATGCAATGTGTGTGTAAATGATAGATATATGGATAGATACGAATGTGATGTACATACGTGATGTACGTACGTATTACAGATTACATTGTCAAGGTGACATTGATGAAAATCCAGAACAATGTTATTTGTTATGTTGAGAATAAAGATGTGTTATATTCAATCCCGATTTGAAATGGGAATAACATATTAGTCATAATTGACCTTCTAATATAACTTACATATGTACCCATATGTTGCTGTGTATCTGGACAGTTGATTTAAAACAGAAATTTGAAAAAGTTAAATAAGCAATATTTCATAAATCTTATAAGACTTTTGTTAGACAATATTATAAAGGATAAATATTCATGATGTTTACTGCTATTTGATGAATAATTTTTTTGTTAAATCCGAAGGCAAAAGATAAGGCGTTATATTCAGTTTGTCAAGTGTCAGGACACCCAACCCCCCATCATACATTGTAAGACTACTGTAGGATGACAAACATTATGAGAATGAAGCTCTTTTATCTATTCACATGAAAGATTATATCCCTCTCATTATTTTTAACAACCAAGATTAAAGGTGAGAGTTTAAGCTGCAGAAAAAAAACTGCATACAGTCATTAGGGCAAACAGTGCGCCAATTAATGTCAAAATATTCATATGTATCTCTGCACAAGAGTGTATGATGAATTTGACTAAAAATAAACAGAATGTTGATTCTTTTTTTCTACAATTTTTCAGTTTCTTTCTTATCAAAAGATATCCATGCAGCTTCCCTCTGCATCTTGAGATTGAGTTTGAGTTTATTAACAACAAATATAATAACAATCTACAACAAATATAATAACAATCTGCAAAGAATGGCTACAAATTGAACTGTAAAAGTATAATGCAACGCAAGATGGATAGATTATTGTGAAATCACATTTATCACATTTGCACTGGGGTGTTCGACAAAATAATGCCCACAGCAATTGTTGATGAGAGCATATATTTTTATGCCAGATTCAGATTATATGGAAATGTACAGTAGATCTAACTATGATTATTAAATAACCTATCCCCTTGTGCTCCCCATTTGTTATTGTTACCTGAATCAAGGTATTTCTTCAAGGTGTCTTCCAACTTGGGGACCGGAAGGGAAGGCAGATCATCGTCATACTGGAAGGTGCGCTCAATGCTTGTTGCGGTACCCACTTCAGAATCCATTTTCTACGGTGAAATGTTTCTTTACCTTAATTACCGTGAAAAAAGAGACAAGGATAAAACATACAAGTATTATAACTGTGTAGAATATAGATCTAACATCCAAATGCACTAAATTAGTCCAGCATGGCTCTCATTTAAGGCAAGGCCAAGGACATGTAAGAAACACAATTCACAATAATACAAGATCAGCATCGACGATAGCTCACACTGTTTTGGGTCTAGAGTCACACTGTTTTGGGTCTAGAGTCTAACTGTTAGAGCTAGACTGAAAAATATAAAATCCAACAAGAACCCCGCAATAAGATCTTCCACATCACACTCAAATACATCCCGGCTTAATCTTAATAATTTAAGGACTATAAAATAAAAGGAAAGACTTACTGTCACTTGGTAAGCTTGACGAACGCAAGACTAGACGATTTGACGATTCTCCGCTCTCAGTCTCAGCAGCGCAGCAGCACAAAGCTGTTTACACCGCTAAAAAGGGGTAAAAGGGAGGCGTGGTCACGACGTCACACAAAGGCGCGAACGTGGGACAGTTTCAAAACAAAGTGGAAGGTTTGCACATGACCTAGACATCACGATAGTAATGTTACGTAATGTTTCATACAGATAACTACTTAACATAGATTGAAGTTTGAGAAGAGTTAAGTTCAGAACATTGCTACCATCTACCATGTCTACAGTGCCGCCGCTTTCTATTTTACGAGAGAGAAAATTGTAAGTAGACCTCACTGTTGACCCACGTATTGATGTTTGTGTGTGTAGGATCTACATTTCAAAGCTGAACCTGAAATTGAATTGAAATTGAAGTGAACTGAAATATGAGTCTGAATTTGTATAGATATTATTGATTGGATGATAAGTTTGTAGCTGTAAGAGCTGATCATACGAAGTTGATATGCATATAGTCTATGCTAAGTTAGCATTGTCTTAGACTGAAAATTTCGGACTATTTTGTTCACGTTCGTTATTTTTAGCCTGTCTGATTATTAGGGCAAATCAGAGGCTAACGAACGAAAGAGACATAAATTTTCGGTCTAGTATTGTCTGTGATCAATAGTAGTACGATTAATAGTCTAGAGTCTAGACAATAATACTGTCTCAGTGTCTGCTTTTCCTTGGAAGTTGGAGGAGTTTTTTAACATGTTTAAATTAGAACAGGGATTCTTGACATTTTTATTTCTATTTTAATGAGCCAGACGCAGCTCAGCGCAGCCGGCAGCCTCAGCCACTCAACATGGTCAATGGAACATATCCATGAACTGATTTTTTTTGTCTATCATGTCTGAAGGGTCTGCAGCATTCCACATTTTTTTGTGATTCTTGTAAAGTTATTGATTACTTAGTTTTAAATGTACACTATGACCGAGTATGACTAATAAGTCGATATGTCCAACTTTGTTTCAAATTGTAATTATTCTCCAACATAACATAAGTTTGTAAACAAGTTACTCTGCTCTGAAACATTGATATTAGTGAAATGAAAGTATAAAGTAGATCCGGATCTTATAAAATGCTCATTATTTTCATATTTAGGAAGCAGAAATTATGGCTGGAAAAGGTGAAGAAACTTGAAGAAAAGGAGATATGGTTGAAAGAACATCCTCTTATTCCAGAATATAAACCAAGGTGAGTGCAAGGAATTATCTAAATTTTCTTAAAATCTTGACTGACAGGCTGATGTAAACATGAGAACACAAGAATTCCTCTAGAAAATAACATAAAAGAGTTCAAAATAATAAACGTAATTCTCTTTGCCTTTCTGCAGGTTATCAGAGCCTTCTCCATTCTGGCTGGTGTTTTTCAGACAGAAGCAAGCATTTGAATGTACAACTGCTCACCCTCAGGTATAGTACTGGCAACAGGGGGGGGCAGTTGAATTGTAGATTTACAAGGTAAACTCACTGATTAGTAGAAGCGTTTGGGACAGGACCTACCTTCATCTTTTCCTTTCTATCTTTATTTCTTTCTCTCTCATTTTCTCTCCTTTTCAACTTCTTTATGTTATAAATTGGAAGGCATGTGACATCTACCCCCAACCCTCCCCCAAGTCATGCTGCTTTGTCATAGCTTGTTTCTAGGTCAATTAGTTTTCAAAGTAAAAAAAAATGTACCAGTAACATACATAGGAATGGGTAATGGAACAGAAAGTAGTGTTCATTTCTTTCTCTCTCTCTTTCTCTCTCTCTCTCTCTCTCTCTCTCTCTCTTTACACAAAAGTAACATTAGTTATCTTACAATCATTTGTTAAAGGTTGCAAGATTTGTGGTAATGAGAACAAAATTGATATTGGAGCAAATAAAGCTCTTAATCTGTTACTTTTTAGAAATGCCTGTTTCCTTAAATGTTTATATCACCTTAATTGTCTTACTCTTTACAAGACAAGAAGCCACTTTCATTATAAATTCAACATAATTCCATCTTCCCTCTTTTGTAATGATCCTGCCAGGATGTACACACCTTTGCCTTTGAACCAGAAAACCTGCAGACCTCCGCCGGAAAGGGTCTCCGAAAATATCTTGTAACCAGCTACTCCCAGCTCTGGCATACGGTCAAGTCGTTGGCCCACAGTGATCACCACGGCTCCTTCTACGAGATCATCCCAGAGGGGGCAGCCTGCAAGCTTTATTTTGATTTGGAGTTTAGACGAGATTTGAACCCTTATGCTGATGGTGGTGCTATGGTCCAGACTCTGATTAAGGTAAGTGTGGACACTCCAAGGGGGATGGGGGGGGGGGATCATGCTTTATAAAGTTTTTTTTGAATGGGCCTCATTTATGCTTTTATAGACTTTTAGTCAAATGGGCCACATTCATGCTTTTATAGACTTTTAGTTGAATGGGCCACTTTTGATTCATGCTTTTATAGACTTTTAGTTGATTGGACACAATTTTTGAAGTTAACTCAGAAGTACCACTCCATTTTGGCTGAATTTCGTCTAAAAATGCAATCTAAACAAAAATGTTTTCTAGATTTAAAATTTAAAGTTTGAAACCATTTGAATAAAGGAAAAATCAACCACCAAGAAGGACCACCATCCATTTTTTAAATGTATTAATTATTATATTTTGTCACATTATCCTGATATGTATCTGCTTTTAGGAGGGGGGGGGGGGGTTACTTGCCTCAAAACTGCAAAGGGGGATGTGCTGTTGGAATCATTAAACCTGGCCCTACCCTGTCATAAAAATGTTAGTGCCGGAACAGACACCTTATCCCCATATGCAGAGCTAAATGAATGTGTATCTGCACTTGGGTTCATGTACATATTTTGTCTCCATCAGTTAGCAGGTAAAGCAAAGCCTGGCTAAAGGCACATACCAAGTAAATCTAATTACTTTATGTCAAAACCCTTCCCTCCCACCCCTCACCCCCCACCATTTTCCTGGGTGCACAAATTTGAAAAGCATTTTGAGAATATGCAAATTTGTATCTACACTGTAAATGTAAAATTTATGAAAATTTGACCTCGTAAACTTTGTTGAATAATCCATTTTTTGTGTATTTATCACAGTTTGTTTGCTTCGAGCTTCAGAAGTTTTACAATATCCACTGCAGTGAAAGTCATGTGATCAATTTGGATGCCAGCACGGTGTCAAAGTTCAGTTGTCACCTGATCTTCAACATACCAGGTGCCATCTTTAAAGATAATGTTCATGCAGGTGATTACTATCTTCCTAAATAAGAATCTTGGACACCAGAGGAGTTTAATCTAACTCTTTAATGACTTGTACAATGGCATTTAAATTCTGGGACAATAACATTTTCCTACCTTATAATTATTTCACCAAATCCAAATTGTTGACATTCCAATAGTTTCAAATACACTGGCATTTAACTTCTTGGACAATAAAAGTTCCATACCTTATTTCACTAAATCCATATCAGTTGACATTCCAATAGTGTCAAATACAATGGCATTTAACTTCTTGGACAATAAAACTTTCCTATTTCACCAAATCCATATGGTTGACATTCTAATAGTGTCAAATACAATAGCATTTAACTCAGTTCTTGGACAATAAAACTTTCTTACCTTATTTAACTAAATCCATGACTTCTTGGACAATAAAACTTTCTTATTTCACCAAATCCATATGGTTGACATTGCCAATAGGTAGTCTACTAGTAACAACAAGTTAGGCAAGAAGAAACAATTTTATTTTTTGGGGGTCTCAAGAATGCAAATTTAAAAAGATATCACTGTTACCAATTAGCAGAGAAGTCTATAATGAATGCTATGTAAATGTGAGGAATTAACTTCTTCAATCTCTCCAGGAAACTTTGTGCGGTACCTATGCAGGAGAATAAAATCTTACTGTAGCACTCCAGAACAATCTTCGAATGACCGATCGACCTCCAAGGAAGCTGAGACTCGTGATCTTCATGTCAGTGATGATAATGGTGAGAGCATAGGACATTCATATCAACTGTAATAACCATGCCTGACATATCTTGGACTAGGGTGTGTAGAAAATGGAAATCTGTGCTTTCTAGCCACTAAGGTTAATTTGGATTCTGCAGAAAATGATGAGTGCTTAGTCGATCGCAACTACTTGGGTGAATTTTCACATTGATTACATGTTTTATTTTCAGAACACGAACATTCAAGGTTATTTGAGTGTGTACAACCTTTCAAGCCTCATTGCTAAGGGATACAGAGGTAGCCCTTGGCTCAAGTTAGCATGAGCCATGGAAAATATATATTAGGGCAGAATCAAACAGTGTTTAGCAGCTTAATAAGAGTTCTTATTTAGTCAAAGTGTCACCCATTTGTTTTGTTTGTTTTTTGTTTGCTTGGGGGGGGGGGGGTGGGGGGCTGGTTGATGAATTTAGAATATCCCTTGATGTAGAGGCAGAGTCACATGGGTAGGCTTAAGATATGAAGTTGGTAAGGTAAATGATTGTGCTTGATACCACCTAACCTTTCATTCAGGTGTGTCAAATATGAACTTTACCGCTAACAATTACACCTCTTAAGTTCCGCTCATAACTTTATATGCCATTGTATGTGGCTAACAACCCCTGTACCACTTTCATCCATGCAGGATCCCCACATAGCGACAATCAAGAACCTCCAACAAAGAAGAGTAGATGCGAGACATCAGATGAGAGGAGTAACCATGGTAACCGGATGACGAGGCAACCTTGCCATGAAGCCAGTGATCCAGGAGAGTTCAGTGAGGAAGACAAGTTGACGACCTTGTACATCAATGTACCTGATGGAGGAAGAGAGTTGTTTATTGATACGGGTAAGTCTAAGCCACTGCCTACTGGAACCGGATGGTCCCTTCATTAAAGTCTACACATGGTTTTCTCGAAAGCGGACTAACTTTAGTCTATGGTTTAATCCATGGTTTAATCCACTGACTAAGTATGGAATGCTAAGTGTCCATATGAATATGTTTAAGAATAATTTATTCTGTCACTAAATTAAAATAAAAGGTAATAAAAGAATTAATAAACAACATTAGAACTATGATATCATTATTTCATCAAGGTTATTCAGAGACATATCAAATTATTCAAAAATATATTCATATGGACAGTTGGCATTCCATACTTAGTCGATGGATTAAACCATGGACTAAAGTTAGTCCACTTTCGAGAATACCACCCAATGGGGTCAAGAAAATTCAGTAGTTAAGGGGTTAATTTGGTGTTTCCTTTTTACCCAGTAATTTTGTTTTTAAAGAGTACCAATCACTGTATATTGTTGTGCTCTATGCATTTGAGATGTGATTCTAGTATCATATATTTAGAATACTGAAATTACTCTAAAAAAAAAACAGTACTACTTTTAGGAAGGACACTTTAATACATAAGTGTAAACTCAGATTACCGGTAGTAACCACTTTCCTCATTTATTGGTCCTTTTTTTTTGCCTAGCTCTAGTCCTAACCCTGTAAAATTTTGGTGGGATATCTCTGTCATAACATTTTTTTTAAATTAAAAGAAAGAGGTATTACATATATATAGAGCTGGCTTTCTATATTCTATATACATTTATCTCTCTCCCCACCATCTTTCTATTTCTTCTTTTTTTTCTCTCCTCTCTCTCTCTCTCTCTCTCTCTCTCTCTCCTCATCCTTGTAGTTACTTGCTTTCTTTTCTTTTCATGATAAACGGTTCTCGCAAAAGGAAGAATGATAAATCATTTTGTCACCTGTGAAGTTCAGATTTAGCAAGGTAATCCTATGACTCACGTACACTTTCATTCAATGTGTCTTTCAGCTGTGTACACTCGCAACAGGAATTTTCGGCTCTACAAGTGCGTTAAGCTCGGGAAGTCAAATCCTCTTCTGGTTGCCGCGGACAACAGATACCAAACAAAGATGAATTCCAAGAAGAAACCTGTAAGACCAGGAGGGGAGGAGTACCAGCTCTTTCTGGATTCAGTCATTACGCACGTCAAGTGAGTTCTAAAATAAAATTTACCCAAAGAAACTGGGAGAGGGGGCACTTTTTCTGTCTGTAAATTTGGAGATGTGTGCTACAGAGTGCAGCAATCTGATGCTCCAAGGCCAAAGTCTGGATGGGACCATCTACTGAATATGAAATCTGTGGTTGAAAGGTCTATGCTTGGTCTTCATCTTAGCACGTACTGTAGATCATGCATGGTATGGTAATAATATAGATTAATAAAGATTTTTTGTGCTTATATTATTGTTTAATGAAACCCTGTAGAACACCCATGGTCCGGTATGCTGGTAGACAGTGAGGTATTGCAGATATAAATTAATTTCCACATTGTGTAATGGATGCATTGACTTTTTTTGTCACCCAAATGTCTCGTCTTATTCTCTATATTACATACTAGATTTGCACCGTATACAAGAGTGTTGACGTGTGAGGGAAAGGAAGGCTCTGCAAAACGGCAAGTTCAATATGATAGTAGCACGACATCGAGGAGGGAAGGTGAGGACTCATGTTTTTGCAAAAAAACTAACATCTCAGGAAATAGGACATCCTTTTACTCTATATGTGGCCTGTGTAATATAGAGGTTATGTATAAAGCACTTACATTATTTGCTCATGATTATTTCCTCAGTTTTCTAAGCAAGCACAAGAGGAGGATACAAATTCCACCTTCAAGAGCTACTCCGGTATCGAGGGGATCTGCACTCAAAAGTGGGTTGTGGTCAGGGAAGTTAGAAGTATAAAATAAAATAACTTAAATTCCCTTGATTATTATTAATTTATTGTTCTCAGAGCAAACAGAGACGATAAAGGATGATAATCATCCAGGAATCGAGTCCTATCGACTCGTTCAACAGGGGGTACTGCATCTCAAAAGGGGGTTGGGGAGGGGTGGTTTTAAGTAGGAAATACCTGTACTCAGAATCCATGAATGTTATCATTAATAAATTGTCATCAGAGTGTGGAGAAACAACAGAGGGGTACCAGACATCCCCCTTCCCGGAGATCGACTCATACATCAGGGGGTACTGCATCTCAAAAGGGGGTTGGACAGGGGTGGTTTGAAGTAGGAAACACCTGTATTCAAAATCCATGATTGTTATCATTAATTCATTGTCCTCAGAGCGTGCAGAGACAACAGAGGGGTACCAGACATCCCCCTTCCCGGAGATCGACTCATACATCAGGGTGTACTGCATCTCAAAAGGGGGAATGGCAGGGGAGATCAGGAGATGGACCTATTTCTCAGAGGCTCAGCTCCTGGTGTATGACGTCGTCAAGAACAGGTGGTGTGAGAATATTGGCAGACAGCACAAGAGCAACAACATCATGTAAGTGGGCGTTTTCCGACATGTTGCTGTTATTTGATTCAGAAATGATATCCAGTTTATCACCCCCCCCCCCCCCAGTTTGTATCAGACTTAAGAATGCTCATGAGCCATAATTTAATATCTACCATTAAGTCACTGGATTTTAATAATCAATAATCAATAACCAAATATTTTTTTTCAATATTTCATAGATATTTCTGTATGACTTCTACATGGACTGGTGATAAATGCATTCTTTAACAAGAAACATATCCTGTACTGCCGATAAGCTTTTTTCAGAAAAAATTGTAAGCAGTTAGTCACTTTTACCCCGCTATTCTTCTTTCAAGGATCTTGGTGGACTTGAGGAGAGGGGTCTACTACCAGAAGTGCCACGACCCCACCTGTCGAGCGCAAGGCTACAAATCCGACGATCACCTTGTACCTCCAGAGCACCTCCCTTCCTTCACCGACTGGGACGAGGATGAATTGATCAACGTCTCCCTTCGAGTAGAAGAAGATGCAAGGTCCAACGAGATGAATCAGAACAGCTTTTGCTCTGACTTTGACAGTTTCCATGATGACGGTGCCGATGAGGAGCTGATAAAGCTGGGTGAGAGTTACGATGCACCTGAAATGAGCGATGATGGCAGGTCTGTACACCGGACAGGGAATGATGAAAAAGGGCGTGGCAGTACCCCAAGAAGAAAATCGGGAGGGGAGGAGCTGATCCAGCTTGCCAAGAGTATTGATGATGATGATGATTGCGCATCAGGAGGGAGTGTGGGGCGGAAGGGAGAAGTTGAAGAGGAGAAGAGGACTTCAGGGAAGGGTGAGGATGGGTGGGAGGATCATATCACGGATGATGAGCTGATGAGGAGTTTCCAGGAATGATGCAGGAGGGTCTGGTAACCATAATTACTACACCGCTGAGCTCTGGCAATAGCTTTCTTCATTTGCTATAGATCAAAACCTTGAACTGCCATGTTTGGAGAAAGTGGTACAAATAGACTTGTCGCTGTCCAATGTCTGTTGCAATAGTCTGCTGAAGCTGGTATCATGTTAAAGGGCAATCCTACCCTTGTAATAAGTATAATTGTATGAAAGCAGAAAAATCAGATAGACAGAAGGGTGAAATTTTTTAATAAATCGGACCAATAAGAATAAAATTATATGAGAACACTAAATGTATGCAAATCTCAAATTGGCAGTTCCGTCAATGGATTGTGATATTGCGGATAACTCTCCAGTTTGTCGTGTACAAAAATATGATTAATTTCTATTTTTATTCAACTTGGTTTCTCCCTTGGGGATCTACTCAAAATATACATATAAAGGATAGCATGTAGGTCCTCTAAAGAAAAAAAAAGCCCCTCTGAGTAGTGAGTCATACAATTTAACAAATTAAAATGTTAGTCAAGTTCTCATTTTTTGTCTACTTCTCTGCTTTTACCTGCTTTCCTCTCGGGTAGTTTGATATCAAGATTGAATTTCCCTTTAATGTTTGTTGTCTGTTCAGGGTGTATGTTTTGATTTATGTGTACAGGGTTTACTCCTGTTCCATAGCAGATAGTGCACATGGATTACAGGGACAGCTAGAGATAGAGACGAGAGGAATGATATCATTGTTTCTGAAAAAGAAAGAGGAAGAGATAGTGAGGAGGGGGAGGGGGGGGGATTATGCAAGGGGCGGCTAAAATTAGAGGAGGGAAATTAGCCTATTTGTGCATGAAGCAGAGAGAAAGAGGCGTAGTAGATTACCATCTTATATAGAGGAAGACCATCTTTAGGAAGAGAATGCCCTCTGAAATATGATCACGATTTCAAAGTGAATCTATGCAAGTTTTATAAAAATAGATATGAAAACGAAAACAAAATATAAAGCAAATTCAAATGGCCTGTGTAAAATACATTTATCTGCTTTTGTTGGTATTATCTTAATATTTTGTAAAAAATTATCATAATTATTGACATGCTGTGACTCAAATGAGGCAGGAATGTATATCTTGTATTATGTAGGGCAAAAAAACTAACTATAATTGAGAGTGTAAAACAGGCCTTCTAATAAATTGTGGTAATAAATATTAAAAAGTTCTGCCCTTTTTACACTGCAATATAAGCTGTTGTGTGATTTCCTGTAGTTCTTTTTGATTGACACAATGTATGTTTTATTTGTATAAAATATAGATTCCATAATTAAACATCTTTATACAAATCTAATCCTTATTGCCTCTATTTTATGCAATAGTGTGCCTGATAATGAGGACAATGATGATGATGACAAACTGATGATGATAATGATGACAATTATGATGCTGGTGATGATGATGACAATAAAGATGATGATGGTGGTGGTGATGATGAGGATGACGATGGTGATTGTAATGATGATGATGATTATGACGAAAAATCATGGTGATGATGATGATGATGATGACGATGGTGATAACAGCAGTAACAACAATAACATTTTACATGACAGTTATATCATTACAAAAGTTATCGGACTAAATATAAATAAAATTATATCAGATGTGAGTTATTAATAAATTCAATTGCTTTAGTACAAGAACAGAGCTAAAAATACTTTGTTTTTAGAAAACTATGATCTATGTCACACACGACTCCCTCTCTGAGGTAACTAGAATTCTTGATCAATCTTAACCATAATCAGTTTTGGACAAGCGCCCTCTCACTTTTATAACAAAATATTGTTGTTTCACTGCAATTTATCTTCATAAACTAATACATGTACCTTTCATACAAATTTGGTTTTTAGGTGTGTTTTTCCCCCTTATTTCCGTCAGTACTCATTTCCCATATTATACATGTATCTTTTCCCCATTCTTCAACAATTTGCAGTTGCCCAGCTACAGAAAAGCACGCGTGCCCTCCATCGATTGACAGAGTAGAAACGAGTGGGAAAAAGGTCGAATATGAAAGGGGGGTGTTTAAAGGTAGGTCCCCAGACGTACATAATCATATTTGATTGATACACGTCTGTAAAAACCCAATACACACACACATGATGAAAAATAAATGGAGAGAACTATGAAAAGGACGATAAAAGAAAATAAAAGAACTCCCTTCCACACCCTTTCCCCAATGAGAGGCCTTGTAAATTAGCATATCATTTGCTGAGTGAGACACCATTAACAATATTTTCTGAAAAATAATTTTCACATCATCATTATCCGTTTGTACAGGCGTATTACGTTTTTTTTGTTGGATAATCGTTATTCTTCTAGAGTCTAGACCTTACAAGCATTATTATAATTATGGTAGATTATAATCATCGCCATGATCAAATCAATCTGATACTATCATCATGTTTGTCTCGTTTCTTTTACCTAAACGGTAGAGGGACGATCCCTCGGTCAACATTACCAAATCTCATCATGAACATTATCATCTTAAATGAATATCTTTGTCCATTGGTCATCTCAAAATCAAGCATCGTCTCTCCCTCCCTCTCTCTCTCTCTCTCTCTCTCTCTCTCTCTCTCTCTCTCTAAGTGGCATATCGATTGACTTTGGCGATCATGCTGTTCCACAACCCTCGGTTCCTAGCCTTCTGTATTAGTACCACTCCCAGTTCTTTCACTCCTCTCTCTTCCAACAATAATTTTCTGCAGACTGTCCATCCAAAGTATCCCCCTTCTTCCCCTACTCCTTCTTCCCACAATTTTCCCTGTCAAAGCAAGATTCTCTAGGCCTTCTTTACGTCTAATGTGACCCATGAACTTCAACTACCTAATCAACATCTCACGTATCACGTATTCAAGCATCGTCAGTATTATCAAATCATATCAACTACGATTCTGTATCATTATCGACGTCGCAATCATGATAATCATCATGATAATCGCCTTCATCCCCATCGATATCATCATCATCATCATCATCATCATTTTCATGATTAACATGCTAAATAGCACTATAGTGTGCTAATAATATGCAACTATCTGGACCGGCTACTAGCCAAGTTATCCAATCTTCTTCTTTTCCCCCTTTTTTTTGGGGGGGGGGGGGCCCAATAAACAGAACACCAAAAAGTAACCTCTTTTAGGAGTGTATTTTAAGTGATTTTAAAGTATAGTGTCTTTTGAACTAGATTTAAACGTTATCGACACGTGCCTTCATTTAAACAAAAAAGGTACTTCTGTTCACGTTTTCATCTAACCTAAAAACCACCAGTTTATCACGCGACTGGAGTAACGTGATTCCACTTACCTCTGTAAATCAAGTGTTTATGACCAAATAACCACTTGACCAAGCAACGAGTTTTTTGTCAGTTAACCGATGGTGGCGATAAATACGTAATTATTTGGTCTTGTAAGCACCTTTATTGATTGGTTTCACAGGTTATCTAAGGTTGATGGTAATAATCACGTTACTTACACCGGCTAATCGTCTTATTGTTCTGTCCGTGAATCTCTGGTTATATTCAACTAGTAATTCTGAGGTGTCTTACACACCTCTTTAAAAGGTTTCAAAGTTACCATAAATTTCTTGGTTATGATCACGTGGCTCAAGCTGATTACTAATCTAAGCTGTGAAAACGTGATATGTAGGTTTGAAAATTAGTAATTATTAAGTGTTTTAAAACACCTTTTTAAATGGTAGTCAAAGTTGCCATAAGTTCCGCGGTGATGATCTCGTGACTCAAACGGATTATTGATCTAAGCTGGTCATACGTGACTTTTAGGTGTGAAAAATTAGTCATTATTAGGTGTCTTAAAACACCTATTTAAATGGTTTCAAAGATACCATAACTTTCTTGGTGATGATCACGTAGTTAAAACTGATTACTAATCTAAGCTGTGAATCCTTGATATTTAGGTGTGAAAAATTAGTAATTATAAGGTGTCTTAAAACACCTATTTAAATGGAAGTCAAAGTTGCCATAAGTTCCGCGGTGATGATCACGTAGTTAAAACTGATTACTAATCTAAGCTGTGAATCCGTGATATTTAGGTGTGAAAAATTAGTAATTATTAGGTGTCTTAAAACACCTATTTAAATCGTAGTCAAAGTTGCCAGCAGTTCCGCGGTGATGATCGCGTGACTCAAACGGATTATTAATATAAGCTGGGTATTCCGTGTTTTCCATGTGTGAACATGAGTTATTCTTGGGTGTCTTGATGGTTTCACAGTTACCATTTAAGTTCCGTGGTGATAATCCCGTGACTGTTGGCATATTTCTATTTTCACCAGTTGATAACTGACTGTTGGCATATTTTCATTGCACCAGTTGATAACTGGAGTGTGCATATTTCCAGTTGCACCAGTTGATGACTGAGCGTTGGCATATTTCGAGTTGACCCAGCTGACACCAATTCATTTGCATATTGAATATGGGGTGCGTGCAGATCTATGTTTTTTAAACAATTTATCTGAATTTACAGCATATTTCTTAATTACTGATGATTTAGTTATATGCAATTCATTTCGAAAATACTACAAATATAAATTACCAGTTATTAGGACATTTCGCTACTTCGTATAAATAGTTAAACATGAATAAGGGAAACATTAACTGTGAACTAAAATAATTTCAATAAAGTACAAGTATACGAATTTTTTTCGATTAATTCAATTATGTAAGTCTACTTATTACCAATGCCCTTACATTGGAAATACAGACGTACCAGTATCGAAGTATTGTTGCTGTTCAACTGGTTGGAAGTTTTACCAAATGGTTCTAATGGCTCAGCTAGACCAGTTGAATTATAACTGGCCTGGATCAACTGGATCATTTAGCCCATTTCAATTTCCAGGGTTACCAGATGGCATTAACTGGTTCATCAACTGGACCAGTTGCAACTAGCTTTCTCTTCTGGAATGTTTGCACCCCCCCCCCCCCCCCACCCAACCCCCTCTTATCCCAAACTGCTTCCGGCGCGCTTGGATCCAAGACACGATGTTCAGAAACGGGATGAGAACGTCATTATTTTGGTTCATTTATTGTGTAACATTTGCGTAATTATTGGGTTGAACGCGGGTTACAGTAACATACTTCCTCTTCGACGTAAATTTCACGTGAATGAAGAACATGATTCATCTCAAGTCAGCCTCGTAATATTCACGTGAATTTCACGCAGATATTTTGACTA